CGCCGACCTAGCATCCGCCGACCTAGCACCCGCCGACCTAGCATCCGCAGAACCCTCGCCCCTGCCACCTCAGAACCCTCGCCCCTGCCGCCTCAATACCCTCGCCCCTGCCACCTCAGAACCTTCGCCCCTGCCACTGCAATACCCTCGCCCCTGACACCTCAGAGCCCTCGCCCCTGCCACCTCAGACTCCTCGCCCCTGCCACCTCAGAACCCTCGCCCCTTCCACCTCAGGTCCCTCGCCCCTGCCACCTCAGAGCCCTCGCCCCTGCCACCTCAATACCCTCGCCCCTGCCACCTCAATACCCTCGCCCCTGCCACCTCTGTAACCCTCGACCCTTCCACCTCAGAACCCTCGACCCTGCCACCTTATAACCCTCGCCCCTGCCACCTCAGAACCCTCGCCCCTGCCACCTCAGATCCCTCGCCCCTGCCACCTCAGAGCCCTCGCCCCTGCCACTTCAGAACCCTCGCCCCTGCCACCTCAGAACCCTTGCCCCTGACACCTCAGAACCCTCGCCCCTGACACCTCAATACCCTCGGCCCTGCCACCTTAATACCCTCGCCCCTGCCACCTCAGAACTCTCGCCCTTAACACCTCAGAACCCTCGCCCCTGCCACCTCAGAATCCTCGCCCCTGCTGCTCCTGTATGCGATGCCAACCAAGCCGGGCTGGAGCCGCTTCATTTCCGCAAACGTAGCAGTGAGCACTATGTAAGCTGGTCAGTACTGAAGGCCACCATGCATTCACCCCTACTCAGGTTACAAGGTTACAACTGAATAAAAGAGGTGTGTGTATGTGGCTTATCTAATAGGAATGGGCGAGCAGGGGTGGCGTATACCTGGCTTTTGTCCCGCCTAGTGGGGTTGCATCGCTTTCATCGAACTTTACCGGCTTTACATAAACATGTGACGTACCGTGCTATCTATGCCTATCCGGCTTCTGCTTGCACCAGTCGTCTGAAATCGCTGCCATGAATTCTAGCCGCGACAATTTAATTCACGTCAATCCTGAAGTGGTTTGGTACGTGGCCAAAGCATGTGCCCCCGGCCCCGCCCCCGCCACCTACAATACCCTCGCCCCTGCCACCACAATACTCTCGCCCCTGCCACCTACAGTACCCTCGCCCCTGCCACCTACAGTACCCTCGCCCCTGCCACCTTCAGTACCCTCGCCCCTGCCACCTACAATACCCTCGCCCCTGCCACCTGCAATACCCTCGCCCCTGCCACCTACAATACCCTCGCCTCTGCCACCTACAATTAACGCTCATGGCCCTTGCACGCCCCCTCCCCCTCCCCTACCGCCCCTGTCCCTGCCCCCCCTCCAGACACGCCAGTGTGCTCCGTGCCGCTTCCGTGCCCCGCTGCAGCTCCCCCAGCCGGCTGGCGGCCGACATGCGGCCGCTGCGAGCGGACAGCAGCCTGGGGCGGGGGAAGAGGTGGGGGGGAGGTGTGAGGGTGGATGTGCCGTAGCGGAGTGGAGGAGTGGGGGTAGGTGAGGGGTCCTGCTTCCTGGCGGCGCTGTTCGCGCAGCCACATGCGTGCCGCTGCCCACAGCCCCACCCGCCCCCACACCCGCCCCCCACCCACCCAGCCCCGCACCTCTGCTGCGCCTCCGTCTGCCGCTGCGAGGCAGTGCCCAGGGCCGCACGAGCCTCTCGGAGGGAGGTCTGCAGGTGGGCGGGTGGCGGTGGAGTGGAGCGGTCAGGACGCAAAGCAGGGAAGGAGGCAACAGGAGGCAGAGGCGGAGCGGCGAGCAAGCACGGCCCCCCCCACCTGGCTGGCCTCCACCGCCTCTCGGTTGTCCCGCTCGCGCTGCGCCAGCTGCCCGCGTAGCGCCTCGCACTGGTGTGTGTGTGGGGGGGGTATATATACTAAGTGCAAACAACTAGAGTCTCATTCCCATATCCCGACTCATGCAGTGAGTGTGGGGGGGGGGGGGCGGTGGGGGAACAGCAGAGGCGAACGGGCGGGAGAGGAGGAGGGCGCGGGAGGAGCGGACGATGCTGCTGGGGAGGCAGGCGGATGGGTGCGCCGGGTGGCCCCACCGGCTGCTGCTGCTGACCCGCTGTAGCTTGATGCGGGCCAACGGCCGCTGCATGACGAGCGGCCGGGGCCGCAGCGACCCACAGGGTACCCCCCCACCCTGCCCTGCCCCACCTCCCTCCCCCACTCCGGCCCCCACCCACCACCCACCTGCTGGTGGGTGGCCTGCACCTGGGCTCGGCGCCGCTTCACCTCCTCCTGCGGCCCGGATGGAGGCGGGGGGGCAGGGGAGCGGGGGGGGAGGTTCAGAGAAGGGTGCTGGAGAATGCAATGAGGGGCCGGAAACGCCCACTTTGTAACAACGGTCCTGAAAAGGTCTCCTAGGATGCTGTGCAGCCGTAATGATTGGTATTTGTAGCACCCTCGCTACACATACCCTGGTGTATGCCGCACGCCCAGCACGCCCCCTGCTAGCCAACCAGCGCACTGCAAGCCACTTGGCATTGTCATGCAGCAAAATCCCCGTCAGCTTTCCACCTCCCGCTCCTCCTCTTCCTCCCTCCTCACCTCCAATGCGGCCCTCCGCGCCCGCTGCTCGTCCAACTGGGTCGTCAGCGCCGCCATGTCGTACGTCGACCTCGCGTACGACAACCGCTGCTGGACCTGCAGTTGTAACCTCAGTCTCAGTCTCAGTCTCCGTCTCAGTCTGTGTGAGACCCGAGGTAAATGATTGAAAGCATCTAGCTTTGCATGCTCATGGTTTATGCAAGAACAACACCAGCAATGACCCATGGGTCGCAGTGCGGGCCACTCCTCCACATCTCCGCTGCCTCGGCCTCTGCCGTACTGCCGTACACCTTTGCCAACTCCCCCTCCAGCTTCTCCACGGGCTGAGTCAGCCGGGCGGCCGCATGCTCCGAGACCTCCTGGGTGAATGCGCCGCATCGCTCCGCCTCCGCGGCAGCAGCCGCATGCAGGGCCGTACGGCGCTCGGATAGGGCCCTCTTAGCCGCCGCCAGCCTGCGTGGGGCGGGAGGTAGAGAGGGAGGGAGAGGGAGAAGGGAGAGGAACAGAAGGGAGAGGAACATAGGTAGGTCATGGAGCGTGCAGGGTTCATAACGGTCATTCCGAAACGAAGGGCTTTGCGGGGCTCTACAGTATGTACCTGGTGAGGCGTTCGCCTGCCGCGGCTGCTGCTGCTGCCTCTCCCCCTCCTCCTCCTCCTCCTGCTCCCCCTGCCGCTGCTGGCCCCGGCTTGCCTTGGCGCTGTCGCTGCTGCAGCCGCCGCCGCAGCACTCCGCAGCGGGCGGCAGCCAGCCGCTCCTGCGCGCGACTCACACGCAGCTGCAGCCGAGCCTGCGAAGACAGAAATCAGCGGTACGTAACAGAAGAGTCACGACGCTAAGTAGTCAGACTGTTTAGTCCCTCAGCATAAACTAGGTTGTATGCTATGGCACAAGGGCTGCGTGCTGGTTGGGCGATACTGTAGTAGAATACGGCGTTGTAATATCATACTTTGGCTGTTTGGCTAGATGGAGAAGATGACTTCTTGCCTTTTCGTCCTCTCGCTCCTGCAGGGCCTCCTCAAGCGCGAGACGGCGAGCTGCCTGCGCCTCGCGCTCAGCTTGCCGGCTTTTGAGCAGCGCCTGCGTATGATTGGGTGGAAAGGAACGTTGCAACAAAACAACAGCGCAAGCAACCAGAAGAACAGCTGCATTTGTCAAATGAGCATCTGCAGCAGAAAACGGTAGAGTTGTGTACTTGACAGCTTTGGCGGCTTTAGAAGCACAGTATTTTGCTCCAGTAACGAATTTCCCCTCGCTCGCACCACCCTAAGCCCAGCCCACAGCTTGCAAAAGGCCGGACGTTCACCTCTGTCTCCCGGATGCGCAGCGACCAGACCAGCAGCGATGAGTCCATGATGCGCTCGCAAGCCTTAGCTTGACGGCCTTGTTTGTGGGTATGTGGAAAGTCTATGACAGGTTGTGCTCTTATGCTGCCAAATAGCCCTTCGCAGCGGTGTAATGTGCAATCCAACCAAATGCCTGGATGCCTCAAAATGCCATGTGCGATACTGACTTACGTAAATGCAAAGCATAAGGGCAGTTTATTGTAAATGTGAAGGAAAAGGATGGATTCTATTTGCGTGGATCTTGCTGCACGGCCATGGACGAGCATCAGCCAACGGGGACGACCGCTACCACACCAGGCTCGCGCAATATGCCACAACAAGCGCAAAGGCATATGCGCACATCGCCAATGGCTCATAAACCTTACCAACTGAACTGCTTTACTTGGGCTGGCTTGCGCATGAGCGTCTGCTGTGCCGCTAGGTCGTGCGCTGACCCGCGGGTCGCTCCGCACGTCTAGATGCTGCTGCCGCTGGCAAATGGCTGCTGTCCCGACCATTCGCCTCCTGTTGGTGTACCCTGGAATATAATACCCTGGACAGTGCGCTGCATGCGCAAACTGGAGCACGTGCGGTTGGGTGTGGCAGCTGCTTTGGCTGCGGGGCCCGGAGGCAGACAAGCAGGTTGAGCAGATGGGCGCTATTGGGGCCTTGTTGGGGCATGTGGAATGAATCACATGCCATTGTGATCGTTGGTTTGGCAGCAAGGCGTAGACGTATGTGGTATATACACCGCAAGGGCAACAAGGCGCGGAAACAACCCGCTCGCTGCTCCCCCGCTCCGTCTCTCCATCCTGCCTGCTGTCATCCCGACGCGCCCCGCCTGCTCTCCCTCTCTGCCCCTTACTCGCCTCCATACACCCCTCTCCGCTGGGGTGCGCTGCGGCGGTCCCCACTTCACCCCCTCTCAACTCATCCCCACACCAACTCAACACACACCTCCTGCACAACACTCCCAGCTACCCCCACAGCTCCTGCTCACCCCCTCCACCAGCCACCAGCCACCATCCACCAGCCACCAGCCACCAGCCACCATCACGGCGCCATACATCCCTCTCCCTCGCCCTCCTCTCAGCAGACCCCGACCCAAAGCCCCCTCCCTCCCAGAAACAGCACAGGCTGCATGCTTGAATGTACGTGCACGTGCAAACAGTGCAAGTCGTGCCGCTGCAAAGAACGCTACTCCCGAAGCCCGCATCCTCCCATCCTCCCATCGTGGCTGCGGACCCATCCTGCACACTCGGCCCACCTCCCTCACCTCCCTCACCTCCCTCAACCCTGCTTCTCCGATCACCACCCATGGCCACATGCAAACACAACCCGAAACCCCCCGCCCACATTTGCCCCAATCCAACATCTCAACCTCAACCAAAGCCCAGAAACAACGAGGCAGCAAGCAAGCACCCCCCCCCTCAGTACGTTGCGCCCTGCTGGCTGCCGCTGGCGGAGCAGAAACCCCCGCCCGCTGCGGCCGCAGCCACCTCCTCCCTCCCTCCCCCACACACCCCCTCCTCCTGCTGCTGCTGCTCCGGTAGCTGCGCCTCCTGGTCACCCTCCCGGGGTACCGGAGTGGGGCCGTAGGGGAGGGTCAGGGCGCGCCGCTCCTGCTCGTCCAGTCCCTGTACGGCAATGGCAATAAGAGCAACAGCGATTGGTTGGTTAATCGGTTGGGGCAGACAAACCGGCTTCGCTTCGCAGCAGCACCCACACAGCTGGATGCCCCCCCCCAGTCGCCTCCCCCCCCATGGCAGCCCACCTGGAAGAGCGGGCCGAATGGCGGCCGGCGCACGAACCTGCCGCTGCCCCGCCGCACCCGCAACCGCCCCTCATGCCACACCAGCCGCCCCCGGGACAGGGTGGTCACCACCTTGCCCTGAGGGGGGCGGGGGGAAGGGGAAAAAATTATATAAAAGTGAAACAACGAATCCCAATCCCATAGCCCGACTCATGCAGTGAGCGCATTCGGAGGCACTAATAACACGCATCTCAAATTACTTACCGAATCGTTGCTTACCGTAAACCGAGACGACTTGAGCAAGAAGCCGCCTTGCGTGGTAACACTAGGGAGACATGCGCCGCGCCGCCGGTCACGAAAAGCAAAGCAACACGCATATGGGGTATACGAGCACACATGTTATCGAGACGCGTTACGGGAAACTTACCTGGAAAGGGAAAGCCATTTGCCAGGGTCCGATGGATTGGAGGCGCAGACCAACAGAGGCCGCACCAGGGTCGTGTCCAGTGTCCCGTAGGAAGAGGTTGTCAATATGCGGAAGAAATAGGGAAGAAAGAGAGGCAGGGTGCGTTAATGAGGTGTTAAGTAACAGTCAGGAGGCGAGACAGGAAACGAAATACATGCGAATATGGCGTGGAAGGGGTTCCTATGGACACGGCGGCGCGGCAATGGAAAGGAAGAAGCTGCGCGGGGGGAAGGGGAGGGGAGGGAGGGCCGTTCGACGAGGCTGCATCGTATCATCACACAAGCAGGAAAGCCCCTCCTACCTCAACCCCGGAATGCAGGTGCTTCCTTTTCCAGCCCAGCTCACCGTCTTTCCCGCCCACGCTACGCAACCTCCCATCCCGCCCACCTGCACCACCTTGCCCTCATACACGTTGGTGTCCATGCGCGGGCTGTGCGCGGCGCCCACCCCCAGCGTGTGAGTGACCCGTGGGTCGAGCAGGATCACATCCGCGTCACTGCCCGCCGCCAGCCGCCCCTTGCGCGGGTAGACGTTGAAGAGCTGCGCAGCGGCGGTGGAGGTGAGGCGCACGAAGTCGGAGGGGGTGGCCAGGCCTGAAGGGACGGGGGTAAACAATAATGAAATACTGATGACGGGGGGAGGGGGGGAGGGGTGAGGTGGGGGCTTGGGGGAGAAGACAGGGAGCGGGCTGTTGGAGCACCCCCCGCTTCCACATTCCTCGTCCATCCCGCCTTCAAGCCTGTCCAAAGGCCCCTCACTACCCGCCCCCACTCCACCCTCACCCACCCACCCCCACCCACCCGCCACCACCATCTCCTGCCATGTCACATGCATGCGCTCCTCGATGCCGTTGACCCCGTTGGGAATGCGGCGGAAGTCGTGTCGCCCCGCCGCCTTCTGGCTGCTGTTGAACACCGCGTGGTCGGTGGCGACAAGCTGGGTGTGCGGGGGCGGGGAGGAGGAGGGGGGGTGGCGCCTGCCTCGAGAGGGGGATAATCGGGGTGTGGAGGAGGCGCACTCCCCGCATGGCTCTGCTTCATGACCCATGGGTCATATGAGAGCCGGTTAGCACGAGTTGGAAACGCCCTCCCCACCTCCGCTCCCCCCCCCGCCCCCCCACCTGCAGCACCCCCGCCGCCAGCGCCGCCTTGATCCTCTCCGCGTGCCCCGGCCCCCGGATGGGCGGACTCATCACCAGCGCTGCTGCCGACGTGAAGTTGGTGTCCCAGCAGCCCGCCTCGCGCAGGGCCAGGCCGCTGACCACCGCCTCGCCCACCACTCGGGAGCCGGACAGGCGGGCGCGGGAGATCTGGGGAGTAGGGGAGTGGGAGGAGGGAGGGATGGAGGGATGGAGGGGGGGAGGGGGCTGCCTGAGAGGGCCGCCGCGGCCAGCGGTCCACACCACATGGCATGACATGGCATGGCCCGTCGTGGTGCGCCGGATGCGGGGTATGAGGTGTGAGGGAAGGGGTGGAGCTTCTCTGGAGGCCCCACCGTGCCCTCCCCGCATTCCGCACCCCCGCCCCTCCCACCTTGGTTGGTTCGTCCCTCCCCCTCCCCCTCCCTCTACCCCCCCCTCCCCCCACCTCCTCCACCGCCTCCCCGCTCATCACGTGCACCACGTACAGCGGCGCCCCCACCACCCCCGCCAGCCGGATGGCCCGCCCCGTGGCCTCCGCCTCCAGGGCGGGCGGGCGGGACAGCGGGTGGCCCTCGGGGCCGCGGATGCCGGAGGAGATGAGGCGCTCCTGGGGGAGGGAGGGGGAGAGGAGGGGGGGAAGGGTGTGATTGGAGGAGTGGGGTTATAGGGTAAGGGATTGAGGAGGAGAAGGAGGATTGAGGGACTGCTCCTGCTTGTGTCCTTATACCGCCTTTGGTTAACCTCATGCCCTCTGTCTGTGTCCTCATGCCTTAAGGCACTCTTAACATCCACCTTGCTGTCTATCTTCGACCCCCCACACCCCACCCCACCTGCATCCACGCCACCGCGTCCCCGTTCTCCGCGTGCACCAGGGGCAGGGCCCCCAGCTGGCGGCAGCGGCTGAGCCCCGCCAGCAGCTCACCGTCGCTCACCTGCAGCACTCCCTGGGGGGAGGGGGGGAGGGGGGGAGGGGGGGAGGGGGGGAGGGGGGAAGGGGGGAAGGGGGGAAGGGGGGAAGGGGGGAAGGGAGGGAGGGAGGGGGGGAGGGGGGGAGGGGGGAAGGGAGGGAGGGAGGGGGGAAGGGGGGGAGGGGGGGGGGGAAGGGGGGGAGGGGGGAAGGGAAGGAGGGAGGGGGGAAGGGGGGGAGGGGGGGGGGGAAGGGAGGGAGGGGGGAAGGGAGGGAGGGGGGGAGCATGCCGATGGGTGATGGGGGAGGGAGGGGTTGAACCGGGTGGTTGGAAGCGGGCAGTGGGCGAGGAGGACAGCACAAGACGGCATGTGTCCCTCTTGTCCCCCCTGTTCTCTCTCCCCCCACCTGCCGCCTCCTCTCCCCAATGCTTTGCCCTTACCTGTGGTGTCCTATGGCTTGGTATGATCTTTGACCCCCCCCCACCTTGTACGCCATGAAGAACTTGAAGGAGCTGACCCCCTCCGCCACCAGCTGCCCCATGTCGGCGGCCACCCGCGGGCCCCACTGCGTGACCGCCATGTGCAGCGAGTAGTCCATGCAGCCGGAGGAGGCCTTGGACTGTGGGGGGGGAGGGGGGAGGGGGAGAGGGGGGAAGGGGGGCTCATTGCGCCCGGCCGCACGCCCCTCGTCGCACCGCCTTCCCCCCCTCCTCCAACACCCTACTCTTCAACCCTTCACCCGCCTCCCACCACGTTCCAACCACCCCACACCTGCCACTCCCTGAACCCCGCCCGTATGTCGTGGTTGATCGGCAGCGCAAAGTCGATGTGGAAGGTGGTGCCGCCAGCTAGTGCGGCAGCCTGGCCGCTGGGGGGGGTGGAGGGGGGGGGGCAGGACGAGGAGGGGAAACATGTATGAACGTGAAGCAACTGGGCGAGAAAGGAGGAAGGCGAGGAGGGAGGGAGGGAGGGAGCTGGCGGTGTGAGCTGATCTGCATCCGGGGCCGCCCCGCCTTGGAGTGCCCCCTGCCATCGGCAGGAGCTCCCTCTTTACCTCCCTACCACCCTCCATCCTCGAACCAGGTACATCCCCCCTCGACCAGGTTGCCCCCCTTAACCTACTCCCCTCCTATCCCCTAGCCATCTCTCCCCCCTTCCTTCTCTTCAGCTCGCCAGTTCCCTCCCCTCCCCGCGCCCTCCCCTCCCCTCCCCGCTCCCTCCCCTCCCCGCTCCCTCCCTCACGTGAAGAAGTCGTCCGCCGTGACGGTGCCCATGAAGGGCATGTCCAGGTGCGTGTGCGGGTCAATCCCACCCGGCATCACGAACAGACCCGCGGCGGGCAGCACCAGGCAGCCGGGGGGAGCCTGCGGGAGGGGAGGGGGGAGGGGAGGAGGGGGTGGGGGGTGGGACAGCAGCAGAGGCGTCCTGCATCCAACGGCACCCCTCCGCGGAGTCGATGGTCAGCAGCACTCCTTGCTGTCCGGCGCTTGCCTCACCTCAATGTCCGGGGCAACATCCACAATAATTCCATCTCGTATGAGGACATCCGCCTCGAATTGCTGGTCGTGGTTGACGACCGTCCCACCCTGCAAGCGACACAAAGTTGCAATGCGCGCATCGCGGGATTATGGGCATTTGGACCAACCGGCAAGATACTCCATAGACTATAGATTATATATGGCCGTACAGAAGCCGCGCTGCTGGCAAGGCGCAACGCTGCTCTCCGGGCTAGGGTTTACGCTTACCTTTATAAGGATGGTACCACCATCAGCCCAGTCATCCAAGGCAATGGCCGCTGAGATTAGCACTAGTACTAAAAGCGGGCAAAACTTGTAAGGCGAACCCTTCCGCGTTAGCATGAATGCGCCAACCTCCTCGATAAGCAAGATATGTCTAATGGGCAAAGGAGATCGAGTTACCAGTATCAGCACGATGTGGTACTTCTAGAAACATTTACTCCATAGGGGGCTCGCTCTGCAGAACATAGTATGCTTGCAAGGCAGGATGTTTGTTTGCTTCGCTTATAGTCCGATTGCCACAAACGTCTCTGTTGTTTCGTTCCTTACGCCATATGGGTGTGGGACAATGCTTCGTATAAGCAAGAAGGCAACTCATTAAGACACTAACCCATATGCGCTCCGAAAGACGATTGGATTCTGCGCGGGACGAACCCCTCCCAAAACAATGCAAGGCAAAGAAACCGAAGCCATCGTAAGCAAGATACTTGTTAGTCCGCTTAAGAGGATTGGAAGTAGCTATACTCCACGCCTTTCCTGTGAGCATCTGCCGGGCCTTTAAATGATGCTTTTGCGTAACTCCTACCTCATCGCATAGAAGAACTTCGTGTCGTTAGCACCAAACACGGAAATGACGGGCATGGAGGACGAAGCGCAGGTTCCTGTTAGCGAGAGTGGACCAAATGCCCTCTGGTCAGTGCTTTTCACATCTTCTCAGGGGCAACCTTCGCAGCCACCTGAACCTTCGACCCAAGAAGAGGAACAACGGAAGGAATTTGAATTACCATCCGCTGGCCCAAACCGAGACACTAGGCCCACAAACATCACACCCGTTGTCCAAGTCCTTCCCGGCGCGGCTGATGCTCCAAGCGGACTGCCAGGCGGCTCCGAGCTTCCAGTCGCTATGGACACTGAAGAACAGCCAGGCAACGCAGTCCCGACCTCGCCAGGGTCCGCGGCGGCCAAAGTGCCGGAAGCAGCTCCAGCACCCGCATCAGCGGCCCAAGACCAGCACCCCTCGCCCTCCCAGCCGCAGTCTGAGGTTCCCGACCTGAACCTCAGTCTGGGCGCCCCGACTGCCATGGACACCGACAACGGCAACCCTGGGGCTTCCCTGGAGCAGGAAGCGGAGCACGGCACCGCGGCTGAGCCCACAGCCCCCACGGCCCTGGCAACACCTGCAACAGCAGCAGCACCTGTCGCTGCCCCTGCTCCCCTATCCCAACCAAATGCCGCGGCACCACAGGCCGGTTCATGCGACATGTTGGAGGATGCATTAGAGGATGACTTCAACGAGCAAGACGTATGTGCTGCTGCTGTTGCTCCTGTCGGTGCGCCTCAAGAGGACGCAGGCACGGAGGACGGCGGCGGAGGAGGAGGAGGACGGCGACTCCGGCGACTCCGCCGCCCCGCTGCTGACGTGGAGGCAGCGGCGCCGGCGGCGACACAGCCCCTCAGCTCCCACGGCGGCGGCACCACTCCCAAGCCTGCCGCTGCTGCTGCCGGGGACGCGGGTGCCGGTGGCCCCTCCCAGCCCTCCCAGCCCCTGCAGCAGCCCAAGTCGCTGCGCAAGCGTGTGGTCGTGCGCAGTGCGGTGGGGGACGGCTTCGATGACCTCAGCCCCAGGGAGCGGGGGGAGGAGGGGCGACAGGGGGCGGAGGCAGGTGGGAGCCGGACGGCATGGGGGGAATGGAGGAGACTGGAGCGAGTGAGATGTGTCGTACATGGTATTGGCTTCTAGTGGCTTCCCCACTGTAGCGTTGCCCGTGTGTCCACCCATTGCTTGCCATCATATCTTGCCTGGCCCCTACCGAGCACCCGCGGTTGCGTTGCGCTTGCCTGCCTGCTTCCTGCCATGCAGGTGGCGAGGAGGGAGCAGCCGGGCAGGAGGAGGCTGGCGAGGGGCCGCAGGTGGCGGAGGGGTGCGCTGAGGAAGCTGAGGTGGAGCTGGGCGGCGAGGAGGAGGAGGAGGAGGAGGGTGGCGGTGCGGGTGCCGCTGAGGACCCCGAGGTGGCCAAGCAGCGGCAGCTCAGAGGTGGGGGGGCGGGGGAGGGAACCACGGGGATGGGGCTGCAATTGATGAAGCCAGGGACCCACTTCCCCCAAGCCCGCCCTGCCGTCCCTCCAACCTGCCTCTGCATCTTCCCAACCCCCATTCTCGAACACACCGCTCCCCCCTGCCTGCCGATATTGCCTTAGGGCGCTCGACTCTCCCTCCCTCTCCCCGTACCTCCCCCAGAGGCCGCCCTGCGTGACCGCATCGGCGGGCGGCAGGTGGCGGAGGCGCCGGTGCGGCCGCTGAGCGACGTGGCAGCAAAAATTCTGGCACGGCAGCGCAGCCTGCTGGAGAGGTGGGGAGGGAGGGAGGCGGGGGAGGTGCGGGGCGGGACCTGGAGGGCTGTGTGGCCCAGAGAGGGGCTCAGGGGGCCGGGGACCACTGGGCGGTAGGAGAGCCCTTGACATAGCGGGGCACGGAGCGTTGGCAGGACCTGCTAAGCCAAGCAAGCACTGTGTTTACGCGGGCAGAGCCTCACCACGGTAGCCCCCCTCTCCTCAGGACCCGTGCCAACGCGCCGGTCGGCGAGGGCCCCCCTGCACCTGCTGCAGCTCCTCCCGCCGCCGCCCCGCCCACCTTCAACGTGAGAGCGCTGATGCAGAGCTTGGCGCAGAGCAAACAACAACAACAGCAGCAACAGGAACGCAAGGTGGGCAGCGCTCCGGCAGCAGCAGCTGCTGCGGCCTCCCAGCACCCGGAGCAGTCGCAGCCCCATGTGGCGCTGGAGCTGAGGCTGGATGGGAGCCAGGGGGCGGAGGAGGCGGGCGCGGGCGGCGGGGCGGTGGGGGACGTGCGGATGAATGGCGGCGCCGGCAATGCGGGCGAGGAGGGCTTGGATCTGGTAATTGAGGAGGAGGCGGAGGGGGCGCAGGTGGGGGGGACCGGGTGGGAGGGAGGGGGTGTTGGGATGTAGCTGGGGGCTGGTGGCAGGTGGCTGGCTGGCGCGGGTGTGCAGTGGCGCGGCGGCGGGCTGCAGGGGTGGGACAGCTGCTGCCGCATGACCTAGTTGTAGAGCCAGATGGGGTCTGCAGCGCTCTAGCGCCCGCTAGCCGCTTTACGTCGTTCACCCTCCTGCCATGACCCCCCTCCGGCCCTCCCCATGCCCTCTCGTCCCCTCCCCATGCACAGCCTCGGCTCCCCGCCCGCAGCCCCTTCCCCTCCCTGCGCCCCGCCCCCCGCGCCGCCCCGCCCTCCGACCCCTCCGCCCCACTCGACCTCCTGCTGTTCGAGGAGGAGGCCTCGCAGCAGCCGCAGGGCGGGGATGACAAGGGCACAGCAGAGGCGGCTGCCACGGACCGACCCGGCGGGTCGGTGGCTGTCGGATCGGCCCCGCATGTCCGCACCACCCTGGTCCCCATTGTGGACCTGGCACACCCAGCTGGAGGGGCGAATGTGGGCAGCAAGGGGGCGGGCGGCTTGGATCCAGGTTTGGATCTGGAGGGGGACGAGGACGACCTCATAGTGGAGCCGGATGAGGAGGAAGCGGGCGGGAAGGGGGGAGCTGCGGGAGGCGAGGCTGCCGGGGTTTCGGAGCAGGAGGCGGCGGAGGCATCCAAGGGCGTTACCAAGATGGAGGGAGGCGGCGAGGAGGAGGAGGAGGAGGAGGAAGAAGAAGAGGAGGAAGGTATGTGGATACCGCTTGCCCCTGCAACTACCCTGCGTCCCTGCTGTATAGCCAGGATGCAGGATCCGGCGCCGCGTTCCGGGATGTACACGGCACATGGATGGCCTCTCCTCCATCCATATGCGCCCGCCTGCCCTCCTCTACCCTGCCTGGCTGTGCCACTGCAGCCGCGCTGTCATCGCCCCTGACTGACACCCTTCCTGTGCTGCTCTGCCCCTGGGTTGCTCCGCAGCTGAGGTTGATGAAGATGAGGAGGAGGAGGAGGAGGAGGAGGCCGGGGAAGAGGAGGCCGGGGAGGGCGAGGCGGAGGCAGCAGAGGGCGAGGGGGAGGAGGCTGAAGAAGAGGAGGAAGGGGGGGATGCTGAGGGAGACGAGGAGGAGGAGGGGGTCATGTACGATGTGGATGAAGAGTACGACAGTTCGGATGAGGAGGACGCCGTACAACGTGAGTAATGCGGACCCCGCCTGTCTCATCCTGTCTTTCAATGGGTCAACCTTGCTATGTTTGGGGGCATGTCACATGTGTGGGTGTGTGTGTGGGTGTCCATCCGCCCGCCTAGCGCACCTTGCCGGGTCCCATCACGTGACCCGTCTGACACCTCGGCCTCCCCCACCTCACATCCCCACGCACCCACCTTTCCTGCCTTGCGCCTTTGCCCCCGCCCCGTCTCCCCTCCCAGCTGAGGCGCTGCACTTTGAGGAGGAGGAGGCGGACACCGCAGCAGGGGCCGGGCTGGCATCAGCAGCAGCAGGCGGGGAGGGGCCGGAGGGCGGGCGGGAGGCTCAGCGGCGGCAGCTGACGGAGGCGCTGATCGCGGCGGCGAGGGAGCGGCACGCGGCGGCGGTGGCGGCGGCGCGGCGGCGGGCGGCTGCTGAGCGGGGGGCGGGGGCGTTCTTCGTGGATGTGGAGGCGGAGCTGAGTGACGAAGAGGAGGGTGAGGGGGAGGGAGAGGTTGGGGATGGAGAGGGTGGGGAGGGAGAGGGTGAGGAGGGAGAGGGTGGGAAGGGAGAGGGTGGGGGGTGGCTTGGTGCTGGTCTAGCTCACATGCCTCGTGTGCTAGTGGTCAGGTGGGGTGTATATGTCCTCTGTTGCGCTGTGGTCCTGTGCCACGGGGTGTGGGGTGGGCTGATGGGGCGGAATCCGGCCGGCTGCTACACCCCCATACACCCCTCCACTCCTCCTCCACCCTTCTCCCCCTCCCGAAGGCATGGCCGCGCTGGAGGACCTGGATGACGAGTACGACGGAGAGGACCTGGACGAGGGGGTGCTGGTGAGGGGGGGAGGGGAGGGGAAGGAGGGGGCGCGCATGCAGCTTACATGCAGCAGGGCATGATGCGGCGGCCGAACAGGGCAATGATGAGGCCCCCCGCCTCCGTCTCATCACTCCATGGGTTAAGCACTACCAACCCTGCATGCCACAACCCACCTCCCTATTCCTCTCTCATGCCATCTTCCCCTTCCTTACCTCCCTCCCCCCCCCCAGGCTTCCCTGCTTGGCACTGCCCGCGAGAGCGCTGCTGACGAGTCGCGGCGCGCCTCGCTGCACGCGGCGTGGGAGGCGGAGCGGGACAGCGCGGCGGTGCGGGAGCTGCTGGAGGCGGTGCGGCGCGGCTTCAGGAGGGGCAGGCGGAGGGGGCTGGCGGGGGATGAGGATGAGGAGGTGAGGCGGGGGAGCCGGGGGGGGAGGGCTGGAGGGGAGGGGTCGGAGATGTATTGAAACCTTAGTGAGGGAAAAGCAATGGGGACAGGAGGTGGCAGGATGCTACATGACACAAGAGGATTAACAGCCCCTACCGATACCGAGTCCCCGGTGGTGATGAACTGTCAATTGTCCAGCGAGCTGGATAGTGGCCGTTATATAGGTGTCTACTGCCACGATGAAGTTATCCTTTCCCCCCACTATCACACCACACATTGGAAATTCTTCCCCCCCCCCATCCCGCGCCGTCCCCAGGACGTCACGGACCACGACGCGCGGCGGCGGCGAGCGCAGCTGTTTGCGGCCGGTGGTGGCGACGAGGAGGAGGAGGGGCCCATTCGGGTGGCCAGGGGGCACGGACTGGACCTGGACCTAGCCCGCGAGGAGGAGGAGGAGGAGGAGGCTGCGGGTGCAGCTGCCCCTCCCGCTGCGGGGGGCGGCAGCCAGGCGGGGGGAGAGGACCCCTCACAGGACCCCGCGGGGGCTGCGGGTGCGGGTGCTGGTGGTAGGGGGGGTAGGAAGCGGGGTGGTGCGCTGCTTCCGTCCGGTCGCGGTGGGGGCGGTGGAGGCTTCCTGGCTGCGCGGGCTGCCTCGCTGGGCTGCAGCTCCTCCTCGCAGGGCGGCGGGGGCCTCCCGACCCGCCTCACGCTGGACCCGGTAGCGGCACGGCGGCAGCTGAGAGCGCTGGGGCAGGAGGCGGCGGCGCGACGGCAGCAGCAGCTGCAGGTGGGGTGAAGGGAGGAGGATGGACGGGGTGGGGGTATGGGGATTGAAGGGAGAGGGGCGTGTGATGCACACTGGGAGGGTTGGAGAGTGGGGGTAACCGCTGCAGGTTGTGCCCGCTGCCCTCTCCGGCGGCAGCAGCCCCCTAACCCAACCCCTCCACCCCCTGAACTCGTGGTGTCATGTGTGTATGTTTCGGCCTCTCTCTGCTCCCCTCAGGAGTCCGGCGCCATGTCCCCTGGGGGCGACCGCGAGAGCGACCCACGGGTCCACACGGAGGCGGTGGTGGCGCTGCTGCAGCGCTCGGCGTCCGCTGCATCCGCCGGAGTGGCAGTGGCGGCGGCAGGAGGAGGAGGGGGAAAGCAGCAGCAGGAGGCGGGCGGGGTTGCGGCGGAGGGCGCGGGGGCGGGGGGTCACCGCTTCACGTTGTTCGGGTCCGACATCACCAACCGCGCTGGCAGCGGGGAGCAGGGCCAGGTATGGGCGGGTGGGAGAGGGAGGGTGGGAGGTCTTGGATTGGGTTTGGGAGATTATGCGTACCGCTATGCTTTACCTCGCCCCTGACCCTGACCCGGTGTCCCCCAGCTGACCTTCCTCCTCCCTCCTCCTGCCTCCCACTCCCTCCCAGGCCTCCACCTTCCTGGGTCGCTCCACCGCCCCCGCCAACCTCCGCACCACCTCCACAACCGCGGGCCTCAACACCCGCTCCTTCATATTCGCAGCCGACCACTCCAACTCGGCAGCGGCCTTCCCGGACAAGTCCAAGGACGCTGCCGCAGCCGGCACCGCTACTGCGGATGGCGGCGGCGAGGGGGGTGCAGCAGGGGGGCCGGGGGCGGGGGCGGGTGCAGCAGGGGGAACGGGTGGAGGGGCCAGCACCTCCTTCGCCGGGCTGCGCTCGCTGCTGGGTCGGCCGGGAGGTGGAGGGCGGGTGGGAGGAGGAGGCGGGGCGGGGGGGCTGATGAGTCTGCTGGGGGTTGGAGGCGGGGGTGGGGGTGCTGGCGGGGGCGAGGGGGGTGCGGGGGCAGGTGGCAGCGGCGGGGGAGGGGGAGGGCGGGACGCCTCCCTGGAGTTGAAGCGGAAGCTGATGGCGGGGGCGACCACCAGCGCTAACAAGCGGCGGTGAGGGGGAGGAGGAGGCGGTGGAAGAGGTGCCGGGGGGAAGGGGCGTGGGCCCTTCCGTTATCGCGAATGCGGATTAGGGAGTTGGGGGCAAAGCACGAGTTGTTAGGTGGAGGGAGGGGCAGGGAGGAGGTGGTTACTCCGGCGATGGTGTGGCAGGGGGCGATGGCCCCATGGGACACGCTGCACTGCCGCGCTGCTGGTGCTTGCGAGAGCCAGGTGCATGCATGGTCTGTGTGTGGAATGAAGTCGTACTGGTGGCATGGTGGACTGGTGACATTGGCCCAAGCAGCGAAGCATGCTAGCTGGTAAATGTTACCCCACCTCGCCCCGAACCGAACCGAACCGGATGAAGTTTGCGCTCATCTCTAGCCCGGCGGTTGCCCGCCCCACCGCCTGCTGCCGTACACGCCTCCTCGCTCACACTGCCCCCATCAGCCATCACGAGGGGCATATGAACAAGCTGGCTTGCGCAAAGCCGCAAACAGCCGCCAACCTTCATATCGGTACATCTTACGACTGGATTACCGGTATTTGCTTCAGACAGCATAGCATGCACCACTAACAATGATATGTACAGCCCCTGATATGTACAGTCCGTTGCGAATAACCCCATGCGCACTACACACTACCCCCGCTGCTGCTGCCCCAACCTAGCCCGCTCCGCCGCCCTCCTCGCCGCCTCCTCCACCGCCCGGGCCGCCGCCGCACCCCCCACTGGGCCCTCTGCTGCCCGCCGCCCCTGACTTCCCCTCCGCTGCAGCAGCCCTGAACCCCCTTCCCCCCCGCTGCTACCACCCTGACTGACACCCCCTCCGCCCCCTTCCCCCCGCCTCCCATCTAGCTCCCCTCCGCTCCCTGCCTCCCCACCCTCCCTCTTCGCCCGCTGCTGCCTCTCCCTCTGCCGCTTCGCTCGCTCCAGCTCCCGCCGCTCCCACTCCCGCTGCAGCCGCTGCTGCTCCAGCTCCTGCTGCTGCCGCTCCCGCTCCCTCGCCTCCCGCTCCCGCGCCTCCCGCCGCTGCTCCTCCTCCTCATAGTCCTTGGTCCAGGAGGGGGTGGCGGGCGTGATGACCCGGGCCTGAGGCGGACCGGAGCTGAACTGCACCTGCCGCACCGGCCGACCGGGAGCCGCAGCAGCGGGAGCAGCAGCAGCGGGAGGGTGAGGAGGATGAGGAGCAGCAGCGGCAGGTGGCTGCTGGGATCCGGCAGATAACCTCTCCTCGTCATCCTCCTCCCCATGCTGCGCTTCCTCTTCCCCTCCTCCTCCACCTCCTCCTCCTTCCTCCGCTCCTGCGTCCTCCCTGCCCTCCTCCTTCCCCGCCCCTCCCTCCTCCTCCCCCTCCCTCCCCGCCTGCTGCGCTTCCAGCCGGCCCCGCACGTCCCGCCACCGCTCCGGACGAGCCGGCTCCACCTCCCGGCTGGGCGGCTCGGGCGGGCGCAGCAGCTGCGGCGGTGGCGGCGCCACCCCCCGCGGGGGCCCCAGCGCCGCCACCAGCGCCACCTGCTGACTCACTCCCAGCGAGTCGTCCAGCAGGAACAGCAGCGCGGCGGGGGAGGCGGCGGGGGCGGCGGCAAGGTAGGAGCGGCCGGCGGAGGGGCAGTCCAGGGAGGGGGAGAGCGTGAAGAGGGAGAGCGAGGCGAAGTAGCGGCTCTCTGGACGGGTGGGGGGAAGAGGGGAAGCGAGGTAGGAGGGGGCTGGGTAAGGAGGGGGCCGGGTTGTGGTGCCGAGACTGTCTCACAGGCTTCCTGCCCTCACACCTGCTCCTGCTGCCACCGCATTCAGCAGGCGTACGGCCCCACCCACCCCGCCGGAGGCCCCCCCACTGCCTTCCAGGCCCCCCTCCCCCCACCCCCCCCACTCACGCTGCTGCACCCCCGGCAGCCGCACCGCCCGCACCAGCGCCCCGGTGGCCAGCGAGTACCAGCCCAGCAGCCCGCAGCCCAGACCCGCTATCAGGTACTCGGAGCCCAGGGAGGGCACGCGGGGGGTGAGCGCGTAGGCGGGGGCGCAGGCGCCTCTGGGGGGGAGGGAGGGAGGGAGTGTATGTGAGCGGCAGGAGCAGGGGCAGGACAGGCGAGAGGGGCGGTGGCGGGCGGAGAGGGCCCACTGCCCGGAGAGACACAGCCCACCGCCGCCAGCCCCCCCGGGCCCCACCTGGAGTGGTCGTATATGTCGATCCGCGGCGTGTTGGGTTTCAAGCCCGCCTCGACATTTAACACCTGGGGCGGGGGGAGGCATGTGGGGGAGGGGGCGGGGAGGGGCAGCAGGCAGCGGAAACGTCGGGACACCGCCACAACTGGGGCAGACCCGCCACCTAGCCCTCCAGCGTGCAGACCAGACGTCATACCCAGCAGCTCAAATACCTCTCTCTCTTCATGCATTGATTCGGCCTCCAACATCAACCCACCAAACCTGAAGGATCCAAGGCTTCCCACAGTCCCAGGCCCTTCCCCTCCCCTCCCCGCCTGGCCCCCCTCCCCTCCCCCCCTGCCCCCCCTCACATGCACCGAGAAGTACCCGAAGCTGTCCGCGTCCCCCGGCTGCCCCGCCACGTGGCACCACATCACCAGGTCGGCGCGCGAGGGGGTCAGCTCCGCGGCGACCACACGGTACGGCAGCTGCGTGTGGACCACCTGAGGGGGAAGGGGGCGAGGGGGGAGGGGGAGGAGGGAGGGGGCCGGTCGCCAACACGAGGGCACCAGCTGCACTACAGATGGGGGGCGGGGGGAAGGGGCGGGGAAAGTGGGGCCGGAGGCGGGGGCATGGGGGATGCAGACGTGCGGACATGGAGGGCCAGCCCCTCCTCCTCCCCGTCTGTCCCGGCTGCTGCTGTGCCGCTGTGCTTACCGGAAAGCTCTCCACCCCACCCCACCTCCCTTGCCCCACCCCACCCCCCTTGCCCCACCACTCACGTACTGCTTGGCCCTCCGCACCAGCTCCCCCTCCAGCGTGAAGCTCGACACCACCAGCGGCCGACCGCCCCCGACCCCCCCTGCTGCTGCTGCTGCTGCCGCTGCCGGGCCCTCTGCCCCCGCCTGCCAGCCCTGCACGGGCCGGTGCAGCGCCTCCCGCAGCAGCCGCCCCGCGCCGTCCGTCACGAAGCGGATCTGGGGGAGGGGGAGATAGGAGGGGCGGTTAGGAGAAGAGAGGGCGACGGGAAGGGGGGCAAGGGGCCGGGGGCAGGCACACCCCTCGCTCCCATTGCCTGTGCCGTACGCGAAAACACGCAAAAACACACACGCCCCTTCCCAACCCCCCCCCCCACCATCCACAGCTGCCGTGACGCCATCAGGTACTCCCCCCGCGGGTCCGCCCGCAGCAGCGCCGCCTCTCCGGGGAAGTCAAGCAGGCCTGGGGGGGGGGGGGGGTAGGGTGGTGGTGGGTAGTTAGTTACAGCAGGAGGATGGGGATGCAAGGCAATGCCCCCCTCACGTCTTGGCCTATCCGCCGCCTCTCACCCCTCCTCTCCCCCCTCCCCGCTCCCACCCGCATCCTCCAGCGAGCCCTGCACGCCCCCTCCGCCGCCCCCCGCATCCGCCTCCGCCACCGCCCCGGCCGCATGCCACCCCTCCGCCACCCCCTCCGCAGCCCCCTCCGAGAGCCGGGGTGTGCGGCGCCGCCTCATGAGGTCGCGCAGGCCGCTGAGGAAGCCGCTGAAGCCCCCGCCGCCCCGCGCCTTGGCGGCCGGCTGCTGCCCCCCCGGGGCCTCCGCACCCCCCGCCGCACCCCCGGCCTGGCGGGTGCCGGGGGCGAGGATGCGGGAGGTCTGGGGAGGGGGGGTAAGGAGGGGGCACGGGAGGCGGCATGCGATTAGCGATTGCATGGCAGAAGAAGGGCGCGAGGCGGGGTGAGTCCTGCGGGGAAGTGGGTGGGCACTGCATTGCTCCAACCCCCTCATCCGCACCTTCCCTCCTACAGCCCTCCTACAGCTGAGCCCTCCTGCCCCGTCCTACCACCCCCTGCCCTCCTCTCACCCTCGCCTCCTGCTTCTGCCAAATGGTGTGCGGGGGTCCGCGAGCTTGCAGCGAGCGCAGCGCCCGCGGCAGGCGCCAGGAGTGGAGCGGGCGGAACCAGCCGTGACCCGTGCGCTCGGTCTCGTGGGTCTGGGGGGGAGGAGTGGGAGGAGAGGGCAGGGGAAGGGAGAGAGGGACACGAACGTTACTCGGGGTATTGCCACCCACCCGAGGGGCCCCAGCCGGCCCGACAGTCCTCCCCTCATCCCCCCACCTGCCACACATGCACCTCCCCCGTCATGTCCACCGACAGCAGCGAGCCGCAGTCCGCCAGCGCCCCCACGAACACCACCTGTCCACCGTGACCCCGCAGCAGAGCCTGCGAGCGGCACTCGGGGGAGGGAAGCTGGGCGGAGGGGGGAAGGGGGAAGGGGTAAGGGTTACAAGAGAGAGGGAGGGGGAGGGGAGTGGAGGAGAAGGGGTGACACGTGTAGGCAGGCAGGCAAGTTGGTGGACAAGTGCCGCTTTCTGGACCAACCGCACCGCTCTCACCCACCCCACCCCGGCCCTACCTGCGGCGGCAGCAGGAAGTCCACGGTCTGCTGGCTGAGCTGCGGGCGAGTGCGGGTGCGGGTGCGGGTGCGCGGCAGCGGGGCGGGCAGCAGCGGGGAGGAGGCGGCGGCGGTGGTGAGGCGCACCAGGTCGCCCGTGATCTGCATTGGGGGGGTGACAAGTCAGGAATATAACCGGGCTGTTATGCCATGACGCCCAGAGCAGACAGCGACCCATGGGTCACCCCATGCAGCCAAAACCGACATCACCATCCTCAGCCGCAGCTCCCCTCCCCTTCCCCACCTGCGGCAGCAGCAGGGTGGGCTGCACCCCCGCCAGGGTGAACTCCGGGTGGAAGCACACGCACCACCGCCGCCGCAGCGCAGCAGCAGCAGCAGCAGCCCCCGCCTGCCCCCCTCCTCCTCGCGCCCCCGCCCCCGCCCCCGCCTCCCCCTGCTCCTCCGCCAGCGCCTCCACCACGGGTGTCTTGCCGCTGAGGCTGACTGACAGCGGCCCCAGCGAGAGGGCCAGGTCGGGGCACACGGGCTGCCTGCCCGGCTCCTCGCGCACCTGGGCGCCTGGGGAGGGGAGGGGAGCGGGGAGGGGAGGGAGTGCGATAAGCTACCGGCACTCCCATGCAGCAACCCTACCCTCCTCTCTCCCTCCCTCCCTCCCTCCCTCCCTCCCACCCCCCCCACCACCTGGTTCCGGCCTCATCCACCACACCCGCAGGCAGCTGCCCGCGTCCAGCGAGGCCAGCTGGAAGCCGTCCGCGCTCCACGCCAGCGCCACCAGCGGGGGGGCGCGGGGGGGAGGGGCGCGGAACCAGGCGGGGCGGCTGTAGGCATGGCCGTCGCCAACCACCTGGGGGGAGGGGAGGGGTGGAGGCATTGCAGGGGACAAGAATGACCTCGGGGGGAGAGCCGCGGAGTTCCACCCCCCCACGCGGCGTCTCACTCTCCGTGCACCCCAGCCACCCACCCCCCACACCGCCAGCTCTTTCCCCCTCCCCCGCTCCCCCCCCACCTGGAACCAGGGCGCCCCCGCCTGCTCCGCCCGCATGTCGTACACCGCCATCCCCCCCGCCGCAGTGCCCACCGCCAGCAGCGCGCCGCTGGGGGAGGCGGCGGTGGCGGTGATGGGGCCCAGCTCGGGCGGCAGCTGCACCCCCGGCCCCCCCTTGGGCGCCAGGTAGTGCGGCCGCAGCGCAACCGCCCCCCAGAACACCCGCTCCGCATGCGCGGCCGCCCAGTGCTCGGGGCGCGGCCAGCCCGCATGCGCCGCCCGCCCCGCCCCCTCCCCCCGCATGCGGCGCCACACGGCGGGACCGGCGGCCAGGGGCGGGCGGGCGCGTTGGGCGGCAAGGCGCTGGGCCTGAGTGGGCGGGTGGGAGAGGGGGGCGGGGGGTGGTATATGTATGGAGGTGAGGGGAAGGGAGCGGGGGATGGCGGCTGTCACCCTTGGATGGGTGGAGGGCTGGTACGGGGCGACGGCGGGATGGGGACGGAGTTGCCTGCCTGACACGAGCGGTACACAGCAACTGGCTGCACCCCGCTAGCCGCCCGCAGCCCCGGTCTCCCGACCCACCCGTGTCCCCACGTCACCCGCCGCACCCCTCTGCCCACCACCCTCACCCGCACCCCTCCCGCAACCCCAGCCACCCACCCGTGTGACCCGCACGTACGGCGGCCAGTAGGGGGTAAGCTGCTGCGTGTGGCCGTACGGCGCATCGCCCCGCCGCTGCCGCATCTCCTGGAGCATGGCCTGAGGGGGGGAGGAAGGGGGAGAGTGTCACTTGGGGTTACTGGCAGCGGGCTGCAATCGATTAGAGTGCAGCAGGAGGCCACGTATCCCCCCTCCTCCCCCCCCCCCTACCTTGAGTCCCTGCACGTACAGCTGCTTCTCCTCCCGCGCCAGGTGCGTGTCGGCGAAGGTGCGCTGCATGACGTAGATGGCGTCCTCCTCCAGCTCCTCAGACAGGGGGGCGCCAACCTGGGGGGGGGAGGGGGGGGGCATACACATGGCGGGAGGGGGGAAGGGGAGGGAGGGCAGTGCGTGGGGTACGATGGGGCTGTGGACGGGGCTGGTGAGTGTTGTGGACATGCATGCGGCCGCACAAGGGTCTAGCCCCCCCCTCACCTCCCCCCCACCTGTATAGCCCGTGTCGCCGCCTCCGCCAGCCTCTGTTGGTCGTACAGCGCTAGGTCCACCTCCCCCTCCCCCTCATCACCACCCCCACCACCCCCGCTGCCGCCCGCCTCTCCTGCTGCCGAGCTGCCCGCCTCGCTGCCCCCGCCGCTGCCTCCCTCCGCCGCGGGGCCGACCAGGGCGCGACTCATCTGGCGGGAGAGGTGCGCGGCGCGCTTGGCAGCCAGACCGCGAGCAAAGTCGGCCTGGAGGGGGGGGGAGGTTGGGAGCGGGTCGCGGAGGGGTGGCGCAAGGTCACGGGCCGGCACTGCAACTGGCGAGGTGCCACCACTCGGGCCCCTTCTCCGCCCAATACCTCTAACCCCCGGCCCCCACAGCCCCCTCGTCACCCAGGCTTCCGCCTCCCCCCCTTCCCCCTCCTGCTGCTTCCCCTCCCTTCCTCCCCCCCTCCCACCTGCTGCTCCGCCGCCGCGTCCCTCAGCCTGTTGCGCACGTTGTCCGCCCCCGCCGCCCCAAACTCGTACTTGCGCTGCGAGAACGCCACCGCCTCCACGAGCAGGTCGAAGGCGAAGGAGTCGGCCACCTTCGGGGCAGCAGCGACCCGTGGTCAGCGGGGTGACGTGTGTGGGCAGTGATGACACTAGGGGGGAACAGGGCAGGGCAACCTCCCCCCCACCCCCACCCCCCACCCACCCACCTGGGCCAGGTGCCGCATCTCATCGCACGCCTGCGCCGGGGGACGGAAGGGGAGGCAGTGAGGCGGGTGACGGGTATGAGCGGGGGAACATGGCACCCGCCCACCTGCTCGCCACCTCCACCTCCACCTACCCGTACTCAGCCCGCCACACCAACACCCCTCCCCCTTCCCTCCCCCTCCCCCCACCTCCGCAATCATGTCGTCCACCACCTCCCGCATCACCCCCTCCGCCAGCTGCCGCGCCACCGCCAGCAGCGCCCCCGGCCGCGCTGCCCGCCAGGCGCCCACCTCCGCCGCCACCTGGGCGGGCGAGGGACGCAGCGACACGCGCCACAGCGCCTCAGACAGCAGACCGTCGATCTGGCGGGTCGGGGGGGTGGGGGGGGAGGGGAGGAAGAGGTGAGGGGGTGAGGGCCTGCAGGAGGAAAGCGCTCCCGGGCCTCAGCGCTTACACCGTACGTTCCGCCTCGCGGCCAGTTTTCTTAACACCCCACCCGCCCTCCCCTCTAGCACCTCCTACTCCCCCCCCTACCCGCCCGCTCACTCACCAGCGAGTCGCACATGGCCCTCAGCCCCCGGCTGCGCGCCCGCACCGCCGCCCCGCCCCTCACCACCGGCACCCGCTCCCCCCGCCCCTGCCCCTCCTCCTCCTGCCCCTCCTCCGCGCCGCCCCCCCTGCCTCCGTACACATCCGGCCTGCGCCGCGCCCAGTCCAGCCGCGTGGCCACGATGTCGTGCTGCGTCCTCAGCCCCTGCAGCGCCGCCGCCTGCGCCGGCAGCTCCGCCCGCAGCGCCCCCGCCAGCGCCTCCAGGTCGCCCAGCGGCACGGAGGGGGCGGGGGCGGAGGGGTCCAGGGGGGGAGGGGAGGAGGAGGAGGGGGAGCCGGGCCACTCGCCGCCGCTACCGGCGCCGCTGCTGCTGAAAGCCCGGCGGTGCCTGAGGGATGGGAGGTGCAGGATGGAGCCCTTACCAACCCCGCCCTGGCTCCTAGACCTCGAATCCCTCTGTCTGCCACCCGCTGCCAATGCCTCCCCCTCTCACTATGCCCCCCCCCCCGCCCCCCCTCACCTCATGCCCCTCAGCAGCAGGGCGGCGGTGGAGGGGGCCGGCTGACCCCCGCCCTCACTCTCGCCCCCCTCCTCCTCCGCCTCCTCTCCACCTCCCGCCCCCAACCCGCCCTGCTCCCCCCCCTGCTGCGGGGCGTGCCGCTGCAAGGGCGGCAGGTGCCGGGGAGATCCCCAGCCGCCACCCTCACCCCCGCCCCCACCCCCGCCTCCCGCACTGCGCTCCGGAGCCAACTCATGCAGCACCTGGGGGAGGGTGTTGGGGGGAGCGGGAGAGGGGCGGGGGCAAGTAGGGAGGCGGGGAGAGCTCATGTGTGTGTTTGTTGGGGTGGCGGGGAGGAGGGAGAGCTACGACACCTACGACCCCCTGCTTGCTGTTCCCCTGCTGCCTCCCCCTCCTCTCTTCCCCTTGGGCCCCCCCCTGCCCCCACCTGTTTGGGTGGCAGTGCGGCCAGGCGGCGGTCCGCACGCACCGCCTGGGGCAGCGAGGGGCGCCGCAGCCGCTGACGCCGGGAGAACTCTGGGGGTGTGGTTGGGTGTTTGAGGGGAGTTGCGGGTGGGTGTTACGGTGGGCAGCCGGGAGTGGGGGGGGTAGCTGGGAGCGAGGGGGGGGTTGAGGCAGCGAGCCCGCCGGCCACCCGGGCTGCGGTCCGGGCAGGTGTACGAGTGTTAGGGTGAGCGCAGGCAAGGCAGGGAGGCAGGTTCTTCCTCCCTCCACCGTCCCCCTTCCCCCCACCCCTCACCCTCCTCCACGTCCCGCTGCTGCGCCCTCAGCAGCAGCTCCTGCCGCTGCAGCTCCAGAGCCTCACGACGGGACTCCAGCTCCTGGGGGCGGGGAGGGGAAGGAGGGGGGAGGGCAGGAAACGTAGTGAATGCCCAAATGCCCGATCGAAGGTATGGCAGTGTGGGTGGGTAGGGAGCCCCGCCACACCCCGCACTTGCACGTGCACGCCAGCCGTGTCTGTTGGCGAGGTACCCACCCAGCCACCTCCTCCCCCCCGCCCCGCCCCGCCCCCCCTCACATGCATCTTGCGCACGTGCACTCGGTCCAGCAGCACCCGAGTAACCGGGGCCAGCTCGCCGCCCCCACCGCCGCTGACACCACCACCCTCGCCACCCTCGCCTCCGCCACTGCCGCCGCTGTCCCCAGGCTCCCCCCCTGCTGCTGCCGCCGACCCCGCCGCTCCCTTCCGGCGCTGCGAGGGCCGCCGCGCCGCCCTTCCCCCAACTGAGCCACTGCTGGGGGGAGCGGCGTCACCCCCGCCCCCGCTGCTGCCTGCCTGCTGGTTCCGCCGCTGGGTCACCCGCCGGAGGGCGCCAGGCCGGGAGGGGGCAGCGCGTCTGGGGGCCGCCTCCTCCCCTTCCTCCTGCTTCTTCTCCCCTTCTTCTTCAGTATCCTCGTCTTCGCCCCCTTCCTCCCCCTCCTCCTCATCGTCATCCCCCTCCGTAGCCCCTGCGCGGCCCCGGGTTCCCCTCGCTGAGGAGCCGCCCGCTGCCGCCCGCCCCGCTGCACCCTCCTGCTGCTCCCCCTCCCCCGCCCGCTGCTGCTGCCTCTTGGCCTGCAGCAGCCCGGCACCCTGGCGACGTTTCTGCTTCAGCAGCGTGCGGACTGCAGGGAGGGGAGAGGGCAGGGCGCGGGCAGGTGGAGAAGAAACACACGGGGAGGGGATCATGAGGATGTGTGCGGGATTGAGGAAGGAGCATGTGATGCCTGCTGTTGTTGCGTCCCTCCCTCCCACCAGCCCTCACACCCACCGTACGCCTGCCGCTCCTCCTCCGACGCCAGCAGCTGCAGCCGCTCCGCCTCACCCGCCAGCAGCGAGGTGTGGTGCAGCGCGGCGGACACAGCCTGGGGGAGGGGGAGGGAGGGGGGAGTGGTCATGAGTTGTTGTCCCTGCTGATGTGGGCCTGGGACAACTGCGACATGTCTCGGCTGACCCCGCACCTTTGAATCATTGCGCGCCGCCTCTGGTGATGGTTTCTTGGGCACAAGGGAATCCTCCCTTATGACCAGAACCTGTTCGACGTCCTGCTGTGGACGAGCTTCCCACCGGCTGGGTGACATGCTAAGACTTGTGCTGCAGCCGAGTGCTCAGGGTTGGCCAGTAGGCCTGCCACATGCTGGAAATGGAGCTATGTGTGACATATTATTGTTAAAGATAAACACATTGAAGCCAGTGCTTAGGGCTTGTCGAAGGCTCCGAAGAGCTCGACAGCAATGCAAGCTTAAGACGTCCTGAGTACACTTGGGAAGGATCTTGTATGGTGGACCCCGTAGTAATGCGTGCGTGTGACCATGTTACTCGGAAGTCGTTCAGAGCGATGACCTGGATCCAAAACTAACCGATTGCATTTTAGCTCTATCCAACTCATTCGTGTCTATAGAGTTTGTTATAGATTTTTGCTGGCCTGGTAACACTATAACAGAAGTGCTCACGGCTGAACACTTTGCAGCTACCACAGGAAAGTGTTCGGCAGTATACCTTCCAGCGCATTACAACGCATACACACAGAAGCTGGTAGCATATTATATAGAAAACGTTTGTAAGGAAGCGACCTTCCGAGTGGTTCCAATTGCTCGCGAGTGCCCTCGCCCGTAATGGGGAAGCGGCGGGGGCAAGGGGGTGAACCCCGGGAAGATCAGTATGGCGAATTTAACGTCTCCCAGGATAAACAGCATTTCTCGGGCTTCAGCAGCGGCAAGGGACTCAGTGGGGGCGGCACCGCGGGCGGCTCAAAGAAGGGCATGGACTTTACCTTCCAGCGGCAGGTGCCCAAGTTCCTGCAGAAGTACTCCCACCTGATGGGGAAGACGGCGGCGGACGAGGATGAGCCCGTGGTGCTGGGCGGAGAGGGCAAAGGCGGGCAGCCGGGCCAGCAGGAGGAGGAGTCGGAGGAGCAGGAGGACAACATTGAGGCTGTAAGTGCTTGCAGGGTTAGAGGCGGGTGTTAGGCGTGAGTGGGCGGGATAGGGAACTGGCGGACTAGGCAGGGTTGCTGCATCGAACGGATGGCTGGTGGTTGGGTGCCCAGGAGGCGGCACCGGATCGTACACTGACATGCGTGCCCCTGCCAGAGTCAGACCTCTCAAGCACGCTGTCCTCCTGCCTCCTGGGTGTGCGTTACCTTCATGCAGCTCCCATGCCCCTCGCCCTCCTGACCCCCTCCCTCCCCTCCAGGACGCCCTCCGTCGCGCCATGGCGGACAACCCGGAGCTGGCGGCGGAGTTCGGGGGGGCGCTGGCGAGCAAGGTGGGGAGGAGGGGTTAGGGGCAGCTGGCAAAGAGGGTAGGGAGGAAACTGCTAGGAGGAACCCCACACGGCTCCGAAGACGCGGGATTCGCCGTGTGCAGAGCATGAGGAGCTGAGGACCTGGGAGGAGGGGCTGGTGTGAAAGGGATTAGGTCGGCGAAGGAACGGGGCCACAAGGAGGTATGGAGGCAAACGGACGGGTCAATGGCCAGCAATGCAGCCTACACTGGGCCCCGATCCTAGTCTCGTAGACCTCATGACACGCCCCTCTCTACCCTGCCGCCTTGCAACCCCTCCTCCCGCTTGTGCAGTTGAAGCAGGCTGAGGCTGCTGAGGAGAAGGAGCGCGGCAACTCGCTGTTTGGGCGCAAGAAGTACGAGGAGGCGGTGCGCAGCTTCACGCGCTGTATCGAGCTGGACCCTAGGTGGGCCAGATGGGAGGGCGGTCGGGGAGTGGGTTGGCGGCAGGGGAGGAGTTTGTGCACAGAGGCAGCTGGTGGGGAGCCGGCAACGAGTATGTCGCAACGGTGGCGCATGCTACGCAGGACGTGGGCTGGGCTTTACAACTTACTGGGCAAACTAACTCCCTTGTTGCCCACCGGGCCTCCCTCCACCGGGCCCCGCAGCTGCGAGGTGTACCACTCAAACAGGTCCGCCGCATACGCAGCCATGGAGCGGTGGGAGGAGGCCGCGGAGGACGCGCGGCGCGTGGTGGTGATGAAGCCGGGCTGGGCCAAGGGCTGGGCGCGGCTTGGGGCGGCGTGCATGGGGCTCAAGCTATACGGCGATGCGCGTGAGGCGTACGAGAAGGCGCTAAAGATTGAGCCCGACGACCAGGGGCTACGGAAGGCATGCGAGAAGGTGTGGTCGTCAGGGGCCCTGAAAACATCATGGCTAACCCCGGTGGCGCAGCAGGAACACTAGATGCGTTGCAGACTTGCAGTACTTGTATAGTGATTGCCCCCTCTCATGAGTGCTGCCCCTCAGTCGTTCGGTCCTTTGATAAGAAGGCCCCCCCGGGGCTCCCGTGCTTGCGAGTGCAGGCTGAAATTGAGGAGCTGAAACAGATCAAGGAAGGAAAGCACACGTTCAAGAAGATGCGCACTGGGGATGGCACTGGCAAGGAAGCGGCCAAGCGGGGCGCTGCGGATGGCAAGGAGAAGCCCAGCGGAGTCGATCGCGGAGCGTTTGGAAGAAGTGACGTGCCACGGGGCAGCGCAAACACACGGATATTGTCCTTTGGTGCGGAAGAAGATGAGGAAGAAGGGTAGCGCGGTACAAGAGTGCCGACGCGTTGGTGTCACTGGTGGGCTAGCCTAGCCACAGAAGCCCCGCGTTGTTTCTGTAGGTTGGACTCTGGTCAGCACGCTAATTCAAGCTGGCACGTCTTCTATTGCATACATGTTCCAGCTGAGTACGTGTACTGCATGAGGGGTTGCAAGTAACAAAGGGTGTGGATGAGAGCACACAAACCGCATGTTACATACCCACGAGAGGCAATGTTGCAAATCCTTTGCCGGCCATGCTTAGCCGCGAAATTGAACCAGTTATGCTACTGTACTGCGCTTAGTAAGCATCGTCCGGAACGGGAGTATACGAAAGTGAATCACGGCAGATTATACCATACGGCATTCCGTCTCTATATGATGTGTGATCCATCAAATAAAGTCAATTGTCAAACGCCAGTAGCCATCTACATAAGTATGCAGCTATAGCAAACCCGCGTGCGCACGCATACGTGCTCGTTAATCATACACACCTGCATATATATGGATTATGAAGGTGGTCGCTGTACGACACGCCATCATCCTGTACAATACACAAGGTTTCTATAGGGGCCCATATTGGCAGGGCAGCGGCCACACTAGGACATGCGGTCGCTTGAATCTTGAGGGTAATAGACAGCCATGGTCACACGCCAATCATATGCGCTGCATTTATATAATTCATATGCCCCTTAGCACAGGGTTCATGTGTAAATAGCTACCGTTAGTAATAGATCACATCCCTAGTGTCCAGCAAGACCTTCAGTACCGTCATGTCCCTGCAGCGGTTAGTGTAGGCGGTCATGTCAACGGTTTGAGCCCAAGAAGCCGTCCACGTGGGCAACCACCACTTTGCAGCGGCCTCTGCACAGGCGGCGCGCTGCGGGCCACGCAAAAAGTCGGTCAACGTCTCGGTGTTGGCGACAATAGGAGCGCGCACCGGCGCCGATGTAGGTGCCGCGGTGGGCGCAGAAGTGGGTGCCGACGTCGGCGCTGAGGTAGGTGCTGAAGTAGGGGCAGAGGTAGGTGCTGAAGTAGGGGCAGAGGTAGGTGCTGAAGTCGGGCCAGAGGTGGGCTGCTTGGTTGGCGCAGGGGTCACGGTTGGCGATGGAGACGGCTGAGGCTTTGTAACCGGGCCGTCCAGGTACACATTGTACCTGAAGTATGCAAAAATATGGAAAAGTGGAATACGTCAGAACCGGGAACAACAACTGCGGTATCGGGAGGCGTGCCCTCGATATGACATTGCCCAGCAATACCATGTTTCCCCTCGACACGCTTGCAGGACTTGTGCAACGATGTGTTAGCCCCCCACCTACCCGTCGTCCCATACGGTGCCGATAGCAGCGTTCCAGAACATAGCCCCAGCCATTGGCCCGCCAGTCTGCTTCATCCATTGCATGTTGTCCGCGACCAGACGGAAGAGAAGCACCCGCTGCTCTTCAGTGTATTGACTGCACGTGCAGAGGGAAACGACTGGTAAGCCGAAATGCAAATAGGGACATGGTTTGGGACCGTATCGCCGCCGATCATGCATTGAACTATGTGCCAACATAAGGGATCAGGCATCACAAGACGTCGGTGCGGTCCGCACTGCACTTACGGCAGGATCAGCCCAAACTCCTCAAGGATGAGCGGCTTGCCGACATCCGAAGCGGCCCGTTGATGTGCGCTTAGGTACTGAACCAGGTAGTTGCAGAAGCAGGAAAAGTCACACTTGGTCCACTTGGGCGGAACGGATTCCAGCTGCAAGCAAAAAGGGCGGCATATTTATTCGGGCACGCAAAGATTCGTAAAGCGAGGATTTCCGCCATGACCCGTTGTGTACATGATGCACACGCATAAACACAGGAGCGGGCATAAATGTCTTGCGAAGCGACAACCCCGCACACCTGGCGTTCGTAGGCATGGACGATAGTGACGTCCGTGGTACCCAGCTTGTTCAGAGCAACCCAGTCCTCGCCTTCGCAGCGAGCTCCAGCCCCTACATGCAGGGTTAGGCGAGGGAAAACTATAAGTACGGCAGTCACGGTAGTATAGGCATCACTGTGCGTGGGACAATATGCGGCGTGCACGTCGTCGTAAAGGCATAACGCTGACAGACGTGGCAGTCTTCATGTTCGGCATTTGCACTGCATGCACACACTGTCCAGCTACGGTGGGTGAGAGCCACCGAGCCACCGTGCCACCGAGCCGGTAACATGGCATGACAGGGGAAACAAAGACTCACCGGGATTCCAGCCCTCGTACGAGTTAAGAAAGTAGCCCTCAGTACCAATAGCAATAAGCTGGTTGGGAGCGTTTGCGCGGAGGTGTGCCGTCGTCTCTTGCAGGAAGGACTGCACAACGGCTTGAGAGGCAGCATCCATGCACCCTGGGCACCTTGGCTCATTCATCGCATCCCACTGCATGACGGCGTCATCATCACGATAGCGGCGGCCGTTGAAGACGTTGGTGCGCCAAACAAGGGCCGAGATGTGGTCTCGGTATAGGTGTCGGACATCAGACGAGTTATAGAAATCGAGGATGTCCTTGCCGGCTGCGGAATGGAAAAGCATATGTTGGATTGGGAAAGCATGTGGAATGCGATCTAGGTCGCACGCACAACAAATGCAAATGCAAAAGCATGTATATGGGACAAACTGGTTGCGGACCTGGATTGATGCCGGCCATACGCATGAAGTCTTGCGGCGAGCGGTAGGCCTCCCAGGTGTTGCCCAAAGCAAGGATGAGCTTGATATTGTGCCTGTGTTGTGGTGCGTACGTGTCAGCGAGTAGCTAGTAGGAGCCTTCTGAAAGGTGGCTATCCTCTGCCCGACACACCTTGAGGCCGAGTCGACGATGTAGTCAAGGCCTTGAAATTGCGTTTCGTCATACTTACCCCACTGGTATGGCATGCGGTGGTTGAAGGCCCAGGTCCGCACCACTTTCAGTCCAAATTGCTGCAAATAGTCGGGACTGCAAGGTTAGCAACCAGCGGAATTAAGGAGTGCCTAAGAGTGCGAACACATGCCTTACGTTGCAATAGTCAAAAAACCTATCGACCATGCCCTTGTCCTTCTGCACAAAATCGATTAACCTGCGGGAAACAAGTGCCCCGGTTAGCATGGCATGTTGATGGACAGCTGGATGTCTTAAGCGGACTCACCAGTAAGCATTTGCTCCCATGAAATACCATGGCTTTCCGTTAACGCAGAGCTGGTGTCCGCAGCGCGTCACAAACGATGCCTCGGCGGGAGTAGCAAGGATGGCACAGACTCCGAGGACAAGGAGGCCCAATCCCGCCCAGGCTGAAGCCCGAGCGGAAAGAGTTCGAGCCATTCTATTTGGCGCTTCCTGGCGTGGTGTAATTCACCTGGGATTGCAGGTGATGTTAGCAACGGACGATTGCCCATGTGGCCGTTCGCGACATTCGGAACGCCCGGGGCCTTAATTAAGGGGATCGATATCATATGACCATACCTGCCTTAAGTATGGACTTGTTCAGGCTTCTGGGTGATGATAAAAGGTGGGACGTGTCGATGCCTTCGATACTGGTAGGCTACTAGGAAGGCTTTCGCCACAGAAAGGAGCCCAAAGCATGGATAAAAGAAAGGAGCTGTGTGCGCTTTTATATCGCCAGGATGTCATCCAGCTGTTTCCGTTACCGGCGGTTACTGTTCCGAAAAACGTATACGGCAGTTCAAATGAATTGGATTCAAGGATTGTTGAGAAAAAACTCTGCGTGTACTGCTATCCGGCTTTGGTATCCTATCTCACTAAGTTCTACAGCGTTGCGCATTGTTCACATGACGGGGAAGGAGGCGTCTGAAGGCCCGGTCACAAGTTACATCGCATAGCATTGTGGCGCTCCGAACACAGCAAGTAAAGATATGAAGAGGCACAACATCTTAATAATATTGTTGCATAGCAATACCGGTACGCTTCTCAGTCGTAGTCCCTGCCGTCTGTCACGCCACAGCTCCGACTTTGCGCCCCAGCCCTTTCGGCGCAAACCGCCGGAAGAAGGTTACCGAAGCCCATAGCGGCGCCTGCCCAACGGCTAAGTTCCGCTCCGCAAAACCCGTCGTGTCAGCCGGGCCAAAGAAGAGGGGCTTTGCCACCGCAATCAGCAGGAAATTGGCCATGAAAACCTGTTTTACGGGAGCACGGCCACAAGATCAAAGCCATTTTCATGCGCAGTCCATGGTTTGCTAGCATCACATAAACTCATACAAACACGGCTAGAATGCTTTGCTCCAGATACAAGACATACCTGAATCGCATGCGGCACTCGGATATGCGCTGCCTGCCCGGCCTTGCGCACCGCCCTCTCCAACATGAGGATGGGGGCCTGCGAGAGGAGAGCGACCGCCCTTAAGATAGGGATTTCTTTGTATCCACCTGCAACCCAACCCACATGGGCTCACCTGTATCGCGAAGAATGCGCACCACCTCCAGCTGAACATGCGGGTGTTGTACCTGCATAGACAAAGCGACAAATGCGTACAGTTGGCCTACCCACTACAGCAAACCGGGCTGTGCATCTGCCCACCATCCTTCTCCTCAGCGCTTTTCACTCTCCCCGTTTGCCTCACCAAAAGATAAGGATATGCCACAGCCCGCTGAACAGGAAGACAGCCTGGAGGCCCATGAACGTACGGAGCTTGGACACCGCCGGCCGCCCCTTTTTGCCAGTGACGGGCGCGCCACCCTCTTCCGCCCCCACAGCTTCTTGCTGTCCACCCTTGGCAGCGCCCACGGAAGACGTGCGCCCTGGACGCTGGCGAAGGCCGGTGGCGGCTTCCCCAGGCTCAGCGGGCGGAGCCGTGGCACCCTCCGCTTGCGCCTCGGCCTCGCTGGCAGGCGCTAGACGTGCGCTCTCCTGTGGACCCAAATCCAGGGGTGCAGTGAATCCATTAAAAGGTGCCTTTAGGGTTAGGGAAGGGGCTACCAGTCGCAAGCCCGCACATGCGCTCACCGGTGGCTGCGCATCCACCACCCTGGCTGCCGCCGCGGCATCGCCCGCGCTGGGCTTTGGCCGCGAGGGCAGCGGCAGCAGGCGTCCCTCGATCACGGGCTCGTACACCAGCACACGCAGCATGTAGGTGGTGGTCAGGTTCCTAGAGGGGAAAATTATATAAGAAATGCAAACGGGAAGGACAGCCGGGAGCGAGTGTCATTAGCTGCTTGGTAGGCAAAGGTCTATGGTACTAAGCGGCGGCCAGCGGCCGGCGGGAATCATCGTTGCAGCCCAGGACTCCTCTCTTAACTGGCCCGAGGCCTAAACAATCGCCGACCCAGATCGCCCGTGCAGTGAATCCCGCCAATGCAGGTCACCCTTAGCTAGGAAAGCCCTGACCCAGATCGATTGCGCAACCCATGCCGCCGACCCACTTCCCCACGAGGAGTACTGCAACGCCCCGAGCCTTCCCTAGGAGAAGCAAGCTCAGGCCTGCTTGGCGACAGCGCTCACCATCGGCGGGCCCAGAAGTCTCCAAAGCTGTCGCACTGCAGAGGGGCACAGAATGCGCACAAAGCAGGCAGCAGGTTACGGCTCTTCACGCCCTCGGACAAACATTCCCGCGCTGCGGATTGTACTAAGACGTGCGTACGGTCAGGGGCAACCAACTTGAAGCACACCTGCCCTACAGCCCCCGCCCTACACACGCTGCAATGCTCAGGCTCCCAAAACACGCTATCACCCACGTTTGCAACCCCAGGCCCCAGGCCCAGCCCCAGGCTTCACTTCTCCTTCTTTACCCCTTCCCCCAGCCCGCACGACATGCCCACCAGCCACGGCTTGTCGAATGTGGGCGCGCTGGTGAGTCCCAGCATCATGTGCGCCACCGCGCCCAACACGTCGAACACGCCGGTGAGGAAGGTGGCGGAGGCGAGCGTGTACAGCCAGTGCCGTACCATCACCGGCAGGCCGGGCGCCGCCAGCACCCAGCTGACCAGCATGGCGATGCCTGCGGGGCGGGAGGTCAGGTGGGGAAGGGGGGGAAGGGAGGGGAGGGGACGTGGATGTCAGGAACGTCGTACATGTACGGTCGGCGGACCAGGGAGGCGGCCGGGTTTCGCTGAGAGCCCGTGCTATGAGGGAGGCTTCACCCGCCGCCATGCCCCGACCCTCCCTGGCGCCTGGGTAACGGGCGTTGAGTCCCTAATCCCCTCCTTCTCCGCCTCCTCATTTTCCCGCTAGCCCGTCCGCACCTGTGTTGGCCCAGCTGTCTAGCAGCAGCTGCCGGCCGCTCTTGACGGTGCGCACGCGGGCAGCATCCGGGGAGCCGACGGTGAACACCTGCATGCAGGGCAGCGGGGGGGGGGGCACAGCAGCGTGTGTTAAGACGTAAGAAAGCTGGCCGCGAGTGCATGTGTGTCCTGCGCGTTGCCAGCAGGCTACAACGATGCAGTACCGGGGCGAGGAACGGAAGGTAGGGAGCGGTATGAGATGGTCGCTTGGCGGGCAGGGGTAAGGGTGTGTACAAGAGACGATGGCTGGCAAAAGGCCGGCTTGCAGGCATTGCCTCGGTTGACAAAGCCGTGGGACTCATGGGGCGCTGCTGCTGCTGCTGCTGCTGCTGCAGCCGTGGCTGGCAGGCTGACCTGGATGGGCACGACGGGCAGCAGGTAGACCCCGCAGAACTGCAGCGGGCTCAGCCAGCGCGGCAGCAGCGGGCCGCGGGAGATGCAGAAGGCCAGCAGCTGGGCGGCACGGGTACGCGGGGGGAGGGGGCAGCGGAGGTTGGTAGGAGCGAGAGGAAGAGGGAAGTCTGGTTCTGGGGGTAAGACGAGGGCGGATGCAAGAGTTGCAAGCTACCCCGCCATTCTGTCCTCAACAGTCCCCTGCATGGCAATGCTGGAGAGGTGGAGGGGTGGGGGGGGGTGCGAGTGGTGGAGTGGCGGGAGCAGCGGTCCAGCCGCGCTCACACCTTGAAGGCCGCCAGTGAGAAGATCCCCGCGATGGGTGTGATGAGCAGCGGCTCGGCGTGCGGGTCCAGCAGCAGCGGCACCACCAGGTTGCCCAGCTGGGGGCAGGAGCAGGGAGGGGGAGGGGGGGCAGGGCAGGGCAGGGCGGGAAGGAGGGGGCCAGGGGGAGGAGGGGAGCGGCAGGCGGGCGTTGCGGTGAAGGGGCATGGCAGGCGCGAATCAGCACGATTTGGTGTTGTGAGTTTATAATATTCAGGTGATGTCGCTTCGTGACAGTAGCACGGTGGATGAGCGGCTGTCAAGCGGATACCAGCCTGTCAAAACAGAGTAAGGCAGCAGCGCGACACAGCCCACAGCTGGAAGACAATGCCAGCAAGTGCTTTCTCCGTACTATCGCGGATATCAGCACAGGCGACAGGCGCCCTACCAGGATTGGGGCTGCTGCTAGGAGCCTGGGCAAGCCAGGATGCATCCGGCGCACCACCGCGACGGCCCAAAGAGCCGTCAACAGCGCGTAAACATCCAGAGCTAGGATCTTGCGCAGGAAGGAGGGCAATGACAGGAAGTGCGCCTGCAGGCTCCATAGCGCACTACTCGCGCTAGGAGGAAGCCAGGTGGCGGGTTCTAAAGGAACTGTTGTCATAGCGCCCAACGCCCCAACCTCAAATTAAGTGGCATACAATGTGTTTGTGTATTTCGAAGGAAATGGTGTGCGAAAAGATTAGTTTGCCGTCTGCTAATTGCCTATATACTCTGCTGTCGGCCTTTGGCTTTGCAGTAAGCGAGCGATGGTCCCAAGTCGCCGTCCAAAGGAAGACCACCGATGCACGTCTTTCTTACGACAGACGTAGTAGCGATCATACCACTGGCCAACACTTCATTTGTTTCAATGCTCTGGGTTGCAATAATTCGTGCTATATGCAGTTTGTTGAATGGGGCTCGGTGACCCATGGGTCGCAGACGCGTGCTGTTCCGTTGCGGCTGCTGCTGCATTGAGGCATCCACTCTCCACATCATAGGCTTGGGAACAGCAGCCAGCAAGAGCGTGGCAGATGCAGGCAGAAATGAAATCTGATTGGTGGCACAGGATGCAGGTTACCACGTCCGACACGGAATTGCCCAGAACAGAAGTGAGAAGTATTCATTGGCGATTTACATTTCGAGCCGCCCGTGCTTATGGGCTTTCCGTTGGGGCAGAAGGTGCCAATTGGGGCCGTATAAAGCCGGGTGCGTGGGTGCGCCGCTACTTGCAATGCTGCCGTGCAGCTTCACAGCTTACGGCGTTTGGCGCATGCCAATAATGGCGTAAATTTCGCCAACAGCAAGTCAATTAATGCAAAGTCGTCCATGTCTTTACCAAATATGGCTGAAAAAATATGCTCCAAGATGCATGTCCATGAAAATTAGAAACCGTTAAAAAACCAGAGCGAACCACACGGAGTACGTCAGCCCACACTCTTTAATTCCATCTCGTCACGTGCGTCACTTGTCACGCAATGCAAGTCAATGCGCCACACGGCTCAAGCCTTACCAGCCACTGAAGCCCACTGGAAGAGCAACAGGGCGAAGAACACCCGGACAAAACTGTGCGACTCCCCCCAGCACAGCACAGCGGACCCAAGCCATTATTGACCATACATCATCACAGCAACGGAAGCGACAGGCCCAAGCCGCAAGGCGTAACCGACCAAACCCCAAGAATTAGGCATTGATGCATACTTGCAGAAGGAAGAAAGGTGATCTTCGTACACACCAAGTTACAAAATTTTCTCTCCAGGATGCGTAGATAGCACTACCGGCGCCACCAAATGTGTGCCGTACTATGAACCCGTCAACCGGAGTCGCATGGGTGAAGCGACCCGTGCTAGGGGCCATCGTTATCTCGGTATGACAGCTTCTCAAGTCTCCGCGCGCCAGACGGCGCTGCTGGCGCTGCTCAGTTGTCCTGCAGTTGGAACATGGCAATGAAAGAGCGTTAGGCCAGGGGCTAAGCCTCCAATGCTTCCACACCTGGGCTCCTCACTACACTTTCCCCTTTACACTTCAAGAAGGGAGCTTCGGTATACCTCCCCCTAACCCTCGAAAAGGGCTTACGCTCCATGCGCACGCACCTTGTATGCTAGCGCATCATCCAGCAGCCGGACGGCGGCCTCCGCCTTGGCAGCCAGGGCCTCCCCCTCCGCGCCCATGGCGTGGATCTGGGGCATGTAGTGGTGGAACTGCTCGCGCAGCGCGGTAACCTGTATGTGGTGGTCAAGGGGAGGAACGGTGACGCGCACGATGGGAGTTAACATGTCGGTCCCTGTTTTACCTGTTCCCTTAGGAAGATGTCGGGACACCACACAGACTGCATTTTGTCACAACGACGCCAAACCTTCACAACCTCAGCGCCAAACCTTCGCCTGCACGTCAGCTGTACTTACGCGTGCCACCAGGCTGCGCGCCAGCTCAGTCTCGAACGCCTCGTTGGGCGAGTCCTTGTGCGCCACCAGCATGTCGCGCAGCAGCTGGGCGTTGGCCTCCGCCTGCTCCGCCAGCTCCCCCACCTCCGTCACGATACACGTCGCTACGGGCACGGCTGCGAGCCCAGGAAAAAGGGCAGGCCGAAAAGCGCAAAGAAGTGTCAGTGAACCTTATCAACACCACCGTAAGCACGCACGAGCGACACGCTCAGCCTGCATGCAAGAGTTGTACAACAAGCAACAGCAATGCCTTGTGCAGCGCTGCTCTCACCAGCGGTCTTCTCCGGCACCGCCATGCAGGAGTGCGTGTCGATGTGCAGCACCTCCGCGGAGCCCCACGCGCCGTCCAGCAGGTTGACGGCCACGAAGGCGGCGGTGCCCTTCTCGCCGCGGGAGCGCAGCAGCTCTGCAGCGGCCTGGCGGGTCAGCTTGCCTGCGGGTGGCCGGAGCCCGAAGGCATCGGACCAGGGACTGGTGAGTACCGGTAGGCTTGCAGACATGAGGTGTTACGGTACCAAGCATGATGAACACGCCGGGGAACGAGCGATTCTGACTCTTGAAACCCAAAGCACCAAGCGCAGCGCAGCCCGGCGGCACCCACCCTCCTCCGTTGAGCCCTTTGCGGGTCGCATCAGCGTCTTTGCCACCTCCTCCAGCAGCTCCCCCTCGTACTCGCCCAGCGTGTCGGCGCAGTCGCGCACGATGTGCGCAAACAGCCGCACCGCCAGCCACTGCTTGTGCGGCCGCTTGCTGTGCAGGCGCTGCTTCAGCAGGTTGACAATGTCCTGCGGTGCCGTCGTCAACATGCGCCCGGTAAGCCCATGAGCGGCTAGCGCGAAGCAAGGATAAGCAGGATTGCACTGCAGCAGCAGCGCAGTGTGTCCCATGCAGGCTCCAGCCTGCTCTTCTCCACCTACTGTAGCACGGCTACAATACCGTAGTAGAGCCCCATAAGAAACCCCCCTCCCACACACACGGCCAGTTATTTTAACACACACGGCATCTCAAAGAGGCCCCTTGCAACCCTGTTACACCCGCCAACCTGGTGGTCCTTGCCGTTGAGTATGTCCAGCTTGATGGTGCGCACCACCTGCGCGATGAGCTCCTCGTTGGGGTGCAGCAGCTGAGCCGAGGTGGCGGCGCGCAGCTGCTCAGCGAGCGTGCGGGCCTCGGCGCTGGTGAGGTGCGTCTCTGTGGTGCATGGGAGGAGGGCAGGCAATAGGGAGCACCCGGTCAGGAGCGGTGAAGGAAACGTGAAGGACAGAAAACATACATTAACATGCACGGTAGGGGCTGGGGCGTCTCAGGTGGTGTTCCTTGCCATCCGGTTGAGCGCACTGGACGGCACCAGGTACCGCACTCACCGCTGGTCGGCTCCGGCACAGCCATGCAGGAGTGGGTGTCGATGTGGGCGGTCTCGCCCGAGCCCCAGGCGCCGTCACTGCGGTTGACGGTGAGGATGGCGGCCTTGCCGGCCTCACCAAAGCCGTGCAGCAGCTGCAGGCAGGCATCGCGGGTGCGCTTGCCTGCAAATCACGAATTGGGTTATAGGCATGGCGCATGGCCCCGGTTAACGACAGCCTAGCTGCGAAAGGGAATCACGCAATCACCACACCAGAATACCATACTTCACTTGGATATTATTGGACGACTTGGGCCATATCCGCACTACCTAGGACACCCTCACCCTCGTCAGAGTCGGGCTTGGCGGGTCGCATCAGCGTCTTCGCGACCTCGTCCAGCAGCTCCTCCTGGTGTCCGCCCAGCGTGGCCTCGCACTCCCGCATGACGCGCTCCAGAACCTTGACCGCCAGGTATTGCTTGTGCGGCTTGTGGGAGTGCAGGCGCTGGCGCAGCAGGTCGGCAATCTCCTGCTCATCGTAGGGGTATACAGGGGGTGCTGAGATGGGAGGTTGGGTAACGTGGATGCACACGTGACCCATGGGTCATCTGATGCCACAGATTGATTGCAGATTCAGACGCAAGTAGCAAGCCAGAGTTATTAAAGCGCGGTGGCTGTGCATGTGCAGCTTTTCCCTAGTGCAAAGCCGACGTACCTGGCTGTCCCTGCCGCTGCAGACGTCCGTGTTGATGGTCTGGACCAACTGCACAAGAAGCGGGACGTTGGAGTCGGGGTCATGGCAAATTCGCAATCCATCAGTCAGACGGCGATGAACCCATTTGGATCCCACCGTCCAGACATGGTGGCCATGATGGCTCAATCCTAGCTGCAGCAGGACCCACCTGGGTGATGAGCGCCTCGTCAGGCTCCGCAAGGTCCTTGTCGGTGGCCTGGCGCAGCTGCCCCTTGAGCGCGCACGTCTCCTGGTGGCTGAGGTGGCTGGCGGTGCTCTTCTCTGCAGGCAGGGGAGGGTCCAGCAGTGGGTGGTTAAAGAGGTAGGCAAGCTTCTAGGCCAGTGGAATGGTTGCAAGTACGGTGCAATCATAGCGTTCTAGAGAGCAACCTGGGAAAAATAGGGTATGGGGAAGAAGCGTTGTCCTGTATGTACAACAACACTACACGCGGCGTGTGCGCTGCGCAGCCTATTGGAAGAAGAAGCAACGTCTTGCGTACACCCTGTTGCCCTTCGGCTCACCCTCGGGCACGGACATGCACGAGTGCGCTATATGCTCGCCACCGCCGCGCTCAGCCCAGCCGCCGTCAAGGCGAGAGATGGCGAGGTAGGCGTGGGTGCCGGCCTCTCCGAAGGACTGCAGCAGCGCAATGCAGGCTTGGCGGGTGCGCTTGCCTAATGGAGCAGCAGTGGACAGGAGGGAAAGCACGGGATGTCATTGAAACGAGGTTGATCCCGGCGGATGTACGATGTGCCATGAAACTATGACACAACGCTTGGCGTAAGCGCACTTGAGGTACCGGTATGCCCGCCAAGCCTAGGAAGAAGCCTCTGCTGCACGTACCCTCCGGAGTGTTTGCACGTGCCGGTCGTGCCATGGTCCTCGCCACCTCCAACAGCAGTTCCTCCTGGTGGGGCTCAAGGCTGGCGCTGCAGTCGCGCATGACACGGCCCACCAGCTGCGCAGCCAGCCATTGCTTGTGTGGCTTGCTGGAGTGTAGGCGCTTTTTCAGCAGATCCACAACATCCTGTGGACGGATAATGTACATGGTAATTAGACGCGTCTGTCCAATAACAAGAAGCTGCTGACAAGTACCGGTAAGTCCCATGCCATGACCGATGTTTCAACCACGAAGCTCCTTACCCAGCAGTTCTTGCCGGCGATAACCTCCTTATTAATTGTGTCCACCACCTGTCCAAACACGCGGGCAAGAGGTTGCATTCCACGCAAGCTTTGTTCGCCGGCAACACCCTTTGTTAGCTTAACGGTACACGTGACCCTAATCACCCCGACACCATGAGTAGGGTGCTTACCTGGGCGTTTAGCTCCTCGCTAGGCTGCTCAAGCTCCTTGGCAGTGGCCGCCCGCAGCTGCTCCAGCAGCGAGACCCCGCGCAGATTATCCGCATACTTGGGGGAGGAAAACAGGCCAAGCAACGCTTCTTTTAGGTCCCAAACCATGGCTTCCTATAGACTTGAAAAATTCGGCTGACGGTGCGGAGTTCGTTTTTCTGAGTGAAGGAACTAGCGATGCCACTAAAGCTGTTTCATGACAATAGTGTTTGGTAGACCAAAGCGGAAGTTTTTGCAGTGACAAGGTCTTGCTGAAGTCCACTGAGGCACTGAGCGTAATCCTGGCCGAGCATGTAACCAGAACTAGCATTCAACGGAAGTTTGCCAGACAGTACTTCCAGTACTTATTATTAGAGTCTCAGTGGCCATGTTTTCAACATGAAGTTTATTTCCGGTAAGTTATGCATTAAATTGTAACGTTGCAGATCCAATTATGTAATCGTCTCTATCGAAATCGCCCGGTGGCCTCTCAGCCATCTCTTGTCAACGCAGGCAATAAGGGCTGTATCACCAGAACTCCATGTCATCAGATCTAGTGATAAGAATAAGCGCCAAGCGGCGCTGCTAAGTGGAAAGGGTTTCGATCCCATTGCACTGGACATTGCCTTCCTGTTTGATACTACTCTTACACTGAACAGCCTGAAATGCACACTGTCAAGCTGAAGGAAGGCAAAGCATGTATCCCTTAACGCCCTTTTGCTTTGACCCATGGTTCGCTGCTGGAGCCACCTTCCTGTAATACCGGTTAACATTTATGTTGTCTAATGGTAGTGGTTGCTTGGAAATGACAGGAGTATTTTAGCTGCGCTCCTCCACGCCGCAGACTTTGCCTAACCAGTTTGAGCTGTACATAGCTAGTTGAAGGTTAGCGGCATGATTTGCTGTACGTAGGGCAAAGTTGTGTGCATGACTCGAGATCTGGGCTTCGTGCCGGCGTAAGGCTGGTCACGGCATTCAGGTCCAACCCCTCGAACTAGCGGTATCTCCGAAGTTTACGAAATAAACCTATAATGTACAAACCAGACCCATCTTTGAATTGAACTGCTGCACGTGCTCAACAGCAAAATGACAAGATTGGCGTTATTGCTCACCGCCGTCCACGTTGCTGGACGAAAATTGCCATGTCGGACACCATCTGTTATCCAATAGCAGAACCGGGCAAGCCTTCTTTATCATTGACAACATAAATCAACATAATATGACATAACATTGGTCGAAATACATGTTGCAAAAGAGGACGCTCTGACAGTGTTTGTGTTTAGGCATTTAGGCGAGCGACCCACGCGATCCGCGTAGCATAACGAGGCTGTTGCTGCTTTCTTTTACCTCAGTACTCTCCTTCCAAATCGCTCTTTCCAGGCGGCTTGCTTCCTAAAGCTGAGAAGCCGTCAAAGTAACATCGGCCGACTTTCAAGCGCTCGCGAAGGCTTGGGAGCCTGGCGGGAAGTCCACAAACGAACTAGTCAGCAGCAAGGGGTCGCGAAGGATGAGACGCACCAGACTTGCACACGCAAGGCTAGCGCCTGGGGAGGCGGCCGGAACTGAATCAGACGATGACAGTCCCGCGGGGGGTGGCCCATGGGTCGGCGGCGTCCGCAGCAGCGGCAGTGACAGCCAAAGCAGCGACCGCGCCGGCACCTCCGCATTCATGACGGCGGCCGATAGGTTTGACAACTCTAACACCGGCGTCCTGCCGCCGCTGTCTGCAAGGGCAGCGGTGTCGCCGCCAGCACAGGGTTTGCCGCTGCTTCGCGCACGCCAGCTTCCGGGGGTGCCTGACATCGAGGTCCGCCGTCAGGCGCCGCAAGACGTGAGCAGCTCCGCAGCAGCTGCGGGCTTGGGTCCCAGCGGCGAGGCCGGCTCCCGGCGCCCCCATCACCATGTGTCCCGGCACCACCACCACCACCAGCACCACCACCACCAACAACAACAACACCAGCACCCCCAGGCAGGACAGCAGCAGCGCCAACCCCACCACGAGCCTCGCCTGCACAGCGCTGACGGCTCGAGACGCGCGGCTGCATCCCCACCACCGCCACTGCAACTCCCAGCCGCGGCGTTAGGAGGTGATAACCGAGTAGGGCCCACTGCTGCCGCCGCCGCGGCCGCCGCAGGCATGCAGCAGCAGCCGCTCCCATTACAGCCAGACGAGCTCAAGGACTGGTATCAGCAGCTGCTGAGGCTGGAGCCCTCCACCCGTGGCATTGCAGCGGCGCCAGCGGGCCCGGTAGCAGCAGCGGCTCCTCCCCGAGCCGCTCCTGACAACCCATTAAAGCTCGCCCCACCCGCATCTGCCCCGCCGTGGCATGCCGCCAGAGCGGAGCGGGGCTACGCAGCCCCAGCCGCTGCAGGCGCCGTACCTCTGGCAGCTGTCGGCGCTCGGACAGGCGGGCTGGCCTTCAGCGACTGCGGCAGCGGACACGAGGGGGACGAGGAGGAGGGCGGCGGCGCCTCGGGTTACGCCTCCGACGCCGCGAGCAGCAGCGGCAGCAGCGCTCCCTCCGGGGGCGGCTGCTCGCCCATGGACACCGGGGAGCTGCTGCCGCCGCCGCCGCCGTCTAGACGCGCGCAGCAGCCGTACCTCAGCAGCGGCACCAGCCAGCCGCGCCACCGACAGCACGGCCACATGAGCCGCAAAAAGCCAGCCAAGAAGGGTAAGCAGGGTCTCGATCAGGCCGGCCTAGCTGGCTTCGGAGTGGCCAACGTCCTCGGCAGCACCAACCCCAACCCTGCGTGCGGGGGCATCGCAGGGGTGCAGGCGGGCCTAACCGACCCATGGATCGCGCTGAGAGCTGCTGGGATAGCGATGCCGACGCCACGTGGTGACTGGCGGGGAGCCTTTGGGGGTGTCGGCAACGGCAGCGGTGAACGCAGGGGGGCTAGAGGAGAGGGAGGAGCTGCGGCTGGAGTGCCGCCGGCGGGCGTGTGGCTGCGGGACGGCACCGCAAGGGGCTACCCTGCCCGGGGCGGGCTGCAGGAGGCGGCGGGAGGACCTGCGCCGCGGCGGTGGCGGGGGGCGACGGGAGATCCCATGGAGGTGGCGGACGCGGCGGCGGAGGCGGCGGAGGCTGTACGACAGGGGCCGGCTTGTTTCGCCCGCCGCATCGCTTCACAGCCGCCGGCAGCGTTAGCGGCCGCAGCCGCGGCATCGCATCTGTTGCCGCCGCCGCCGCTGCCGCAACTACAGCCACGCCACGTCCCGACGTCAGGCCGCCGTCGTGGCAGGCCGGCAGGTGCAGGCGCCGCAGGACAGTCCGAAGATAGTGCTGGAACTGGCGCCGGCGGCCTCGGCGGCGGCACTCCAGTTGCGGGGTCGGGAGGTGGGGTTGCGGCTGCCAAGCGCAGCCGTCTGTACGGTCCCGCGACGCCTGGTAGCCCCGACCGCCCTGGACCTGGCCAGCCCGGTGCCGCCACCTGGCCCCTCACACTGTCCATTCGGGCGCTCAGTCTGGAACCCCCGCAGCCCAACACGCCACAGTCGGAGCAGCAACGAGGCGCGCACCAGCAGCAGCAGCAGCACCAGCAGGTGCCGCGACGCGTGGCGGAGCACTACGGCGCCGCTGGGAGGGCCGCAACTGCGGCGGCGGTGGCGGGCCCCGCCGCGGCGGCCGCAGCTATCACCGCCGCCGCCACGGCGGCGGCAGGAGGGCGTACGGCGCTTGAGCAGTTAGCGGCGGCGGGGCCCGGACATACGCTTCAGTACGGCATTGTCCCTTTCGCGCTTCCGCTGCTGGCGGCGGCTCAGGGGGTCCGGGGCTCGCATCTGGGGCAGCTTCAGAGCAGAGCGGCGGCCGCTGACGTGCCGGCGGGAGTGACGGCGGCAGCTGACGCCGCCGCTGCTGTGGCTGCTGCGGGCGGCGACGGCGCTATGGGGCTCCTAATCCCCACGTCAGAGCGATGGCGCGGCGATGCTGCGGTGTATGGTAGGTGGATTGCAGCGGCGGCGCCTACTGGGGGACCGATGCTAACACCGCCGGCTGCGCAACTACCCGTGACAACCGCGACAGCGGCGGTGCCCCCCGACATGCAAAGAGGCGCGGAGGCCGCCGCTGCCGCTGCGCGCAGCGCCCTGGCGGCTGCCGTGATGTACGGCGACCCGCCGCCTCTGCCGCCAGAGTACGGCGACATACCGGAGCTACAAGACCCCGACGTACGGCAACAGCTTCAAAGGCTGGCGCAGCAGCAGCAACAAGGCCAGCAACAAGGCCAGGAGCAGCAACAGGGGCGCCCATCATGGGTTGTCACCACAGAGATTACACCTGCATCCGAGGAGGGCGGCCCAGGCGGCCCTGAGCGCAATCCGCAGGACCAACAGCAGCAGCAGCAGCAGCAGCGAGAACAACAGCGAGATCAGGTACAAATGCATCCGCTAAAGGACAGTGGTACCGCCGGCGGAGGTCAGTGCCCGGGTTTTGCATGCACTATCCCCGACTCGGCCCATGACGAAACGCTGGGCGGCCTGCAGCAGCGGCAGCCCGCTGCGGTGGCCCCGCCGGTAGCATCAGCCCCACCGCAGCAGCAGTCGGAGGGGGACACGGGTGTCAGGGTTTTGGAGCCCGCTGAGGCCATGGAGGTGGAGGTGGACGAGCAGGCCGAGGCGGCCCAGCCGCCCTGCCCGGGTGACCTAGCAGCTCAGCTGGGCCCCACTCCCGCCACGGACGTGCTTGACTCGGAGCTGCTGCCCTCGCTGGCGGACCGCCGCAGCGGCTCCATACGGCCCGTGGGCACCCGCAGGAAGCGGCGCAACAGCGGCTACGCTGGGGGAGGCAGCAGTGGCGGAGGGGGCTACGGGGGCGGAGGAGGAGGACGGAGCGCCGGTGGTGGAGGGAAGCGAGGCGGCGGGTCGGGGCATGCGTGAGTGGGGGAGTGAGGGTGTGCAATGTGGCTGGGTGCATCTCGTGGGTTTGCATGCATGCAGGTTCCCCGGTGGCGGCGTTGAGGCGTTGTTGTGGCGCTAGGTGAACAGCTGTGCGGAGGGCTATGATGGGGGGGATGTGCCTAAAGCGCGTGTTATGTGCGTGTGTGCCGTGGACGACAAGCAGGACGGATGGCGAACGGATGTCGTGGGCTGGAATTTTAACAGCTCGATTGGGGTCTGCGGTGAACTCTTACGTATCCGGTATCCCTCCTCAATGAGGACGCATAAGGAATTGGCGTGGTAGTTGGCTACGTTAAGACGGCGCGGACTGCGACGCGAGGTGTGTCGGTCGGTGTATGGTGCAGAAAATCCAGGCAGAGCTAATACCATGCAAATGGGGTCTGTTACGGAGTTGTGGAGCGTCGCGACGCTATGAGACAAAGGTTGCATCCTATGCTGGAACTTGAAAAGAAATGCTTGTGCAATTGGTTAAGCGCAATGATATCTATATAGGGGTTGTTAATGTAGACATATATCACGGATGTGCTTGCAATGGAAGTGTTGCATTGCGGCTGTCGGCATCCCGTCAGTCGATGTTCATAAAACTTCTACACAGTACGTCGAGGATGCAAAAAGGTTTCCAGTTCTATTCTGGACTGTCCCTACACAAAGCGACGCTTATTAAAGCAGCGCTTAAGGGCTGTCGTTATGCTGGCTTTAGGTTGACACACGTTAACGGGTCAGCCATAGAAGGTAGAAGTGCGGTCAAACCTAAACCCAGGGTATCACCTTTGAAGCTATGGTTGAGACATCTGCTAACTTGGATAACCTTGAGAAGGTCTCGTTGCCGGTACCTTTCCCAGTCGCTATAGTTACTCGGCCTCACCCTGGCATAAGCGGAAGCCCAAACTGCAATTACCAGACGCTAGTCTTTTCAAACGAGAGAGATGCTTTATTCAGCAGCGGCTCTGGAGCTCGGAGTTGCATTTTTGAACTGCTAGGTGATGGCAGTGACCCTAGTGCGCCATTCCGCCTGGCAGCCCTTGCGCTGGAGCTCAAGGTACGTGTCCTTATCGCCTAGGCCCAAACGTAGTCTGGGTTTAAGGAAGAGGCGTAGGCGGCCCTGGACAATTGACCTTGCGTTGCTGCCGTCAGCCGGGGCAGGGTGCGATATCTCTCGCCCAGCCGCGCTGTGGGGTGCGCTAGGCCTTTCCGTGTACCCCTCTCCTGCCCTGGCATAGAATGCTCAGCCCGTCATCGTTCTTCCTGTTCGAACCTGCACCTAAAGCACCACCTCTATGCGCCTCTTCACCGTCGCGATCCCATTATCCCACAGACACACACACCCCAACCTAGAACCCCTTGTCCTGCATTCCCCCGCCTTCCGTACGGCAGGAACGAAGCCCCGATGGCCGCCTGGTGCCGTACACCTGCCAGGTGGCGCTGCACCGGGCCGTGTACGACTCATACTCCAAGGCGGTGTACTTTGTGGAGGGTGGGTCGGGGGCCGGGACGGGGCGGGGGACTTGGTGCGGGTTCAATGTGAGCGAGACCAGCTGGACGGTGGGGCGACCACTGCTGCTGCCTGCCTGCCCAGTGGTGCGACGAGCGCCCTGGCGAACTGAGCAGCAGCAGCACTGCCAGTGGGCCCGAGCTGGCTGGGCTTGTTGTGCCCAGCTCCCAGCACTCACGCATGAGTGCACCCAACGCCCTGCCTTGTGCTCGCGTGTCCATGACATGTCAGCCCCGGACCCCGCTCGCCCGACCCACATCACAACCCTCAATCCCCCATGCGTGTCGTATCCCTCGTGTCGTTCCCCTCGCACCCCCCAATCCCACCCGTTCGCATCCCCACCTCTCATGACCCAACACCCCTTACTTACACCCATCCACCTCCCCTAACCCCCCTGCACCCCCGCCCTCGTCCCCAGGCCGCGCGCTGATGCGTCTGGGTTCCGACGACGTGGTGGCCCCCCTGGCGGGCCACCGCGAGCTGTGCGGCGCCAATGACGGCCCGGGCGGCGCCGCGCGCTTCCAGCTGCCGCACTCCCTGGCGGCGGACGGCGCGGGGTCGCTGTTCGTGGCGGACTGCGGCACTGTGAGGCGGGTGGTGCTACCGGGGCTGCACGAGCGGGAGGGCGCGGAGGCGGTGGTGACGACTTTGTAAGTGAGATTGCCGGGTGCGGAGGGAGGGAGGCAGGGGCGGTGGAGAAAGCCGGCGCGGGCTTGATGGAGGGAAGGGAGTCATGGCTACAGTGAATGCGCTGCGTATGGTTGAGTTATGGAGAATAATGTTCAAGATGGGCCTGCTTGCTGTGGTTTCTGTGCCTTCATGCAGTCCTGCTCCGTTTGGCCCCCACCCCATGCGTGCTCAGGTACGGCGGCCCCTGGAGTGCTGGCTTTGTGGACGTGGCATACGAAAGCACCACCGGCCGCCTCTACGCCGCCACCATCTCCGCCGTGTACCGCCTCTCGGACGAGGGCCGCGTCATCACCCGCGTGGCGGGCTGCGAGGCGGCCAGCGGCAGCGGCAGCGCAGCAGCCAGCAACTGGGGCGGCGGAAACGGCCTGCCCGCACCCGCGGCGGCAGCGGCTGTGCCCGCAGGGGCGGCCCCGGAGGGGGCCGCAGCCGCCACCTCCGCTGGCAGTGCTGCGGGCGGCGGCAGCGGTGCGGGTCAGTTCCAGGGTTTCGGTGGCATCAGCGGCCTGGTTGCTGACGTGGACGGCGGGCTGCTGGTTGCAGACCGGCAGCACGTGTACCGGTTGGAGGCGGACGGGGGGGTGGCGTCGGTGATATGCGTGGGCAAGAGCGACACGTCATGGGGCGCAGTGGGTAAGTGGAGGGGGTGCGGAGCGGAAGCGGGTGCACGTGCGTGTACGGACACGGTTACGGAGGCGAGTCATGGACCCACTTTGCTTTGTCACAACAGAGTCCTGCCCCGTCTTCATCCCGCCCAACCCCACTGTTGGGGCTTTCCTCCCCTCCACCCAGGCTGCTACCCATGCATCCTACCCAACGGCTGGCTGGCGCTCTGCCAGTACCACGACCGCCGGCTGCTGCTGCTGCACCTGGGGCTACAGCCCGCCCCCGCCCCGCAGCGAGCCGTCTGGCACGAGGGCGTGTCGGGGCTGCTGGGTGACCTGGCGGCGCTGCTGGCCTGCCCGGACGGCAGCGAGGACGTGGAGGTGGCGGTGGGGGGCGCGTGCTTCCGCTGCCATCGGGTCATCCTGGCGGCGCGGTGCGCCTACTTCAGGCGGCTGTTCGCGGGCAGCTTTGCGGACAGTCGGGCGAGGAAGGTGGTGCTGCAGGTGCGGGGCGTGGCGGGGGACGGGGAAGTAGGAGGAGGAGGAGGAGGCGAGGGAGCACAGCAGGTGTCTGAGTAATTGGAGTTCCGGCATGGGCCTTGGGGCGTACTCTTGGGGCTTACGTGGCCAATCTCAACCTCCCGCCCCTTTCGATTCCCCCCTCCTCCTCCTTCCCCCCAGGATGCCGACCCTGACGCCTTCTCCCACCTGCTGCGGCACATGTACACGGGCGACCTGTCCTTCCCGCTCGCCTCGCTGCGGGCGGTGGCGGAGCTGGCGGACCGGCTGCTGCTCCACCAGGTGGGGCAGGCGGGGAGGGGGGAAGACCCAGAGGCGTGAGGGAGGTGGGGAACAACGTCCGGGTGGCAGCTGTAACAGAGAGAGGGGTAATGGTCTTGCAACTTGCTGGGATCAGGAGGCAAACCCAACAAGGCCGATACCCAACCTTCTCCAAGACTCTTGTCTTCACAACCCTCGCCGTTCTTGCAGCTCAATGTTACCTAATCCCCCATCTCCTCTCTTGATTTTCCTCCTCCTGCCCCCACGCCCCCCAGGTCGTCCGCCACGTGCACCGGCGGCTGCTGGCGGCCGCCCAGCCGGAGGGTGTGGTGGCCGACATGCTGTGGGCGCAGCGGCAGGGCTTCACCGACCTGCTGGCAAGCCTCAAGGTGGGGCCGGGGAGGGAAGATAGGGGGGAACACATCTTGGATGGCACATGACGTATTACGCGGTGCCTGGCCTGTCTTGACACGCCGCATAGCTCCCGTCGGGTCAAGGCCCTTGCCTGCTCATCTGCTGTCCCTTACGCTTCCCCGCTTCTGTGCCCCGGCCACCGCCGCTGACCCATGGGTCGTTTCCCCTCAGGAATGGTACCTGGAGCACCAGACGCAGGTGCTGGCGGCCGCCCCGGACAGCGTGCGCGAGCTCTTCGTGGCCGCCCCCGCCCTCATGTACGACCTGCACTGCGCCACGGTACGGCAGGCGCAGCAGCAGCAGCGGAAGTAGGGGAGGCAGCCACAGGGGTAGCAGCGAGGGCAGCAAGAGGAATGGGGACGACGACAGCAGCTGTGAATACTGCAGTGCTGTAGGGGCGCCAGAAGTTGTGGCGTCTGCTGGATATGCGGCGGGGTTTTGGTGCATGTTGCATCTTCAAAGCATGACATGTGGAAAGACAGTTTTCTCTCAGACTCAATGCATGAGGAGATGTGGGGCTTATGTGCACATGTGGTCTTACATGGTGACCGCCCTGTTGAGGCAAAACACTAACCAGGCTAATGGGCTTATGACTACCGCAGGTTTATGCTTCCCAGTTGGCCTTTGCATCACAGCCAGGCACGACTATAGGCCTAGTCCCGTGCTCGTGAGTTCATGTCCCATCGTGTGGCAGGACTATTGCTCACCTTTGCTGGTTTCCGGTTCTCCCCGTCGTTGTCAGTTGATTGCCTTCAATATTGCCCCAGGCTGGCATATACCGCTGCCGATCTGGGTTCTTGGGTGCTGGTGTGTGCTCGTTGCTGGGAGGACGGAAGACAATGGAAGGTCAAGCTTTGTACCGTCCACGATGTGCGCGGGGGCTACAGATGCTGAATAAAGTACGTGCGGTGCTGGTTAGGTCCACAGTTAATGTACATCCCCAAGTCCATGATATGTTTGGGAGCACTTTTTGTGATGACGACAGACCCGAGGGTTGTACTAAATACCAGTCTCCGCAGAACCCCTTTGGTGTTGACGCGAAGTGACGTAACCAAGCAAATGGAATATGTTTTTTGAATGGCGGCAGGACTGTTGGGATGCGATGCATTTGCATGTGACGGAAGTGTTGAGTGCTTTTGCAGGGTTGCTGATTTTGTTGTGTTGTAGTGTCGTTGGTGCTAAATGCAAGCCCACATGGCAAGGGGGAGTGCGATTGCACTTGTGACTTATTTGCGGTTATTGAGGTGGCTGCTGTTGGTGCGGCCGACACGGCCGGCCGTTGTGGCCTGCTCTCCTGTGGCCTAACCCGCATGCGCGCGACCGCCCTCGAACGAACCCTTCTTATTCCCTAGCTACTATTACGTTTTTCATCGCAAATGGCCGCCGCTCTCAGTGTGAAGGAGAGGGGCAACGGAACGGTTGTACGACAAGCGGTAGCAGTAGCGATGACCTCTTCGTAATTACAGAAGTACGGCACCCTACGTAAGAACCTTAATGTGCAGGCTATTGTGTTGTTGTTGATGCGGTTGTCGCCCTCATGTCACGCTGGCAGGGTTGTACTACCGGTACGACGGTAGCCAACGAGCCGTCCAAAACCCTAGAACAAAACTGCATGTATGCCCATTACGGCAATGTTAATTTTATACCATGGATATCAGCGCTGCAATCGCTCCACAACATGCATGCCTGGTGGCGATGCATGACCGTCCGGTAACGGGTCGTGAACGGCACGTTCTCGGTCATCCCTAACTTCGCAGTTTACGGCATCCTTTCTAGCACGGGGTTGCTGGCGCCTACCCTGCAGCCGCCCCAGCTGAACGTCACTGCCCGATGCAACATCATGTGCGCCAGCTCTTTCAACTAATACTCAAGTTTTGCAGCGCTCCACAGTAGTTGAGGTCCGGACAGCCCGCCAGTGTCCGTAATCCCAGACGATTCCTCGCCTGCACGACAGGTTTACGCAAAACACCAGCCATGACTGCGTACATAGGTAATAAGTGAAGACTATAACGAGCTGCATTCGTACTGAAGTTTAGGACAGTTAGACCTGCGAAGCTGCCAGCTCCAGAGCCATACGGACAAGCAAATAGCAAAATCATTAAAGCCAAATTAATTGGACAAGAAGTATTTGATGCAATAGGTGTTTAACTAGCTCTGTGCAGGGAACAAGGGGCAATCCCTTACAGCTTCCACCAAGTCGAAGTTGTTGACGAGCGGTTGGCTCCTTCGGCAAACACCAGTTGTTTCCTTGAATCAAAACAAAGCCAAAAGCCTCATATAGGTACTTAGTGCTTTGCTCCCCAAAACAAAGCGGATCACAAAACGGTCACTAAGGCGCCTTTCGTGGCAGCGCAGCCTGACTCATCTCGGCAGCTGCGACGGATACAAAGTGAGAGAAACCCTAGACGTATAAGATGCTGTGGTGTATAGTATTAGGGGCATAGGCAGGCTTAAACTCGCGACGGGCCCGCGACGGCCTGACCGGCGGTGTTGCTAGGACATTTCCTTGGGGCAGCCCGACGCTTGGATTTCTTCGTAAGAGTTGCTGGATGACTATCGTGTTAACTACTACCTTAGAGGCCGTGTCTTTGGTGAGAGCCACCGGTCGCAGCAGGCCAGTCGCCATACCTTCCAACCATCACCTGTTGCAAGCAGCTTCTGTGTCGACGTTGGACTCCTACGAATCGCTACATCGCGCGCCTTCTTTCCTACCTCCAGACTCATTGCATTCACCACAATTTCAAGTCCGCTTCCTACCTTATCCAAAACTTCTGCCGCAGGCCGCCGCAGTCTGGTTCCTTTCACGCGCTTCTTGGACCCTACGTCTTGCAGCACACTCACTCCCGCGCGACCGCCCGTCCTCGGAGTCACAATGTTTCCCACCGCTGGGAACCCGTTCCTGCAGACCAGCCCCAGACACGGCTGGCCCTCCGCCTATCCTGTCTCCTCTCCTCCTTTCTCGCCCGCATCCTCTCCTCCCTACGCCTCCCTCCACGCCTCCTCGCCCGCCTCCCCCGCCCCCGGCGGCCAGCTGGTGCTGTACAGCCCCACCTCTCTGTACGGATTGTACTACAACGAGCACGTGCACGGCCCCTTCGCCTCGGGCCTGCAGCGCAACCCCTTCACGCCCGGCCTGTCCGCGCTGAGCGAGGTGCCCAAGCCCTGCTACGCCACCTCGGACCCGCTGCGGGAGCGCTACCCGGCCAGCAGGAGCCCGGACGACCCGCTCAACTGGATCAGCGAGGACCTGTTTAGGATCAGGTGGGCAGGCGGGCAGAAGGGGAGGGCGGTAGGAGGGAAAGAAGAATACCCAATGCGTTGGATGAGGATGGCACGAGAGGAGGGAGGAGGACCTGGCTGGCAGTGGGGCCGGGGTATTGAGACCATGCGGGAGGGGAGCCACAAAGAAGATCCGTGCATTTGTGGGGCAACGCTTCTCTTCCCGCGTGACGATCACAGCGCCCTACCTCAGCAGCAGCTCAGGGCCCACTCCTGTACAGAAGCAGTCATCCTGTTTTAGTACCGTTTGCGATCTATCCCTTTCAGTCCCATTGGTGTCCGATCCTAGTGCACCCCTCCCTCCCTCTCTTGCCTGCTGCACTGCCCTGTCCTGCCCCCCACCGCAGCACCGAGAAGGAGCGGGTCGCCCAACAGCGGCAGCCGCTGCGCTGTCAGTCCATGCCGTTAGGCGGCCGGTGACGTGGTTGGTAAAGGTATAATCGGGGGCTGGACACATATATACGAAGTGGAACTTAGGCCGTACGAACATGCAGTGTGGTAACTACCGGTGCATGCAAAGCTCGAGACAGACAGACAGCGGGATGCACTGAAGGGGAGGTTACTTGCTGCAGTATGGGGTTGCGATTACACTTTGCTTGCGGCGACATGGGCGACGGGTGTTGTCCTACGGTTATAGCCAAGGGGCCAAGGGGCTGACTGTGCATGTCGGGATTCCAGGGCAGGCATATGCATATTGGCGTTTAGCCATTCTGCGTGCAGTGGTACGGCGCGCACGTTAACGCAGTAGAGTGGAGTCATGGCGCAGGATGCGACGGTTTGCCTGTGCGTGAGGTGGTAGTGAGGATGCTTGTCCAACACATTTAAAACTTTGGTCAGGCGGCGTGGAGGTTGCAGGTAAAATTGTTTTGTTGAAATGATTAATTGACGAAGGTGCTTCGAATATGTATCGTGGTTGGGAAGGTTGAAGCATCTAAGGTGAACTGGCAATGATGGGATGTACCGATAGTATGTATGCTTGGTGGTGGTCACTGCCCGGGGCCAAATACCTGGGAAAGAATGACAAGGTGTGAGTCTTCTGTCAATTGCCAAAGTGAACGTCTAATTTCGCTCATGGCAGGAGTGGTAACATGCATGACATGTGGAGGAGAGACATGCGTGGAGGAGCTGTTGATGTCATTAGAGGTGGTAGAAACTTAAGTAAACGATATGTTAATGCAAATGTAGGAGTATTCAGGTTTGCAGGCGCAGCTTCAGCTATGTGCTGAAGGACGAGATCCAGATGCGATCCAGGAAAACACTCACCTCAGTAACATGAGACCATTATAGCAAAAACATACCGGAAATACAGTTTGTGAGTTTACATAAATAATGGCAATAAACATGCCGACGCCATCCGACTTCTGCGGTCGTAGCGCATCCTTACCTGCGCACCCAACACATCGTTGCACTTTGAAATGCGAACGCTTGTCACGTTTTGTCCCTTCAAGACATTTGGGTCGGCCGTCGGCGCTAAGGGCGTCGACCAGCCAACAAGGAATTCACGTGCAGAACGGAGGAGCTAATTTAGCGGAATTCCTAAAGCCAAGCCCACACGCTACCACCCACAATTCTGGAGGAAGACACCACTTTCGCGGTAGCGTTGCATCGCTGGCGCTCGCGGCTTCTCTCATCCTCTTTGGCGACTCCTCTGCAGCCGTGCAAGCGAGCGAAACCGTGACTCCCAGCAAAGCTTCCCTAGATGTGCAACAAGCCTATGACAGGCAAGGGTTTACTTTGCCAGATCTCTCTAGGTTTAAGCTGTCGGTTTTGCTGTTCCGGGACGTGGTGAAGTAAACAGCAGTGCACACTCACGTGTAGCGCATGCGGCGGATCTACCGGTACTGCCTTATGCAATTGGCAGCCATCACTGCCCTCGTCCGCACGTCCTTATACACCTTTCGTACTTACCCTTAGTACGATACGCGTAAAACAATGCAATTGCCACCCTGATTCCACGACCCAAAGGTACTCGTCCAAGTACGACGACCTAGACGGCGGCGTGGCAGCGGAGGTCTTGGGCTTCCCGCAGCTGCGTCAAGCGCTGTTGCAGCAGGTGCGCACCGGCAGTCAAGCAAGCCCCAACACCTGCGCCCTGCCGTACAGTGGCCGCATCCTCAACCCGGGATGTCACGAGCCTCACTCCCTCGCCACCTGCCTTGCGCTGTTACCTCCATACTTCTTAACGCGTACTGGCCCCGGCAGGATCAGCTGGCCACAACTGGGGGGTGCCGTGCCCGCACATACCGCCGCAAGCGGTGCCGCCATGTCGGACACACCTCCCCATGCCGTCACCCCTCCCCTTGCAGGCCCAGGGCCGTGTGCTCGAGGTGGCAGTGGGTACGGGACTCAACCTGCCGTACTACCGGTGGGGGGAACCGACAGCAGCAGGAGCAGGAGCGGCAGCAGCAGGAGCGGCTCCATCGCCTTCACAGCAGCTGCAGCAGTCGCAACCTGGGGAGGAGAAGCAACAGCAACAGCCGACTGGGGAGCCCACCACATCAGTCGTGTCAACAGCTGCTGCCAACCAGCGAACACCCCCAGCCGCAGCTGCCTCCGCCACTGCTGTTGCTGTTCGGGGTGTAACCTCGCTCGATGCAGGTGCGAGGGGGCCTTGCTTTCCTTCTACGGTACTTCATCACTGGTTTCGGCCCTTCCCTAATCCCCTCCGCCTCCGCGACGCCCTCATCGTACCCCCTCCTTCATCCCCCCCGTACACTTTGTCTTGTGGCACCCTGCCGCCTCCTACCCCCATTGCTTTGCCCTAACCTGTGGTCTCCTATGGTTTGGTACGGTCGTTGACCCCCCGTACTGCCTGGTTCCACGTTGCCGACACAGCGGAACTGGAACCCTTCTTTCACTCCCTGCTCTGCTGCTACTGCTGCAAACCCCCTCCGTACACCCTGCCCTCCCGACGCAGCCGACCTCAGTCCCGGCATGCTAGACCAGGCGCAACGCCGAGTGGCAGCGGCGGCGGAGCTGTCAGGCCGCCGCATCTCCTTCGTGCAAGCTGACGTGGCGGCCCTGCCGTACGGCGATGAGTCATTCGACACTGTGGTGGACACCTTCAGCCTCTGCGTCTTCCCCGACCCGCAGGCGGCGCTGAGGGAGGTGCGTGCTGCAGGAGGGCCCCGTTCGGATGGACCCCTCCATGCGTGTGTACTAATACCTACGTTAAATATTGCAAGCTGTGTACAAACCCGTTACCGGTAATTCAACTCAAGCGCTGACCCACGGGTCACCCCCCTCTCTCCTCCTCCTCCCTGCTGCCTGCCAGATGGCCCGGGTGCTCCGTCCCGGCTCCTCCGGCGGGCGCCTGCTGCTGCTGGAGCACTGCCGCGCCGCCGCCCACCCGCTGCTGGCGGCCTACCAGGACCTCACCGCGGGGGCGGTGGCGGCGCTGGGCAAGGGCTGCGTGTGGAACCAGGACGTGGAGGGCATGGTGGCGGCGGCGGGGCTGCAGGTGGTGGAGGTGCAGCGGGCGGCGGCGGGGACGGTGGAGATGCTGGTGGCGACAAAGTAGGGGGCGGGGCAGCAGGCCAGCAGCGGGCGTTGCAGGGGGGCAGCAGTGATGTGCGGCTGCATGTCGGATGCCCAGGGTGTGGTGTAGGGCAGTAGCAGCTGGGTGGGGGGTGACCGGATGCATGGTTTGAAACGGCCCTGGGACTCGCCGGTATTGTGACATGAGGTTGTTGAGCGCGAGTAGCGCCACCGGGGAATGAGGTGGATATTGGTAGGCAGGAGGGGTTGCTGGTGGCAGCTGTCAGCAAACAAAAGCCGGCTGTTCTGCGGCTGCTGCTGCTAGGCTGCGTGTGTATCAACGGCAGTAGCAAAGGTGCAACAACTGTGCATGCGAAAGTAAAAGTTTTTCCCAAGGAGTACCCAGGAGGCATGGTAGGCTGCCGGGAGGAAAGGGGCTACGGTTGCATGCTGCGGTCTACATGACCCATGGGTCATCAGGATGGTGAGATGGGCTCTCCTGCAGCTCCCAGCGACGCGGGCAGTTTCCTACGAGGGTGCGAAACTGCTGCTGCGACACGCCAGGCTGTAAACTGTTATTGCAAATGCTGGGAAGATCAGTGATAAGGGTTGTCTTAGCTCTTGTCATCAGCTCGTTGCTTGTGCTGTGAGCGTCCCCCGAGCTGGGGCTCTCTCCTGCCGCAGATGCTAACGTAAGGCTCTTCACTCGTCCCTGTTGTATACTTTTAGGCCGGCCAACCCCTAAAACATATGCAATATACTATATCAGGCATCTGCACTCTGCTGCCAGTGCAAATCCACCACTTCAGGCAACGTGTGATCGACTAATCACCAGTAGCTGCCGGCTGAAGGAAATAAGACGGCAGCTTTCTCCGGCAGCTATACTGCTAAACACTAGTGTTGCCCTCGGCTATGTCCTTCAGCTGATCTATCAGGATGGAAGCGGCTTTCGATCTGGGGCCTGAGGCTGCTGCTGAGGATTCTGCGCTTTCCAAAGCTTCACGCGTCTGGCACATTCCGGAGCTCGCAGAAAACATCATTCGCTATCTGCCTGTGTGTGGCGCAGCAAACGACATTCCCTGCACCATACGCGTCCTCTGCAAGGCCACAGCTGCGCGCTATCGCAGCCCAGATGACCTCAAAGTGCGCCTGTCGCAACCTGTGCCGCACCACGCCTTTACAGCCCACTTCAAAGATCATAACACAACTTTCCGGCACTACGCTCTCTTCCAACGCCTGCACCTGCTCTGCCTCACCGCGCGCAGCGGCAGCCTGCCCAACCTTCAGTTCGCAGCCTCTGTTGCCGGCTGCGCGCTGCGGAGCTGCGTGCTGGAATCCGCAGCAGCTGGGGGCCACCTGCAGGTCTGCGCCTGGTTGCGTCAGGAGGGCTACTGTCCCTGGGGCAACGCGCTGAAGGCCGCAGCAGCGGCAGGGCAGCAGGCAGCGTGCGAGTGGCTGCTGAACCACGGCTGCCCCTGGAGTGACGACGTGGTGTACGACGCCGCGAGGGGGGGCCACGTGGGCCTGATGGAGCGGCTGCTGTTGCGGCAGCAGCAGCAGCAGCACCATGGATCGGAGCAGGGCGGTGTCGGCTTTCCGCATGTCGAGAGCCTCCTTTCCGCTGTAGCCAAGGGCTGCGACCTGGCTACACTTCAGCACTGCTACGACGCATGGGCAGCGGAGCCAACCGGCGCCGACGTCAGCAGGCGCCAGCAGCAGCAGCAGCAGCAGCAATCTGCGGCTATGCGGCCGCTGCCGCCGCCACTTCCTCTTCCACGTTGGCCGCAGCAGCAGCATCCGCAACCGCTGAGTGATGAGTCCAAGGGCCGCATCCTAGCCGCCGCCGCCGGAAGCCGCACACCCGACTGGCAGGCCAAGGTGGAATGGCTGGAGGTGCATGCGGGCTTCCCGCAGAGCCCGGAAGCCTGCGTGGCGGCAGCACGTCGAGCAGACGGCTCCACACGCGTGAAATGGTTGCAGCAGCGGGGGTACGTTGCTGTGGAGGAGGACGTTTTGTACGGCTTGATTGCCGGGGGTGACGTCACTGGGGTGCGAGCCTTGTTGGAGCGGGGGTTGAAGCTCTGGGAGGATTTCCCAAACCTTGACATGGCAGTGAAGGCGGCGGCGCGGGCGGCCGATTTCAACATGCTGCGGGTGATAATGACGCATGCGGGGGTTTGGGTGGTTCTGATGGCGGTGGAAGCGGCTTGGGGAGCTGATAATGGGGGATCCTTGGGGCCAGCACTGGTGGAATGGCTGCAGGGGTTGCTTTGGGAGGTCGAAGAGCATCGGAGGAAGGACCCTGATCAGGGAGTCGGCGCTCATTGGTGTGCGGAGGCACGGGGCATGGCAGCACGGTTGGGCAGCTTGCGGTTGCTGGTGTGGACCAGGGAGCATGTTGAAGTGTTTCCGGATTGGGAGAGTGGTGCGGAGTTGCCGTTCGCACGCTTGCTGATGGACGCTGTGAAGGGCGGTTGCGAGGCGGCGTTGGAGTGGCTGCTGGAGCAAGGGTGTTCCTTCGGGGTAGGTAGTAACATGGGAGGGATCGGGAGGTGCACGTGCAGTAGATCGGGACTTTGGGGGGCAAGGCGGATGGGATGGGATGGCATGCGATCGCACGATAGGGATAACACCGGGCACGCCGGGATCCCTGTCCCTATCTTGACCCGACCGAACAACCACGCTCCCCTTCCCATGCTGCCCTCCCTTCCGGCGCCACTGCCGCCGTCACCCTCAGCCCAGCCACGATCCAATCCTTACCGCCGCCAGCAACGGCGACCTGGCCATGCTGCGCTGCCTGCGCCGGCTGGGCTTCCCCTGGGACGAAGAGGGGTGCACCTCTAGCGCCTGAGTGTCCGAGCCCGCACGCGTGTGCTGAGGTGGCTGCTGCAGGCGGGCTGCCCCGTGGAATGGGAGGCAGCCTGCCGCAGCGGCCGCATGCAGTCCGTGCGGGCGGGGCGGGCGGGGATGGGCAGCCGAGCGAGGAGGACCTGCGGGTTTCGGAGTGGTTGGCGGAGGAGTGCGAGGGGTACCGTGCGCGCATGGGCCGCCCCGGGGTAGCATGAGCGCTGCTGAGGGGGCGCGGTCGTGGGCTGGGCAGGGTAGCGGCAGTATTAGAACCTGGGGCTAACATGGGAGGCAATCCACGGTCTGCTGTGGCGGCTGCAGCTGCTCATCTTGTAGGTAGGCCTGGTGGAGGGCGGAATGCCTGGATTCGCAGCAGCTAGGAAGCAAGAGCTCGGTGTGCTTGTTTGTATGTTTGGGGAGCTGAACGGGGCACATGGAGGAGCCCATGACGCCTGAGTGGAGCCGGATGGCAGCCGTTAGGGTGCTGCACAAGGCATGAAGGCTCCTTCGTGTAGCTATCCAATTGTGCATTGGATTCAGTTGTATATACAGTTGTCGTCTTTGTTATATGGCACGGGTACATACGTAGATTGCAGACAGAGGTTGCAAGGAGGGTTGTGTTGGTATGGCACTGTTGGCGGGGAGGCAGAGGTTGCATGAAAGTATGTATTCGTGCAAAGCTGCAGACATGTCAAGAGGTCAGCTGCTTATTAAGGTTACATGATTACAAGCCTTGTCGCCCCAAAAGCATTCAAGGCCCTCCGCACATACAGTACAGTCGTTCGCATCGTTGAGGACCATACATGTCATGTCATGCCCGGTCCAAACGCTGTGACTTATTGCCCCTGACACGCTAGCCGTGTCGTACCGCACGACCGTACGTAAACGATCGTGTCGACAACCTATGCACTTCAACACATGTACGACAAGACGCCGCTGTACGATAGGCAACGTGACATGCACTGTCGTACAAGGATACAACGTAACAACAACAAACTTCATGGCTTTATTACTGTTTCTGGTTAGCAGCAGATAACTTACCAATAGAGCAATGATGAGCAGCTGCGATGGATAAATGCAGCGAACTTAGCACTCAACGGCTGGATATGGTTCAGGAATACCCACAAAACATATGCAACGTCACGCATTGTACCGTACGACAAGCCGACAACCGCATACGCACAGCGACCCAATGCCGCACCCAGCCAACCTGTCATCTGCGCCCCAAGCCCACCCACAACGGGGGTCCCTAAACAAGAGCCCACAATGCTATAAAAGTGAAGCCTCCGCACGAGCCGCATGCAGCCGACCAAGCGAGCGCCTGCACTGGCCCACTTGTGTCAACCTGCATACGCTGCCTCCCAGTCTCGAGTGCCCATGCAGCCTTGTCGTACATACCGTACCGCAGAGCCGTATTTGCATGAAACTCCAGTACTCCACCTCAGACGCTTCCTCAGTCCCGCAGGGGCACCCATAACACTGATCCACCCTATCTCCCTTCCAAGGCCCTGACCTATCGGTATCTGGGCCGCAACCAGTGCGCCCGAGACATGCGAGCGGCGCTACTAAAAACGCAACACACATGCGCGCGCGCCAAATACCCCATGCACGCAGACACTGCCCTCACGAGCCCGCATCAAGCAAGGTGTCCAGCAAGGCCCATCCTGCGGCTTTTAAGCACCCTGTGGTACGAATGCACGTACAACAGCTAGAAAACCTTGCATGGTGAGCAATACCTTGCAAGGCTCATTTGCCGGCTGCTACAGCGCTAACCGCACATCCTGCATGCAATTCTGCGAAATTATAACGCCTTCCCAGGCGTCAGTAGGCGCCGCTGCCGCAGTCGATACGCCATACCTATCCTCACTGGCCCCCACAGCAGGCCGTTGTCAACACGGCAGCAAGCTGTCACCGCCACCACAGCTAGCCGTGCCCCCCTCCGATCCGTTGTCGCAGTCACTGCCAGGCCGTTGGAGGCATGGACTGACACCGCAGCGGCTGCCGCTGTTGGGCAACCAGGGTTTTCTCCTCACTGCACGGCAAGAGGGTACAAGACCGGTACAAGACGACAGCAGGGCACGTTCATAAGTGGAGGGGGTAAAATGGAGGGAATGTATGCAGTTATCTGTGGGGGACCAAAACCAAATGCTACAGGCCTTATAGGGACATTGCTACAGAAAACTCTGCTCCCCATCCACATCCTGAGCAGGCTTCAGCCCCCCTCCCTCCTCCCGCCCTCCCCTTCTGCCCGCCTGCCCACCTGATCCTAAACAGGTCCTCGCTGATCCAGTTGAGCGGGTCGTCCGGGCTCCTGCTGGCCGGGTAGCGCTCCCGCAGCGGGTCCGAGGTGGCGTAGCAGGGCTTGGGCACCTCGCTCAGCGCGGACAGGCCGGGCGTGAAGGGGTTGCGCTGCAGGCCCGAGGCGAAGGGGCCGTGCACGTGCTCGTTGTAGTACAGTCCGTACAGCGAGGTGGGGCCGTACAGCACCAGCTGGCCGCCGGGGGCGGGGGAGGCGGGCGAGGAGGCGTGGAGGGAGGCGTAGGGAGGAGAGGAGGCGGGCGAGAAGGGAGGAGAGCAGGGCGAGAGAGGTGGAGAGGCGCCGGGCCAGCCGGTCATATGGCTGGCGTCCAGGAAGGGGTTGCCGGCGGTTGGAGGCATGTTGGGTTCAAATAGAAGGCGAGCCGGCGCTGCCTCGTGCTTCAGCAGGGAGTCCTGTGCAAGGTTTAGGCGACAGTTGCCAACGTTCAATGGCGAAGGCCAAATGTAGCTACGAATTAATGCAAATGGATTTGAAAAAGCGTGGACGAAGCACGACTTCAGGTGTTTCCCCGCTACTGGAGAAGCTATGCGCAGCTGCAAGCAGCAGCAGTGGCCGGAAAACAGTTGAGAGGGCTGAAAGAGCGGGCTATTCTGATAGCTAGCCGTCAGTAGTAGCAATCCGACTGACAAGTAAACAGCCAGCCTAGCTTTCAGCTGAGAGGGCCGGCTTTCCCGCCCTTATATCGCAACACGTTGGAGAGATTCGGAGAGGTCAATCGTGCGACGGTTGCAGTGACTGTTCGCTGCCCGGTTCACCAGGGCACAGACGAAGCGCAAGCGAAAAGCCAATTTGAAAAACCTATCCCATGGCTAATAATTGAGTGCCTAACCTCTGAAGATTTTTGCTGCAGTATCGTCCTCTCGTCCGCCGGTGCCGACTTGGGAGACGAGTCAGGTACCTAGGCTACGAGTGGCCGAACGCTAACAAAACCACTAGGGATATAGTATTACGCCGTAATACTGCTCTATATGTGCCATTCTGCCTGGCGCGCTACTGGCTTGCTTCAGTTCCGTGGGCCTTGTGTCAGTTTCATTCGATCAGTTGCAAACTTGAGTAGCAGTTGTTGCGCTTCAACTTAAAGCATAACAGTAGCTGCCATATAATAATGGAGCTTTGTCCAGGCTTTGTCACTCAATTCGCAACCGTCCTACCGTCGTTACCGGCACCTATCGCCTGATCAGGTAAGACGCGCCGCCCCAATTGCTCGCCAAGTGCCCCCCAGCCGCTGCGGGCACCAAATCCCGTACCTTCACACAGTACTTCTGCTGGTTAGCTAAAAATACAATTGTAAAACCCCGGTACCGGCATCTTTTGCACTCTGGGAGGCTGTAGGGTCATGACTATTGCCTCCAGCTTACGTTAGGGGTCATCAGCAGAAACAACAGTGCGCAAGGCCAGGGCAGGGCGGGGCGCAGCAGGACCATGGCAGGTAGGTCCACCCTGTGGGTCCAGCAGGGCGCAATCCACCGGCGTGGCGGGTATCAGTATGCGGTTTCCCTGAACTCCAGCATTGCAGGGCAGCCCCCAAGAGGCTGCCTGTAAGGGGCCCTGGTCCGAATGTATAGTGTCTGGCCCCCCTTGGCTCATACACGCACACTGCACACGCATAAAACTACTATAACGTGACTGCCCCGTGGCAGCCGCCGCCGTCGTGGCATGTCTACGTCAGACATCACGACGGATGGGGAGTTTACTACGGTGTGCATGAAGAGGGTTACAGCACGCCGAAGCATACATCGCATTGCTCAGCCGGCATTGGCGCATTGCGCCACTGTATGTACGGCACCGCCAATGCCAATGCCAATGATCATCAAGATCTGGGTCGGCTTGGTCTCTGGACCATGCAGCCCCGAGCCGGCGCTGAACCGCAGTGGTAGGATACGGGACTGGGAACGGGACAAGAACACGGTTGCAAGGCAGGTCTGCAAGGACCGGAAGGTGGTTAAGGTAGTGTATCTTTGTGAATGAAGAGCCATCGCGTCAACGGATGAAAGATGGCAGGGTCGTCAGTGGGCAGTGGGAATTAGGGCGCCCCCCCGAGGGCCAGAGGCCAGAGGACAGCATGAGGGGCATTGGGAGCAGGCACCAATATGTGTCCGGGCCATTCCTTGCGCGTGCGGAATAACATGCGGCTTTCGTACTGCATTGCCGCACATTTCCATCTGGGTCAGCAAGGCGACACGTAGTACAGGTAGAAATGCAGCAGTTGCATCTTTGATCACCGGTGTAGGACGCGCGGGGATGCAGGTCGGGTCACAGCTAACACCAAGCTGGGCTCTTTGCGCTGCACAATCCGGGTATTCACGGTACTGAGAATGGGGTGGTGGGAGAACCGCGTACCGAATTCCCTGCCAATCCACCCGTGCCAACTGTGACTTGGGTCGAAGGCAGCAGAGTGCACTTATCTTCCCTTACAATGGCTTAGCCTCTCAAAGAGCCCATGGCTTCGTGGTGCATACTCTATTCCAGCATGACCCAGGTGGCCGCTGAAGTGAAACGAAAGGGGATAGGATGTTCCGTGTACCTTACACGCCTTCCCTGCAAGCCTCGAGCGCAGAACTAAGCCGGATTAACCAGTATAGCCTGGTTGGGCTGTAATTAATCCACGTGCCCGATGCGCCAGGGAGTTAAAAGATCATCGTGCAAGTAGTGAGTACAGTGGGTTATTTGTAAACGTTTGCAAAGTCACTGATCGTTATTCCATATTTTAATATGCATACTGCATGGCTGCATTCACTGTACGTACCTGGCAAAGTGTGATTTCTAAGAGTTGCGCTCGTACGCCATGACCTGCCAAAGATGCTATAACAAGCATATTTAAGGCCTTTCTCACAGGAGTTAACTACAACAAGACGTAGAGTAGTCATCAAACGGGTTGCGAACGGGTTGGGAACGAAGTTGCTCTTCACCATCAATTTACACCCTGCACCCCAGCTTCGTCCTCAACCCTGCATACAGGACGGTGCGTCGTGATTAGTTTCATTACCATACGCACGTTAGTTCGCCATGGGGTTGTGAGGCGTAGTTTTTCTCGTGGTTTCCTGAGGAAACATAAGTTGCTGACCTGCCCGCAAACAGGTGGTTAAGCGGCCATAAGCAGTAAGCGCCATGGCGTATAACCTTTATCAGGTGCAGATGGCGAAAGCCTGGGCTGAGGTGAGTGAAAACTGCAAGTTGGCAAAAGGGATGAAGAATGCTTACAGGCCGAACCTTCCTTCCTTCAATCCTAGCTTTTATTAAACATTGTAACCTTTATTATGCTGCAGCGTATTGAGAAGGAGACAGCGCAGGCAGAGAAGTTCTGGCACCAGCAGACAATGAAGGCCGGCAACGTGCCAGCGCCAGTACCTGGCGCCTATCCAAGCAGCGTACCGCCCATTCTTATGACTGAAGAAGCGTTGTCCATGGCTGGCTCAGCTCCGGCACGGTCTGCTGCTCCTACCGGGTACACTTCGAAGACGTCGGTAAGCAAGCTGAGGCGAGGAATAAGACTGCTTTAATATACATAAGTTACTACGGGGGTTGTGTTTTCTAGGATGGCCCGGACAGCACTTAAGGGATAAACGTCGCCCCAACTGCAGTTTCCTTCCAGGTTACGTGCGTTCTGTGACTGCATATGCGCTGTCCGACATTGCAATGGCGCTTAGCAAGTGCGGGTTAAGCACGAGGCACCATAGAACCCGGCATCGGTGTTGCGTGGCGTGGTGCGTCTTCTTGTCTTCCAGACACGGCAGGTTATAGGGTTCCTGAGGTTCACTTTCAATTCCGCAGTTCCCATATGGGCCCCTACTTGGTACCAGCAACTTGCTGTAAAAGCAACGCAATCGCAATAAGCTGCAATCGCAACCGCAGCCAAATTGTGTAGGAAGCCTGAGGTGTACCGCTGTGCCCTTCTTGCCGTGACTCCCCCTGCAGTACCTCCGGTCTCGCCTCGAGAAGCTGGAGGAGGAGCTCAGCGCCGAGCGCGAGTCACGCAGGAAAGCTGAGGAAGACCTCCAAGAACTGCGGAAGAACATCAAGCGCCATTAGTTCATGTTAGGCCGCTCCGCACGTCAGTGTCAGAACCCAGCTCCGCCTAACTGCTGCATGGTTATGTGGGACAGCGCCAGCTAGCGGGAGCTTGAAGCAACAAATGTGGCTGCTGTCTTGCGGAGAGCAGCTTTAGGTCGACGGGGTTTGGCATAGGCAGCAAGCATGAACGCGGATTTCTTGGCGAGCAAACGCCTCAGGGTATCATGCATCAGCTAGATCATACGATCCGGTATCGCGGCCGCCAGGTCTTCAGGCAATGCACCTTTGGCGGTGCGTCAAGATTGCGTGGCTTTCGTTGTAGCTTTAACTACTAGGATACAGCCTTATCTATTTTAAGTGATTAAACAGTGCGTCTGCCGTGCCATGATGGGTTACGTGTGTTCGTCACATGGCAACCGTGAGACTGCTGTTATCTGTCATTGGGGGAGTGCATTGTACATGGCGTCTTAGCCCTTGGGGTGTGCGCAGGCTTGGTGTATTCGGCAGGAGTACTGTGAAGTGCTGGCACATGCCAGAGCACCCGAGCATAGGCTGGTGGGCTTCCTCGTAAGGGCATTAGCACTGTCAGAAGGTTTGGAGGAAGGTCGCGTAAGCCAGTACGGCAGTGCCTTGCGGGGTCCCGGTCCATATACGGGTACGAGAGAGCTTGCTTCGTCTGCATCGCGGTAATTTTCATTGGTGGAGCCTTCGCATGGAAACATGAATGTGGCATGGTGGCCGCATGATGAGATGGGACGCCGTGTAGGCGCGAAACTTGGGTTAGGCAGGTTGACATGTGTTTGTTCTGACCTTATTTACAGCTAGCGTATATAACGCTGGTTCCTTCTTTCTTTTCGACACGACTAAGACGTGACAGACTACACTGCAGTAGTGATGATCCTTAAGGGTTCAGGGGCGACCTCCCACCATTCATACGGCCTTAAGCGGCCGATATCAACATTTCGCCCCGTGTAATGTTTGTCAATATTGAGTGTGGGCATCCATTACAGCATTTCAGGTGTCGTGGCAACCGTCAATATACTTTTGTATCCTTCTCCATTAGAGGTGAATCCCGGCACCAAAACCCATCACCGCCTATCCACAACCCATCCAAGAACAAAACATCCTGCTGAAGTCGCCGACCGGCCCTAGCGACGATGATGTGCGCCACCAAGTCGCATTGCGTCTAGCCAGGCACGGAGCCAAACAGAATTGTTTCCTCCGACGGTTTTGCGGTGCGGTTGACAGGCTGCGGCAGACCAGAACACATGCACAAGCCCGCCCTCTGCCTGCCCACCAGCTACCGCCTCTAGTTCATATCCAAGCCAGTTTTCCGTACGACCACCATTCCTGCCGCGTATGCATCAACCCATCCGGACACCAACTTCTCAGGCCTCCATTCAGCACCCATCAGGCCCGGCGAATAAATCGCAACACGTATAGCAGGTGTGGGCTACACCCAGAGTGTACATGGACAGCCCGAACTTCCAGCCAATCCCGCCTTGATGTCTTCGCCGTCCACCCCTACCTGCATCATGCAAAGCATTGCAATGCGCCAGCTACCGACGGCTTGCCCTCCTCCTACCTAACCTTGAATTTGCTTTTACATCACCTGTGCCCAATAGCGATTGTTACCAACAACATTCTAGGGTCTAGTTCACAACCCTACACCCGTACAGACCTAATTTGCAGCCGAAGCGCCAGCCGCTACCGCGCCTACATGCAACTCAGCAACCCTGCGGAAAAACGTCTTAAGCGCCTGCGTGCCTGCCTACTCGCCTAGCAAAAGATGGTCAGTGTCATAGTCCTTTGCTCCTTCGCTAATGCCCTCCTTGCATGCCGCTTCCACCGGTCCTAAGTCTCCCTCCGTTTCCGTAGTGTACCCTAGGCCGCCTCAAGGCCCTCCCAGCAACCGCTCTACCGCCGCGTTCACATTGCCGCCAGTGGCCTGGGGGCACGGCGGAGAACGGCGGTGGGAGAGAGATATGAGGTGAAGAGTTTACAGACGTTGGCTCCATGGCCCAGGACGATGGTTCATGACAAGGTTCAGCAGCAAAGTCCCGCGCACATGAACGTCAAGAGCCAATTTGAGAAACGTGTGCTTGTCTACACAAGCCAAGGCACTTCACTCCTCTCCCCTCCTACCCCGCCCCCACCTGCAGCGCCGCGATGTTGGACTGCCGGTCGAAGAAGCCCATGTCCGCCAGCTGCTGCAGCTGCGTGGCAAACGCCACCTCGGGGTCCGCCACGGCCGGCGGGCCGAACAGCGCACCCAGCCCCCCTCCCGCCCCCGCTCCTGCGCCGCCCAGGCCTCCAGCGCCGCCCAGGAGGGATGCCAGGGCGGAAAAATCCGGGAAGCCTGCCGCACCGGCGCCGGCATTGCCGGGGGCGCCTGGGGCGGTTCCTGGGGCCGCTGCTCCTCCGAAGGGCCCCCCCATGGAGCCCATGAGCTGGCCCAGCAGTGGGTTGGAGCCCTGGGGGTGGGGCGGTGAGGAAGGGGGGGCGGCGACACGGGTGAGGCAAGACGGGAGGTGAGGATGCGGTGGCGAAGGGCCGACATGCGCACATCACACGTATTCATCTTCCGACAACCACAATACCGGTACACTCCAGAGCACCGATGACAAGGACCCCTTGAACGACGGCGGGTTGTTCGCGGCTCCATCCAGCCTGCCGCAATCCTTCCCCCCCAGTCTTCCCCAGCGCCCCTCACCCTGAGCTGCTCCATCTGCTGCATCATGTTGGCCATGGCCGCCATGTTGGTGGGGTCGAACATGGCGCGCAGGGCCTCGGGGTTGGACATCATGCTCCTGGCGAGGCGGCGGAGGGTGGCAGGAGGGGGCAGGGGATAGCGGTAGGCAAGCAACATCGGCACAAGAGCACTCCGGCGCCTCAAGGTCGCCGGGAAGGCCCAAGCCTGATTCATAAGAGCAATGACGGTGGACCTCATCGTTTCAATCCTATCGACACCCCACACGCACCTGAGCATGGGGTTGCTGTCGGCCATGGCCCGCGTCATGGGGTTTGAGTTGATCACGGCCTGCATGGCGGCCGGGTTGCTGGCCAGGCTCTGGAGCATCTGCTGCATGAGCGGGTTCTGCAGGGGGGCGGCAGGGGGGGCGAGGGAGATGGTAGACAGGTGGGACGCGGGCGGAGTGAGCGATTCGGCAAACTGGCAGCTGTCGCTATTGCAACAGTCCGTGATGGGATTGAATGTGAGGAGGGCGGGAGGCGGTGCAGGTGGGGTGGGTGTGTGGGGAGATAGGGTGAGGGAGGGGTGAAGGAGAGGGCCAATCAACAGCTTGTGCACCATGGGGCCTTGCAAGGCAGGGATCACACACCGGCGAAGCGGTAAGAGCTGCTTCGATGGGAGGCGATGGACCCAGGGACCGAGGCGCACGCGGGGCCCCACCTCAGCCCCGACCCGTCCCACCTGCATCATTTCCATCGCCTGCGCGGGGTTCATGCCACCCATGCCTCCCATGCCTCCCATGCCGCCCAGACCTCCCAGACCCGGAAAGCCAGCCCCCAGGCCTGCAGGCACGCCCCCGCCCGCCGCGCCGCCGCCTGCTGCACCGCCACCACCGCCGCCTGCATGCGGGGTGGGAAAAGAAAGGTGGTTGCCGTGAGGCAAAAGGGGGAGGGCCGGTCCGATAAGGACACCTGTTGCTGCACCCCGCGCACGCACGCATCATGCATGCGGGGCATGTGCTGCGCCATGCATGCCTCATTCGCCGCGAGTAAAGTACAGGCCATGCGACCCGCCACAAGCCCCCTCACCCACCCCTGGAGCTGTAACCCACCCGCCCAGCCCCCCCCCACACACCCACCCGGAGCCCAGGGGTTGGGCAGCGGCGCCGCGTTGGGCGCTGCACCTCCCGACGCCGCCCCGCCACCACCACCACCCGGGGCACCGCCCGCACCCCCCGCCGCACCGCCCGCAGCCCCCAGTGCCTGCTGCAGCAGCGCCGCCAGCGGGTTGCTGCCCGCTGCTGCCGGGCCCGCGCCAGCCGCCGCTCCCGAGGCGGGGGCGGGGTTCTCCTCCGGGGCGCCCATCGCGGCGGCGTTCATGAGGGGCTCCTGAAGGGGGGGGAGGGAGAGGGCCCACACTGGTTGGCACGGTGCTTCTACCACACCCGGGTACACCAGAGGTCCTGCCTGCCTGCCTGCCCCCCACCTGTATCTGCTCGTGCAGGCGCCTCAGCGCGTTGAAGCCCTCGGGCAGCGCCTCCAGGTTGGACAGCGCGCGGTCGCTGTTGCGCATGTGCTCGCGGAGCAGCGACTGGCGGGCGGGAGGGGGGGCGGGGGGAGGGAGGTGGAGGGTTGGCAAGGACGGAGTGCATGTCGCCGACGCTGCAGCAGCAACGGCCAAGAGGACCGGGCGCCAGGGGAACCAGTTCCGCCATCACCCATCATCCCCCCACACACACAAACACACACACGTACCGGGTTGGAGCTGATGCGCATCATCTCCCGCAGGGTGGCGGGGTTGCTCAGGATCTGGGCCACCTGCAACCCGGCGGCACAGCGGGTGGGGGCGAGGAGCGGGGCGGAGCGGGACACACCGGCGGAAGCAGCGTCAGCGGCTTTAGCAGCAGCATGCGCGGGTACCCGGCAGGAGCATTACGCACGGGGTTGCGGCAACAGAGCAGGGTCGCGTCGCAAGGTAAGTCCCAGTCTCATCCTCTTCCCGCACCCCGCCTCCCCCATGCCCCTCCCCTCCGTACCTCCGGGTTGCGCTCCATGACCTCCCGCATGGCTGGGTTGGCGCCCAGGACGGAGCGGATGAGCTCCGGGTCACTCAGCAGCGTCTGCATGAGCGGGTCGTTGAGCGCGGCAGACATGGCCTGCTGCATGTCGGCTGGCATGCCGGGCTGCGGGGAGGAAGGGGGAAAGCAGGGAGCAGTAGGGGTGGGTTTAACGAGGCGGGTGAGGGCCGAGAGGCAGAGGAATGGGCTTGCAGTGGGAGCAGAGCAGGGAAGGCGGCAGCGCATGCCAGAGAATGGCTCAAGCGTATGAACGACAGGGCGATTTGGAGTCCGTGACAGCATGGGCGTGTAGAGAGGCAGGTAGCGATTGGGGCGTCATGCCATATGGGTAGCAGGCCCAACAGCTGGTATGGTGCAGCGAAACTGGAGCCAGCAATTGCTGGAATGTGCCATGCATTTGCACCGTATCAGGGCGTGGCGCTGCTTACCATGCCAAAGGGGCCGCTAGCGGGTGTGGCGCTGCCGGCTGCTGCGCCGGCCGGAGAACTCGAGCCGGCGGCTGCCCCCTGGGTCGCTTGAGCGCTGCAGCGATTATGGCGTTGGGGTGAATGTCGCACATGGATGGGGGAGCAGGGGTCGAGGTTTAAGGGGATTTGCGTTGAGGAGCCGGGCGAAGCAGCAAGTATTTAGGCCAAGCTCTAAAACGTGTACGAGGCATGCGAGTTGTCGGGATGTGTGGGCTGACAGTGTGCTGAGCGCGATGGCGCTCTTGTTGGGTGGCAACGGAAACAGCTGACATTGTAACGAGTGGAACCAGCTTGCAGTGCCAACATGGGCAAGAAGTGCACGATTGCCGCGAAAGCTTGCACCGGCAATCTAAGACGCTACCGCCACTGCTGCTTACAGGCGGTGAATGAACGGAAGTAGGAAAGACGGACAGCCCCTTACTTCAATTAGGGTAACGCCTAAGGCAGCTCGGATGCAACTGCAACAGGTTTTCCTAACGCGAGCACCAAGCCCCCCCCGCAGGCTTCTCGCAAGCCCATATCGCCCCGGTTAACGACACAGTGCGGATGACTTATAGGCCCAACGCGTACGCGCACCTGCTGCCTGCTGGCCTGCCGCGGACTAGATGCAGGACACTTTCGTTGATGATACCTGCGGGGTCGCGAAGCAGCCGCTAATTGGGGCGTATGTGCAGGCATATGTGCAGGAACATAGTGACATTAAACTCGAGTTACTACAATGTGCATGAAAGTATTCCGAAGGATGTTTCCGCGCCCAATCAACGCCCAGCATATCAGGAGAGCCGCGAGGTATACTTTACCGTATGTATCAATAGTGCGTTCGTCGTCCTTCATGATCTGGCCTCTAAAGATTAGTCGCTGTTCGGCTGCAGGTATTGGCACGATGGCCGCGATGCCCTCTTTTACTTCACCCACGCTCGCCGTTGGCGATACATCCAGTGTGATCCTGTCACCACCCGAGGTAGGTTTCACGTGAATTGAGATAGAGTTGAGCATTTGTCGTGTCGCCCCTGCTCCGGGCCCCGGATAAGATAAGGCGAGGCCGAGACCCGATAAGCAGTTGCGAGGATAAGGTCAATGAGCGCTACGTATGTCTTATGGGCTAGGATAACAGCCCAAGCGTCAAAGGCACGGACGACGGTTTGCGTTTCGATTACTGGGGTATCAGTTTGTAGGACAAGGGAGCACAGCGACTAGTAATTGTGCGAGGTAAACGCCGTATTCGCCCCTTTGTGATCAGGAAATATTAACCATACGCCTCAGCATTCACTGCGGGCATTCACCGCCTGGTAAGCCTGTACGACACGATGGGATGAGCAGGCAGCATGGGCTAGCAAGCGGTTGCACAGCATAGCTGTTGGCATGCTTATTTAGCGTGCTCTACTTAGTTGACTAGGAACGGGAGACAACTTCGTATCGCCTATCGTAGCCGACCATAAACGCGCAATTCAGGCGCCTTCAGGGGCTCGAAGTTGCCCCTTGGCGCAGAATACTTTGGACGTACCGGCAATACTGTGATACGTTTCAAGCCGCGGTGCAGCACACAGAAGCCGTGGAGGCCCTGTAGGGGGCGCAACCGAAGCTTGGAAAGAGAAGGATTGACATCGGGCCAGAAGTAATACACTTTTTACTATGGCAGATCTACAGGTATGGTTGCTCATACGCAATTAGGTTCGAGAAGTGTGTTGGACCTGTAGATCGGCGGGAAACTTGCACATAGCAGCGCAGGCCGCTTAAGGATACAGTGTATGCTTTTCGCATGCGTATAGAAGGTTTCCCTTCCAGTAGATGTGGCATTAAGCGTAGGCTTGCATTAGGCGCGACTACCCTCCCTCCTATTAGTGAGTCCTGTTTTTTAAGATGATGTATTAAACGCGGTCAATGGTTTTGTTATGCATTTATCATTGGAGCGTTATGAACATCACGGGTTATCGAACGCGCCCTGATGTCTGCTTGCATGCGCTACCGGTACCCGCGACGGCTATAAAGTACTTCCACCGCTTTTTTGCTTTCGTTCCTTGCCCATATATATAATTTGCATCAACCAAAAATACCCCGTAACTTCGATCCAGGCCGGAGGTGCGGCCTACACGCACTTTGGGCACGTACACGGTGCTCAGTACCAGCAGCAGCGACCCCAAATACAGCAGCACCAGGCCAGCCTGCCCGTGGGCATCCGAGGTCGGGACCGCCCCCCTCGGGGCAGTGGCGGCGGTAGCCGCGAGCACGGAAGCAGCGGCCACCAGCGGCGCCCGTCCAGGGACAGCGACACCGGCTCTACAGCCTCTGAGCAGGCCCCTGCTTCTACAGGATCGCACCCGCCCCAGCCAAACGGCGGACTGCTGCCCAATGGCGGAGAGGCAGTTGTCGTATCAGCCGTGCCTCCCTCGCCCAGTGCTGTCGGCCCCAGCGGCGCGGTGAAGTCCGCCCATCGACCGCCTCCTCCCCCTGGTTTCGGAGCGGCGCCTCACATGCCCGGCGGCTCCGCCCGTCCGCCCGCGCCCAGCAACGGCCCTCCGCCTGCAAGCCCCTCCCAGCAGCAGCAGATGCATCCTCAGCAGCACCAGCCGCCGCCGCTCCCGCAGCAGTTGACTGTGGGTTCACCCGGCGGCTCTGGCAGGCCGGGCCAGCAGCACGGCATGGGTATGCCCCCGTCCAGCGGCGTTATCGGCAGCAAGCCCGGCTCCGGCTCCTCGTCCGCGTCCCTTGCTAACGGCGGCAGCCCTGCCGGCCCAGCGGGTGGCGCGGCTGGCAGCCAACAGCATCAGCAGGCCCAGCATCCGCAAATGCCATCTGGGTCAGGCAGCGGCGGCGCGGGAGCAGGTGCAACGAGCAGCAGTGGCAACAACAGCAGCACTGGCGCTGCTGCCGGGGGCAGTGGCGGTGGTGGTGGTAGCGCCTCCACGATCCTCAACCCCGCGGCCCCGCCCTTCCGCAGCCTGCATGGCGGCTCGCTGGAGCAGGTCGAGGGCAGTCTGTTGGCGCAAGCTGATGCGAACGGTAAGCCTGGATTGCGGATGCGAGTGTGGTTGCAGCTGCGTTGCATGGTACGGCCACGCCACGACCACTGCCCATGTGGATGACCCCCGTCCTCTTCTCATTCCTCTCCTACTGCCCTCCTTCACCCCGTTGCACCCTGTTTTACTCCCCTCCCATGCCCACGCCAGGCCTGAAGGACACACTGTCCAAGCTGCGCTCCCTGATGCGGCAGCGCGACGCGCTGGACACGTGCCTAATTAGTGAGGCCAGCGGACTGGTGACGGAGGCGGAGCGGCTGGCGGAGGTGCGCGAGCAGCAGCGGCAGCAGCAGGAGGCGCTGGGAGAGGCGAGGGCGGTAAGCCGGAGGAGGGTGGCGGGGAGGAAGGGGGTTGCCCTGACTGGGAAAGGGAATGAAGTGTGTAAATTTGAAATGTGTGCAATGAGGGTGTGTTCAGGGTGGAGGGAAAGCACCGGGTGTCGCCGTATCCGGCGAAAGAGGTGAGGACCGGGAGGCAGGAGCGCTTGAGAGAAAGGGCACTGCTGCCTAGCTTGTACGCATTGTCATTAGCGCCACTCACTGCTTGGCTGCCTCCCTTCCCTCCCCTCCCCTTCCTCAGCGCATTGACACGCTGAGCGGGCTGCTGAGCGAGCGAGACATGCAGCTGAGCGCGGCGCGGGAGCAGCTGGAGAAGAAGGAGGCGACCATACGGGCGCGGGACACGCAGGTAGGATGGTCAGGACACAGTACGCATTTCAAGTAGGACGCAGGAAGTAAGGGGACATGGCAGTAAAGGCATGCAGGTGAGAACGGTGCCAGCAGCAGCAACAGCCCCTGGGCGTTGGCGAGCAGTGTCTTGTATGGATGTGCTGCTCCGTCCTAGATGACAGCGTGGGAAGGCTGGGCTGGTCTGTCTTACCTGCATGCCCACTCGGTTGTTTCTGTTCCCTTGCCACCCTGTGCCAGATTCGGAAGCTGGAGTCGGACCTTGCTGAGGCGCGGCGGCGCAGCAGCGGCCTGGAGCGGGACGTATCGGCCGCGCAGCAGCGGGCCGACTCCACCGCTGCCAAGTTGGCGGCCGTGGAGCAGGAGCTGGGGGCACTGTGAGAGGAGGGGGCGGGGCGGGGTGGGATGGCTTGGGGTTGCTATGGAGTGGCTTGGGAGGACTGCAGGAACTGGACTGGCCGGTGTTGTGAAATGCTGCAACATGGCTGGTACACTGTGCTTTCACGGGGCGACCCATAACTGTTGTACCCCTACGCTTGCTTTTATGCGTCTGTTAACGTTGATGCCGTGCTGCGTTGCCGTGTAGGCGCGAAGCTTACAAGGCCCAGACAGAGTCGCGTGCCATGGAACAGCAGCAGCAGCAACAGCAGCATGCGGCCCAGCAGCAGCAGCATGCGGGCGGTGAGGGCTACCACAAAGGCGGACCGCACCTCGGACCCATGGGTCAACCACTGCACCAGGTAAAATCTTTCGCAGCAGATACACCAAAGCGCTCTGCTCGGAACCTGTTGCTTACATGCGCATGGGAGGTTAAGGGGACATAAAGGCACAGGGCTCTCCAAACCGTGTTTAGCAACGAAATGTCATGGTCACTCTAGCCTGCCGCACGTTTCCCGTGCTCTGCCAGCATGGTTTTATTGGTATTAAGGCAGCATAGGACCCAAAGATCGACACCACACGAACACCTACCGCGGTACCACACGTGTTGCTTTCCTACTCGTGTCACCGCAGATGGCTGGCGGCGTGCACCCTCCGGATGGCCCGCCCCCGCACTTCGGCCCCATGTCACTGGCCGGTCTCGGCGGCGCCTCCGCTGGCGGTCTCAAGGGCGCTCCTCCGCCTCCGCCAGGCGGCTTCCAGGTCCCGCCGCCGCCGCTGCCGCCGCTGTTCAACCCCATTCCGGGCGCACCTGGCACCATGGACGCTGCCGCTGCGGCCGCCGCCGCCGCTCAGATGGCGAGCTTCATGGACGCTGCCGGTGCAGCCGGCGCCGGCGCCGGGGGTCTGTTTGGCGGCGATCGCTTCCTGCCGCCTCCGCCGCCACCTGGTCTGGCTCTTCCGCCGGGCTTCCATCTGCCGCCGCACCCCCACCCGCCGCCGCACCCCATGGGGCACTTTGGCGCACCACCGCCGCTGCCGCAACCGGAAGAGATCCAGGCCAAGATCTTGGATCTGCTGCCGTCGGATCCGTCGGACGCCGTACAATGGGACGAGCGAATGGACGCCGCGCTCGACAGCGCCCTGGCGCCGCTGCAATGGGTCCGCGATCTGGCGCATGTGTACGGCAGCCCCCGGGGCTTCATGCTCGCCCATCCGGAGCTCTTTACGCAACGCCAGGTGGGTGCCTGCGGGCCCGCTGTCTTGGCCAGAGTACAAGGCCTGTTGTTGCCCCTGTTGGCCGCGTGGTGACCGCGTGGTAACCGCATGCGCGTGTGTGCTGCAGGACGGCGCCTTCTACCGGGCGCCGCGCGGCGGCAGCGGTGGCGGCACGGGCGGCGCCGGCAGCGGCAACGCGGGCGGCGGAGTGGGAGGGAGGCTGATGGGGATGCCGCCACCGCCCGGCATGGCCCCGCACGGACCTCTACACGCCCATGCGCCCTTTGCAGGTGCGTGAGGCAGTACGTGTGTTGCGGAGGAGGTCTTGTTTGCTTAGGGTGTATGTCAGGGCTGGTTACATGTCCGCTACGGACTGCGCCCTTTGACGGGCTGTACGTTACATGTTTGCCTCGTTAGCATCTAGCGACGGTTGTCATTGGTGATGTTCATCGATGGTTTGTAAGCCCCTCTTGTACCGTGTTTCTACCTGCAATTGTTTCTACATTGCACTCCGCATCCTCGCCGTCTCACGATGTCCCTCGCTCCTTCCCTGCTCTACACCCTGGCTGACTGACTCCACGTCTGCAGTGATGCCCGGTCTGGCAGCGGGGGGACTCATGTTTGGTGGCAACCACTACTGAGCTCCTCCGGCATCCACGATCTAGGGCTGCTGAATGCGGCTGGCTTGGGCGATTTGGCTGGGCCACGGGACTGCAAACCAGACTTGATGCTTCTCAAGGCGCCGCGCATATGCTCGTGTAGGCCTCGGTTGTGGGCTGAGTCACCAGGCATGGGGGTGCAGGGGTGCCCCTAGTTTTAGGGAATGTGAGGGCGGCATGGCATTGCTTAGTGTTAGCCTCTGACGGGTTTAGTTGCGGTGAAGGTTGGTTGGCAAGTGGACGAGGAGTACTGTATGGGGCGCTTTAGGTAGGAACGGTGGAGGGAGGGAAGACGAAGCATGGAGGGTGAGGCATGGAAGGAGGCATGATAGCGATGGCAGGCAGTGTGATGCCTGATGAAGTATTCCGCTGTTGCATGGCTGGCTCTGGCGGGAGGAGGCTGGGCTGGCGTCAGTGGGCTGCGTCGTCTTCCATGCGGCGTGTGCAGGCTGCATGAGAGGATGTGCAAGCAGGAGGTACGGCCGTTTACCACACAAAGTTAGCGCGCGGAGCGGGCTGTTAGGATTGTATCGTTGGGGGTTGCCAACGCAGGGGTGTTAAGAAGAGATGACTGCTCTGTGAAGGCCGCATGGGGTGGCCAGTTTCCTAGTTGCTCCTACCCAGGGCGTACAAATGGCGAAAAAGGCGTGGGCGTGCGGCTTAGACGCGGTTTGCCAAAAATGCCGGCTTACTATGGAAGTGTTGGGATTTTGGGGCCTTACTGGCTCGTGTCTGGCTGGGAATGCAGAATAGATTAAGCGCTGGGCATCTTTAGCATACTGAAAAACCGCTGGAGTTGGCAGGATTGCTTGGGCAGGACTCGTTGTTCTTGGCCGTATGCGGCAGGTTTGGCGCGGTACGGCGTGCACGTACGTTGAGCCCAGCAGTAGCAGGTGCAGTTTCGCAGTGGTTAACGCGGCTAGTGGACTTTCTGGAAGTCGGAGGCTCAGATCGATGCAACAGCAACATGCCAAGGGGTTGGACTTCATGTAAGGTAATAAGCCTCGTTTGGGTGGTTGCACGGGCATGTACAGCAAAATCTTTGCTCGTTGCGGGAAAGTTGGTGCCAGGCGTCATGAGATGCCCTATGCGGCACGTAGTATGCATGTATGGTTATTGTAACCTGGAATTAAAGCTCTTCTGCTCGCTAAGGAAAATTCGTGTCTCCGACTGCTCTCCGAACTGCCCACCGTCTCCTTGAAAGCAGTGGTATAGCTTTCATCTCTTGTATCACTTATTCACCGGCGCCTATGCTTGCACGCAACCTCTATTTGTAGAGGTGTACAACCTTTTGCTTTTCCCGTTCAAGCAGAGAAGGTTCTTACAGCTAAGGCTGTTGGCAACCGTAGTGAATTATATTGAACGTCTATCCCACTGACGCAAATGGGGAAAGGCGCTGGTAAAGGCTCTGGCAAGCCTTGCTGTGAAGTGAGTGCAACCCTTTGACCTTCCTTTAAGGGCTGGTAATAATGAAGCCGTCTGGCTGACTGTGGCTGCCGACAATGCCTGCAGGGCTGCTGCAAAGCGGCTTGCGTGATTTCTGTCAGCCTGGTATGCGTTCTCCTTTTGGGGCTCGGCTTCGTCGGGGGCGGAATCGCCGCTATGGTAGCGACAAAGGTCATGCGATCAAAAAACATAAGTAAGAAGACCACGCGCTCCACAAGCTGTCAGGCCCTATCTACATGTAGCTTCCCTTGACAATGTCGCCACGGTCGCTCACGTTGCGCAGCAGCAATATGGGGTTTACGCCTATCGCTGTGGTGTTTCGAGACTGAATAAACGTGTTCCCTCCTGGCCTGCAGAAAAGGTTGAGGATTCCATTACCAGATGGGACTCCGCTACCAACCCGGACGGCTGGCCCCAATTTCAACGGCTGGCCGGCTATGTCACTCTTACCCCTGGCAGCCCCATATCCGGAACCAGCAACTGCTCCACCATGACCCTCAGCCTTAACGTACGTGTTGCAGACAGATGTGTGTTTTCGAACGGCTGACTAGGCCAAACCAACCTAGCGAGGCGTCAATAAGTATTGCACAACGGCTTGGCCCTACCTTCTCACGTGCTCCACGATAGCCAACAACTAACCCTGATTGGCTTACAGCAACCACCCTCTCGGCCGCCTTTCTCATTCGCTTCCCGCTCCCCTCCCTGTGGCGCAGCCCAACATCTGCCCCTACAACGAGTACCTGGACGAAGCTGCTCGCTTCCGGTCCGCGAGGCAGCTGGCCTTCTGTGCCTACGTGCCGTACAACACATTCGTCGATTGCGACTTGCGGGTGGGCTGGGATTGTGTGACAAGAGGATAGGGATTAATTTGAGGCTGCGTCGATGCTGCATCCTCTATGATGCTCGGCGGCTGGCGCGACTCATCTTGGGACTCCTTGTGTGCCTCCTTCGGACTCCGCGCACTGACTCAGCCCTCGCGCCGCTCCACCTCGTTCCGTGCTGCCCTCCTCTCTTCCCACCCACCTCCTCCACCACACGGCCCAGCTCCCGCCGCCGCCCAAATTGCCTCCACCACCTCCCAAATTGCCTCCTTAGCTCCCGCCCCTTTTTAGCTCCCCTACGGCACCGCGGCCCCTGCCCTCCGCAGGTCTCCTTCACCGTGGTCCAGGGAGGGAGCAATGTGACCCTCACCACACTGCCAGACCTGGGTGAGCAGTAGTGGAGATATGGGTAGCGGAGGTGGGTAGTGGAGAGATGGGTAGCCGCTTCTTGCAAGGGGCTGGGCCAGCCAAGCACCAGTGCGCAAGGACGGAGGGGGTAGGGGGCCAAGGCGCCTGTAGCCGCTGGCCTGGGGGAACAGCTGGGAGGGCGGGTCGGGTTCGGAGTGCACACACGACACCACGCCAGGCGAACTGACACGCCCTCCCCCGCCATGCATGTCCCGCCATGCTCATGTTCGGTCATGCATGCTGCGCAGTCGACTTCTCCGGCTACCGACAGGTCAACATCAAGATGATGGAGATCCGCGGACCCAACAAGTGCTCCGGCAAGATGCGCTGCAGCGGCAGCAACTTCAACGCTTGCGCCAGGAAGTGCTCGGTGGGCAGTGGGAACTGGGAGGGCTTGCTGACGGGGGCCAAGAGCCATGTTTGCTTGCTGCGTGGCGGGGTAAAAGGTGTTGATGTTATCAACCTGGGTGTTCAGGATTGCAGTGGCGCCCCACACGTGGGGTGGGAGCGACGGCGATGTCCAAACCCTCCTCCTGTGCTGACTGCAGAACGGCTTCGGTGGCATGCTCAGCTGCTCCATGTACACATGCAGCGCCAGCACCGCTGTGTCAGACCTGTCGGTCAAGGTCACCAGCACGGCAGGTGCGCACGAGCGGGCGGGCCGGCGTGTTGGGTGCGGGCACCGTAGGCATGCAGAGCTTTTGTGGAATGGAGACATGCCCCCTTACCAGCTTTTGCTTGCTTTACGTTTTTACATTCCAATGTGCGACGTTACATGGGTACAGGTAGGGCGGCACCCGCCCAGTGCCCACTAACTACGAAGTAGCAGCATGTCATCGCTTTTGTGAATGGAATCTTGGTTTTATCAGCGCTCCCGCATGTACGCTATCCTGCACCCTTCCTTATGCCGACCCTCAACACCCGCCCCCGTGCTGCCAACGCCGTGTCCGCTTGCAGCTGGCTCGTATGCGCTGGACAGCTCGGGCCCGGTCTTCTCACGCGGCGGTGACGGAGGCAACGTGCTGCCCTCGGGTGAGCCGGGGCTTTGGGTTTGACCACCGGCTGGTGGCAATCCGCCAATAACGCGACTACAGCATTCAGAGTTTTAAAGCACCACCAATAGGCAAAAGGAAACACCGAATAGGGCTATGTAGGCTCTGCTGCCTTGCACCGCGCTCCTTTCTGTCATCCTTCCCCTGGTGACGCCTCCACTCGATGCTCTTGTGCTCATACGACGCCTTCTGCATCCCCCATTTCCTTCCTCCCTAAAGCACCCTTCCTGCTGCTGCCTTGCCCTGCTGCCTCGCCTCGCCGCGCTGCTGCTGCTGCTGCAGGCTTCTCCTGGCCCTACTACCCGATTTCCACCAGCAGCAAGTCGCCTCGCTGGCAGTACGATGGCATGGGCTTTCACGGCAGCTCCGGCATGCTCACCCTCACCCTGCGCTCCTCCGCCGACCCCTGGCTCACCTACATGGCAGCAACCAACGGCTCGGGCTACTTTGATACGTACCTGGTGGGGTCCGGGTGCGGTGGTGGCGCTGGGCGGGCGCGTGTGAGGCGCGCCCTGCGTTGTACCCGTTTTGCGGTTCGGAAGATGCTGCGGTTGGGACTGCAGTGAGGAGGGCGGCTCCATGAGTTCCCTGTTTCCCGTATCCGTCTGCCTCACCTGCTGCACTTGTTTCACCCTTCATACCTTGCAGAAAGTCCTGGGCGGCGTGTTGATTGGCATCGGCTGCTTGATCCTGCTGGTCTGCCTCACCGTCTTCCTCGTCTTCGCACATGCGCGCACCCTCGCGGCGCGCTACCCGGAGCGGCCGCCCGGCTGCTACTATGGCTGCATGTGGAGGATGGGGCGCGGGTGAGTTGCAAGTCGATTGGGCTCCGTGTGTTGCGCTGTCGCTACACACGTCCTGTGTGCTTGGGATGCGCACCCTTCCAGCTCCCTCCCGGCCCTCACACCACACCTGCCCCGGCCTCCCCTCCCGCACAGGATCTACGGCCCTCGGCCTGGCACCGCCGCCGCCGCGCCTCCGCCCCAGCCGCCCCTGCAGGCCGACCCACCGGTTGCGCAGCCCGTCCCCGGCACCGCCCCGCCGCCCGGCGCCTACTCCTACGCCTACGGCGCCTACCCTGCCGCCTACACCCCAGGCGCCACCGCTGCCAGTCCCCAGCAGCAGCCGGCCTACGCGCAGCCCGGTGGATACGCCTACGGCTACCCGGCCGCCGGGGCGCCCGAGGCCGCCCCACCAGGCCCGCAGCAGCAGGCCTACCCGGGAGCGTACTACCCGCAACAGCCGCAGCAGCCGCAGGCCGGGTACGCGGGCGCCCACTACCCCCCGCCGCCACCGCAGGGCCAGCCGCCAAAGGGCGCGTAGGTGGGTGTCACCTGCGGTGCGAGTGATGGGGGATGATGGGAAGCCAAGAGGGTGGGGGTGTGGCCGCACCGATGCCTCGCCCGTCATGTACGGCGGTGTGTAATGGCCATGTGGTCAACAGTTACCTTCTCGGCTGATGACTCGGCACTGCTCGCCACTGGGAGGGGGGCCTAGATCGCAGACTATTGTGGGTTCGGCTAACCAGCATGCGGTGTGCACATGTGGTGGCGAGATAGGGCGTTGCATGGTTTGGAGGCTTTAAGTGTTTCCGGGGGCCATGTCCCTCCCTAAGGGGCTGCCTCGTGACATAGGGCGTTCGGGTATTGCATTTGCCCGTGGCGCATTGCCCATGCCGCACCTGACTCCATAAAAGTTAGTGTTATGAGCACAGTACTGTCAAGGAAAGCATCAGGGCAACGGCGAAGATCCGAAGATGCTACTCTCTGGAGCGTGTGCGCTCTGCTGTTTATGTATCTTGCGTGCGTTTGCAAGGGAATTGCGTTCTGCATTTTTGCGGTTTCGGCGTTTGGACTGTGTCGCATGTTCCAGCCTTGGGATACCGCTCGTGAAGCCGTGACTGCAATTCGTACGTCTGTTAACTGTACGGCATCCATACCTGAATAATAGCACGGCATCAACACCTGAATAACGCTAATATATAGTTGGGTTTTTGGAATGGTGGCACCACTGCAGGTCCTATAATCCCGCATCACTGCGTTCGTTTTGTCATGCGTTGTGCCCTGCATGCATGATGGTGGTTTTGTTGGCACTTGAACCAAACCAGCCCGTGTGTGATAGCCTGCGCAGTTGTGTTGTGGCCTGTGAGGACAGTTTCAGTATGTACGCGATCACCCTATCCTTGTGACCTTGGTTTTTGGAATTGGGTTAGCCCCTAGTTTTAGCCTGCACATGTTTGCCAATTGCCATGCGCTACCTTAAAAGGTAATATGGGGTTAGGTGAGCGGCAAACCGGCTTAATAGGAGGTCTTATGCTGACTCCGAACGTTTGGCCGGCCCGGTGATGCGTTTTTGAACATGTGACAGGCCACGTTTTTGTAGCTGCATTGGGACCAAACCCCGGCGTGATGTGATCCTGCTAGCACCACATAGCTTCTTTGCCGTTGTCCCGAACTGGAACTAGTACTGGTGTCACAGTGGATGACTTGACAAATTGAAGGAAGTTCTGGGGGCTCAGGCCAGGGCGGGGGGAGGCCCAGTAGCCAGCCGAGCTGACTGTTAGGCGTAGGAAGGGGCCTGTGCAAGTATGTGCCAATCTGTATGCCGGTGCAAGGAAGTGGAAAGTCCCTGCGTGCAAGTGCCGTCCGGATTACGCTGGGCGCTGTAGGCAATACGTGAAAGCGATACAGACTCGGCGCGGTATGCGTCGTTCCTTGAGTAAGCCCAAACATCCCATGCATGGACCTGCTTCGTATCTCTCGGACAACTTGCACCCGAAGTAACGGCGAAGTGCGACATAGTCCAATTCATGCACACTTTCCCATAGGGCTTAATTGCCAGCTTTAGACGAACCAAGCGATAGGTCGTGCAACCATAGCGTTACAATGAAGGGATTGAAGGCCAACCGCCCTACCTTCATCTCGCACATATTCACAGGTGTTAGATTGCAGGTGTTAGATTAAATAAATTAAGAATGCGAGTATTGCAGGGGAATCCAAAGTAAAGGTTGCGGCTCTTGGGCTCCCGGTCGTACTAACTATATTGGTTGCCAGGTTGCCGGCAAATTCAAATACCGGAAAGGGTCCAAAGGGAGTAAAGTAGCCCACACTGGTGCATCGCGATTGAAGCAGACCACTTTTTTAGCTAATCCAGGATTAATGCAAGGATTAAACAATCCCAGCCATGGCGCCCCCCACGAGGATGTCCTCCAAGCTACAGAACACGCGGCGAATGAAAAGAGCACGACATGATAACACGACAGGTCCAGAAGCCTCCCACAGACACACAGATGGCAGAAAGGAATAAGGCACGCACCCAGTTGGTTCTCACGACCTACTACCCTGAAAGTCTATACCCCCCAAGGTCAGATGGCAGAGCAGACCAAAAGCAGCCAGACGGCAGTCATGCACCTGACGCCGCGGACCCTTGATTTGCGGCATTCTTACGACCAGGCATTCCAACGTACAAGGCATGATCCCTTAACGCACTTACCATCAGCCTCTCCATATCCGCATCCAAAATACAATTGCATACGACATCGGGCATAACTGATGCCCCTGGGGCATAACTTATGTGCTCGGGGTATAACTTATGCCCGGGGCATAACCTATGCCCGGGGTATAACTTATGCCCGGGGTATAACTTATGCCCGCATGTTATAACTTGAGCCCAAGGGCTTGCATACGGGTACTGGCGTCAAGCATGCCTTGTCGCCAACCTCCCAAGCTCTTCATTATGTCGCAGGGACGTGATTCCGGGGCATAACATATGCACCAGGGGGGCATAAGGCCGGGGCATAACTTATGCCCCCCGGGGGCATAAGGCTGGGGCATAACTTATGCCCCGGGTGTAAATGTTACTGTTACCCCTCCTTGAAAAAGCAAATGGCGCTGCCCCATTCCCCGAGACAATTTTGCAGAAGCTGAAAACTAATAGCAGTACTAACGGTGTGCACGCACGCGCAGGTTAGCAGCAGCAGGCGTACATAGCACGGTGTATGGGCGCAGTTGCGAAACGCTGCGTACTTCTTCCCGTGGGTGCCTAGGTACGGTTCTTCCGTGTTACTGAATAGCATGATGGGGCATGTGTCGTGCTTCCTTGCGTTTATCCTGTCTTTCCTTGCCCAACGTACGTGTTCCTGTATGTGCCTTTGGACCTGTGCTGCCTTTTAATGAAACGGGTGTGGGTAGAATTGGTCTATACTTAGGCCTAGTGGTATAAGCTCGTGTGTCTCGTTAACGGGTTTGCTATGAGAGCTTTATCATGCGTAGTGGGCTACGTTGCTTGGGGGCCACCAGTGAAGGTTTGGTCACTGACGACGTGACGAGTATGTGCGCATGGCTGGTGCGGACATCGACAGCTGACATGTCTCGCCACAATGGTTCAATGTTTTCTGCGCTAAAATGCATGCAAGAGTTCGGAGCAGATGGACCAATGCATATAATAACATATCAATGCCTTTCATAGCAGTTGGAATGCCCTTGCCACCTATGTGCTCTACAAAATGGCATGCAAAGATACGGCACCCCAACGCGCAACTGAGCCATTGCCTGCTATATTACGGTACTTCCTATTGCTACATAGCAGTAGAAGTCACTTTTGATTGAGTCTGAGCTCGGTCAAAATTTCTTAGGGGAACCGAAGTGGGCCAATCGTCCGTGACCGTGACCTCCAGCTTTTGGAATGCCATCTGCAAGTTATTGGTCAGAGCTACCGCCAGAGCTTTTGACAAATATTGCCCGCTTCTTACCGGAAAATGAAGTGCCTTGCACCTTCCGGCTCATCAACAAGGCTGCAGCAGCACAGCTCCGCCATCCACCATACACGACTGTCAAGTTGTCACTGCCGTTGCCAACACATGCGTATGCCCAGCTTTCAGTCAAACCCCAAGAGATGCGGCGCCTAACGCTCGAGCAGCGAACGACGTTTCTGAGCATGGCAGCCAAGAGCGCCGTTACGGACAACCTAATGCTCGCAACCCCGCTCGCGGGCTGCATATTATCCGTGGAGGTGCTAAAGGCTGCTGCATCTGTCAATTTCCTCGATGGCGTGAAGCTGGTGCTCGCAGTAGGCGACCATACAGCCCGCGTCTTGGCCCTGGAAGCAGCGGCCGGGGCAGGACTAAATGAAACTCTGTCGCTGTGGCGTAAACTTGGTTGTCACCTGAGCAGTGCCGCAAAGTACGCTGCCGCGCGCAACGGTCACTGGCGAATAACGTTGTCCCTGTGGCTGGAGGAGCGCAAGAAGCATTCCCCAATCGACTACCCCCTGCTGCTGGAGGAGGTTGCCCGAGGGTGCAAAGTGCACGTCCTCAAGGACTCCACCACGATATGGAGAAACGAGGTGCAGGACGGAGACAAGGCTCGCATCGTGGCCGCCGCTGCCGGCAGTCCGACGCCTGACTGGCAGGATAAACTGACGTGGCTGGAGGAGCGGTGGGGCGCCCAGCTCTCCACTGCCGCCTGTGCTGAGGCCGCCGGCCGCTCGGATGCGCTGGCTCGCCTGAATTGGCTGCTGAATAAGGGCTATCCGCTGGACAGCAAGGCCGCGGATGTTGCCACCAAATACGGCAATCACGAGGCGCTGCAACTCCTGTTGGACAAGGGCTTTCGGCCGGATCACGAAGCTGTTCTGCAGGCTGCCAAGGCGGGCCACATGGCGGTGATGACTGCCCTGCACGAGCGCGACTGGGCTCTGAACGAGGAGGTCCTGCAGTACGCGGCACGCGGCGGGCAGCTGCGGCTGCTGGCCTGGATGGTGCAGGAGATGGGGCCGCATGTGCTGCAGAGCGTCTACCTCTTCCGCGCGGCCGCCGCCTCGGGCAGCGTGGAGCTCATGTCCTGGCTGCGGGAGCGAGGCTGCCCCTGGGATGGCGCCGCGTATACCTTTGCCGCAAGTGCAGGGTGCTGTGAGGCGCTCGAGTGGCTGGCTGAGCAGGGATGTCCCATGCACGTGGAGGACGAGGCGTTCCGCGGCTGCCCCTACGTGGCTGCCGGCAGCAACGGCGACATGGCGACGTTGAAGTGCTTGCAGGGGCTGGGCTACCCCTGGGGTGCGGGCGGGAGGACCTTCACCAACTGCGTTGGGGAGCGCTGCGATGTGCGTGTGCTGAGGTGGCTGCTGCAGGCGGGCTGCCCCGTGGACTGGCGGGCGGCGGTGGAGGAGGCGGCCGGCATGCAGTTGGCGGATGGGGAGCCTGGGGACGCATGGGCGGAGTACTCGGATGAGGTGTGGAAGATGCTGATGAAGGAGGGCAGCAAGGGGGACTGGTACCGTGAGGAGGGGTTCTCGACGGTGGATGCAGCTATGTGTGATATATTGGAGCGGATGAAGGAGGAGGCGGCAGAAGAGGAGGAGGAGATGGAGGAGGGGGAGGAAGAGGCGGTGGTGGAGGAAGCGGAGGGGGTGGCGGCTGGGGCGGTGGGCGGGGAGGCAATGGTGGCAGAGGTGGTGGTGGATGAGGAGGGGGAGGACGAGGACGGAGCCTGACCTGACGCTAGCAGCGGTTTAGTGGGTTGATGCTGGTTTGACTCTGGCGATTATAGGAAGGGTCCGTACGGCTTTTGTAGAGCTCTGTGTGGGGTACTGCAAGGGGATTGTGTGGCGCCAGTTTTGTCCTGCTTACGATTTGGCCAGGGTACAGCTCTACAGCATGGGTTAGGGCCGCACGCCAAACTATGGGGTTGGGTGAATTGAACCCATGAAACGTAGCCGCGCTGCTGCAGGACATATAGGGCTACGGCAAAAGGCTCTTGCCCACCACTTCTGCGCCTTTTCTTCATTTTCTTTCTTTTTCCTTTTCCTTTCTTGCAGCAGGTCTAAGGCACTATGGGTCTCTGGCTCGCTGATACCTTAGAATGAGTATTGCTTCGGCTCTAAAGAGCCTCTCACGTCGTTTGTTTAATGTTTGCCGTATCTAATCCTTCCTTAAAGAAGTCAGGACTCGCTGTTTGGTGGCAAGTTCTTGCGCTTGCGGCAAAGAAATGCATGGCCGGGTTATCCCGCTGGACCTTCTTCCTGACGGTGTGCTTACAGCGTGGCCTGTCCGTGTAGAAGTGGCTATATTAAACTGCGCTGCTGCTACAAAACTGTTCTCGCGGTGTATCGAAATGCATTGCGTTATTGTATGGGGTTGCTCCCTGCTCTACCGAATAGATTTTGTAATCTAGGCATGCACCATATGTTTGCGTCGTTCCTCGGCTGAGACGGACATTAATGATAACTGATGTACTACAGTTCGTGCAGGCGATGTTTTTGGGACGTGGAATGTATCTTAGCGGAAACAAAAGACGGCTGGCTTGTACATTTTGGAGACCCCTGGGTCACCCTCGGAGTACTGGCAACCGGTGAACTACCAAATAATACCATTGTAACCTGGAGGATTTTTACGCCGGGGAATGCAAGCGTATAAGCCAACGGCATCCAGGCCCAGGCACCTAGCGTTCTTCGCTGAAGTCAATATCGTTGATGGACATGTATCTTTGGTCGGAAGGATTCGCCGTCGACATCACTTGCTTGGAGGCGCCTTACGCATTCCATTTGACGAATAATTCCGCCTGGCAAAACAAAAACGTTGCATTGCTGAAGTGATCGCACGTACGAGTCAGATTTGTCATCTTTTCCCAAGTCCCTATTCCCACAGTAGTCGGCCCATGTTAATAAATAGCTTGACATGTTCTCCATTCCATGCCTGCTAGTCGGCTATGGTAACGTTTCGTCGCGTGCTCTGTGACTCTTACATCCCGGACTGCGACAAGTAGTTGACTCGGATACCGTTTCATAGACTACTTTTAGTTGCTTTACAAGGGCTCTACCGTGCAACTGACACGGATGGGGAAAGGTTCCGGCGACCATGTGAGTATTGAAGTTCCCTCAAAACAAACCCCCATACGACAGCTTACAGCTTGAGGACCGCCGTGTATCTAACGCCGCAATATATTATAGTTTTGCTGCAGTGTCGCATGTTGGATCGTCTTCATCCTGCTTTGCGTTAGCATTATAGGATTCGGCTTCGTTGGGGGCGGCATCGCCGTCCTCCTTATCTTCAGGGTCGAGAGGCACCAAAACATAAGTATGTTGTAATCCTTTTCATAGCTGGGTGCTCGACGTCTTCGACTCGCCTCCGCGTCCTGCATACCTGCCCTAGCTAGCCAGTCACGGCACCCTTACCTACCCATCGCCGTCCATAACCTCCTGAAAACCCCCCTCAATCGCCCCCATGTATAGGCTACAAGTCAGTGCACATTCCCCGTGCCCCTCCCTGGACCCTAATCTATTTCTGGTTGCCTTCACCACAGGAAAGGTTGAGGATGCAGTGGCAGTCTGGAACAACAGCACCTTACCGAACGGCTGGCGGAACTTCGAGGGCCTCACGGCCTACGCCACTCTCACCCCGGGCAGCTCAGCGGTGTGGAATGCCAGTTACTGCTTCACCACAACCGTCGCCCTCAGTGTAAGCACTACCGTACACATGAGCATACGACGCATGCCCGTTGCTGGTGGCATTAATGGTATACATGTACAGCAACAACGGTAGCACTATCCCCCCTTGTCGTACACCCAGTTTGGAGCTACATTGCTGTGCTACATGTTCACATAGTGACGAGGACTCCTTTGCATGGGGGCACCTCTTTCATCCCCACCGCCTTTCCCATTCTGCCGCGTGCAGTCCTCGCTATGTCCCAATCAATCCTATGTGGACGAGGCTGTTCGCTTTCAGTCAGTGAAGCAGCTGGCATTCTGTGCCTACGTGCCGTACACCACATTTGTAAACTGCGACCTGCGGGTAGGTCGCAAAGTAACGGGAGAGAGGGAAAAGATGGGGCCCGGTCCATACCGTTCTAAGAGGGTTGGTTGGGAGTAACAGGAACGAAAGACTGGAGAGGGTGAAGCTATACATGTGCTTTGTTCCCGGGCTGCATGTTGTGCGCCTGTCTGGGCACGCGGCCGCATTCCGGCTCCAACAGGGTTCTGAGGTGGGCGAGACGTGTCGCTGAGGGGCAGCTGGGGCGGGGCTCCCTGCCCTCTTCCTTCCCTGCTCACCCACCTCGCGCGCACCTCCCGCCCCCTGCCCCCTACCTCCTGCTGCCCCTGCAGGTGAGGTTCACTATGGTCCAGGGCGGGAGCAATGCCACTCTCACCGCACTGCCGGACCTGGGTGAGCAGTAGGGGCGCGGCAGGAGAGGGAGGGGTGGCGGGATAAAAGGAGGGGAGGGAGTCCACCCGGCGCTCAGCATGGCGTTTTCTCCCTTTCAGGTTTCACCGTACCCCGGCTCTGCATGCGTGCGTTCTGCTCCAGCTCTGCATGCGTTCACGGTTCAGCAATCAGCATGCAGCGACCCTGCATGCGTGTCCGCGATCCCTCATGCCCCGCGCTGTGCTCTCCTCCGCACCCCGCACAGTGAACGAGTCGGGCAACAAGCAGATCAAGATCAGGATGCAAGACATCCGGGGGCCTCTGCGCTGTCACGGCAAGCGGCGCTGCTTCGGATCTGGCTACGAGGGGTGCAAGCGGAACTGCTCGGTGAGGGGCGGGTGGCTGCTGGGGAGGGGGAGGGGGCGGGGAGAGATGCAGAGAGGGGAGAGAGTGCGGGCCCCGGTGGCCGACCACACGCCCGTGCTGCCTCCCACTGCCCCATTCCAAACCCGAACCAGCGCATGCAGGTGTCGTGCTGCTGCTACCGCAACTCGACTAAATGGTGCCAACTCCCGGAACGTAACAACGAACTTTCCCGAACAAAACACACGCAGGCGGCATTTGGCGGGACGTTTGACTGCGCCACCTACACCTGCACGGCCAACGCGTGGATATCGGACCTGTCTGTCAAGGTCAACCGCACCTCGGCAGGTGGGGGATGCGGGGGGACCGGGCAGGCGTGTTGGTGCCGCGTGTTGCGGGCGGCACCTCCCCGCGAGCGCTGAGTTGGCAGCATCTCTCATAACTGCTTGGGACGCGCTACATCCTCGACAATAGCTGCAGCTTGCTGCCCCTTCCATGCGGCTTCGATGCTACTACGGTAAACAAGGCTGTCTCACATTACCGCCGCCGGCGCCGCCGCCTTCTCCTCCTCCTCCTCCCGCTGCTGCTCTTGTTGCTGCAGGTTCCTATGCGGTGGATGCGTCGGGCCCGGTGTTCTCCAAGGGGGGTGCTGGAGGGACCGTGCTGCCCGCAGGTAGGGAAGGGAAGGGTAGGGCCGTTGCTTGAGCCTGCTGTGGGTCCGCGGGAAACATGGTACATGAAGGTACATGAACGGTGGGGTGTGTCGAACGCTTTCAGATGAGGCTAAGCAGGTGCTGCCCATGTAGGGGTGCAGGACGTCCCCCCTGCCCCTGCAGTGCTGCTTCCCGAATGCCGTCTCCCCGCCTCAAAACTGCTGGCTGCCTCTTCGCTAGGATGCAAACCTTGCCTCCACCTTTTCTGCGCGCTCCTAGCCCACCCTGATCGTCTTTGTTCCCCACTCCCCCTGTCCCCTCTCCCGCGCCTCCCAGGCTACTCCTGGCTCTTCTACCCGGGGGCCTCCGGTACCGCCCCGCTCTGGCAGTACGACGGCATGGCCTGGAACAGCACCCCCGCCAACCTGTCCCTCACCCTGCGCCCCTCCTCCGACCCCTGGCTCACATACATGGCAGCGACCAAGGGGTCGGGCTACTTTGACGAACCGCTGGTGAGGGGTCGCGCAGGTTGCTGAGACACATGCTTGCAGCAGCACCAGCTGCACAGTAACAGCAGGTGCTGATGGTCTCCCCCCATTCATGCGCCTCCTTCATGCGTGTCCCCTCGCACCCCTGTATCACTGCCCCCCGTGTCCTCCTCATCCCTCCTTCCACCTGCAGCCCATCCTGGGCGGCGCGCTGGTGGGTATCGGCGGGCTGCTGCTGCTGGGCTGCTTCCTCACCTCGCTGCTGCTGTGCGTCGCGCGCTGGGTGGCGCGGCGCTACCCGGAGCGGCCGCCGGGCTGCCTGCGGGGCTGCATGTGGAGGATGGGGCGCGGGTGAGTGGCACTGAGGCGACTAGGGGACTGACTGGAGGGGTGGTGGTGGTGGTGGGATGAGGGTTTCAGGGAGAGGAGGTGGGAGGGGGAGGCTACCCCGCACTCATGCGGCGACCCGCACCCCGCCACACCCCCTCGCCCCCCCTGCACAGGGCCTGCGGGCCCAAGGGCTCCAAGGGCGCCCCCACAGCCATCGACAACGCAGCCTACCAGCCCCAACACCAGCAGCAGCTGCAGCAGTCCGCCTACCCGCCCGCCTACCCGCCCGTGGCCCCACCGGTGCTACCCAGCACTCCCCCGCCGCCCGGGGCCTACCCCTACCCCTACCCCTACGCCTACGGCGCCTACCCCGCCGCCTACACCCCAGGAATCGTGGCGGCCAGTCCCCAGCAGCAGCAGCAGGCAGCCTTTATGCAGGCCGGTGGATACGCCTACACGTATCCTGCCATGGTGCCTGGAGCCATCGAGTCGCCTGCAAGGCCGGGCACCTCCCCCTTCCCGCCGCCGCCGCCGCCGCCGCAGCAGCAGCAGCAACCACTGCCTCCGCCACAAGAGCAGCAGCCGCTGTTACCGCTACAACCGCAAACGTGATGGGCTTGGGAATATCGACAGGAATTGTGAATTGCAAAAGTATCACCGTAATGCGTGATGTGATGTGATGTGCGGAATGATGCAGGAAGGACCAACACAGGCGCCGATGTGGCTTCCCAAACGAAGCAGTGATCTCGTGTTTCCTGCATTGCATTTGACAGTGGTGGTACCTGTCCGTATGGTACTACTTAAGGTGAGCTCTTTACGCATGGCAGAGGTCGGTGAGGGATGTGCGCCGGTCGTTCGGGAGTTGCGTTGTTCGTGGAGGGCTTCGGGCTCGCTGTGATTGATTCTCCTAATGCGTTACGATACTGTACGACAGCCCCGTTACCTCGTAGCTGGCACCCCACCTTGTTAGTGTCGACCGATGTTGAATTAATTCGTGTGCGTGCGTGCATGGCAGTTCTAACCTCCCATGTGTGAGAGTTTATGCAAGGCCACCCATTGGTGGCCGCCCGGGTGAGGTAACCTGAGCGGTAGTTGTCAAGTTGTGGAACGAGTACATACCAGTATACCGGTACATACACATGAAGGGGTTACCTCGCTAGGGGTTACCTCGCCGGGCTTATTCATGACCCATGGGTCACTCACCTGGTGGCACGGCCATGATGGCAAAACACAGCAGAGGTGCCAAGGACATGGCATGTGATCTCTTACACTTTGAAAGGCTATTCTAACACGGCTGTGTAACCAGCACGCATAGATGTCCACAGACCAGCTCTGAAGCAAGTACATTACTCAACAGCACAGCCGTACATACTCCCGCGACTTCCGTACATCTGCACAGCTCATCCCGAATGCGATGCTGCAAACCCTGGCGAACCACCAAACTGCTATTGCACGGCTGCGGCTGCTGCCGCCACCACCGCCTGACTGATCCTGCCGGTGCCGTTAATCCTTAACCTCACTGCTGTCGTCCTTGTAGTTGAAGGCATCGCCATGTATCGACACTGTTATTGTTGTTGTTGCTTGGCCAGTGTCCCTGTTATCGCTGCTGCTGCTGCTGCTGCACGTACTGCCACACCGCCATCGCCCCGCTCACGTGCGCGTTGAGGGAGCGTGTGACGCCCAACATGGGGATCTCCACACACGCGTCCTGGCGTGCGGGGAGGGAATGGAAAGAGGGGAAGGGAGAACGGTTCGGAGGGGGAAGGCAAAGAGGAGAGGAAGGGGGAATAGGAGGAGGCTTGTTAGAGGATAGCCGCTGGTTGGTATGAAATCATCTAGGGCCACCCCACCATTCCATCCCGCCACCCACCACCCCACCCACCATCGCCCCGATGAGTGACTGCGGCACGCCGCTCTGCTCGTTCCCCAGCAGCAGCAGCGTGCGCTGCGGGAAGGTGAAGGCCTGCAGCGCCACACTGCCCGCCGCCTGCTCCACCCCCACCAGCCAGTAGCCCCGCGCGCGCGCCTCCGCCAGGTATGCAGGAAGGTCGGGCGGGGCCACCTCGTGCAGCGGCAGCCAGCGCTCGCTGGTGACCGCCTGGGAGGGGGGAGGGGGGGAGCGGGAGGAGGGTCAGGCGTGAGGGGCGGGAGGATGAGTGGCGGGGAGCGTATTAGCTTCAGCTCAGCTCAGCCCTCCTCATGGGGAGTCCCAGCTTGCCTGACCCCCACGCCCCCCACCTGGCGTTTGAATGCCTCGGAGGCCACCACTGCTCGGGAGGGCAGCACCAGCGCCTCGCAACCTAGACTCTCGCAGGTCCTGGGGAGGGGAGGGGGGTGAGGAGGGGAGGGACTAGGTAGCAGCGGTGGGGAAATTGGGATGGGAGTGGGGACTTTAAGAATCGGCGTGGTCTTGCGGCAACTGCATTTGCTAGTGTCGACGGTAGGCATGAAAACAGACCAGCATGCCAGGATAGGCACTACAAGCCACGTGCATATCCTGGGTATCCTGGCGCTTGAGACTACAGGTCAGTAGCAGCTCGCAACTCTGTCCCCTCACCCTCACCCTCACCTGCACAGTCCGGCCATGTTAGGGATGTTCTCAAGCAGGCTGGCAACCACCACCAGACCCGTGGGTCGTCTGCCAGCAGCCGCAGCCGCCGCGGCGGACAACGCATCCAGTCGGTCTCCCAACGCCTCAGTGACCCATGGGTCAGCTCCAGCCCCACCCATGCCTCCGTTGCCTGCGCCACCGCCTCCGGTTCCCCCAGGGGCCCCGACTGCCGACGCCGCCGGCAGCAGCTGCGGGCGCAACTGGTAGCTAGCAATCCCGGCACTCGAGCCGACAGCAGCAGCCCCTGCCTTCGTCCGCTGCTTCTGCTGCTGCTGCTGCAGCCCTGCGGCTGCCGCCTCACCTCCTTCCTCCTCCAGCCCATCACCCTCTCCACCCTCCAGCTCCTCCTCCTCCCCACCATCATCCGCCACCCTTCCTTCCTCCTCCTCCCCGTCACCTCCACCCTCTCCTGCCCCGTCCTCCACCTCCTCCTCTGCCGCCGCCGCCCCGGTGTCCGCCGCCCCTCCCGCTGCCGCCGCCCCCCGCCTTGCGCCCGCTCCCAGCGCGCGCACGCATGCCGGCAGGGCCCGCAGCACGTCGATGGGCAGCCGGTCCCGCGTGTGTAGCGCCCAGGGGGCTGGGTACCCGGGGTCCACCTTGGTGGGGAGGAACAGAGAGGGAATAGGGCGGGAGAGAAGGGCGACACAGAGATGAGCGCCAAGGGTTCGAAGGGGGTGCCGGGGCCCTAGTTAGACGGTCTTAAGAGCGAGCGAGCAACGGCCAATGTGGTGCACCGGGCTTGGGGGCATTGCTGGGGGACTGCTGGGTTACTGCTGGGCGCAGGCATTTCGACGTGACGCAAGCTCCTGAGATGCTGCTGGAGCCCTGCAGGCAGCAGCGAGGGAGGTGTGAGTCCCGCACAGCGCCCGTGAGCCCCTCGGTCGTACCTCCAGCGCCTCCCCGGCCGCCGCAGCCGCCGACAGCACCTCCTCGCGGATCTGAGCGCGGAGGGGGAAGTGGGGGAGCAGTGGGGGGAGCATGAGTGCGGAACGGATGGCGGGAGGAGAGCAGGAGTCGGATGACGTTCATGCATGGCAGTGCCCGGGTGACCCCCCCCCACCTCACCCCAAACAGGCCCCCCAGCGAGCACTCCCACTCCAGATCGAACCCCGCAAAGTCCGCCAGCGCTGTGCGACTGCGCAGTGCCGCCGTCTCCGGGTTGCTGCCCAGGAAGCGCCGCACACCCTCCAGGGACAGCTGCAGCGGCCCTTGGCCCTGCTCCTGTCCCTGCTCCTGTCCCTGCTCCTGTCCCTGCTCCTGTCCCTGTTCTAGTAGGGACGGGCGGCTGCTAGGGCCGCTTAGACCGAACAAGGCCGTGGGCTGGGTTGAGGAGGAGGAGGGAGGAGGCGGTGGCTGTTGCGGCTGACTATCCGGCTGGGTGCTGAGTTGCGAGAGGACAGCGTACAGGACGGCCTGCGGAGGTGGGGGTGGGGAGGTGGGTGAGCAGGGGGGTTAGGAGGGGGGGCTAGGATGAGGGAGGCAACCACACCTATGTCGCAGTCCGGGTCAGCACATTCGGTAAGCTCGGTTGTTGGTGACCCGGTGTGACCCCCGGCTCACCAGACACCCCATACCGGTACATGCAGCTCAGGAAGGCGTGTAGCAAGGCTACAGTAAAATAGTCATAGAAGGTAAACCCCATGACATCTCAAGAGGCCTTTTAGCACCCTTGTTACAAGGCGGAACACTCCTTTCAAGGACATGGTCACCAGAACGTGTGCTCGCGTGCTCGTGTGCTCGTGCACCGCTGTGCCTCAAGAGCCAAGACGACCTCACCAGCCAACAGCGACACATCAGACGCCCCGACATGGAACCCGCACACGAACACAAGCACACCTGTACGGGAATTCGCACGGCGTGGCGGTGGTGCAGGGCCCAGGGAAACAGCGCCTGCAGCAGCGGGCCGCAGTGCTGACCCATGGGTCGCGATGCCGCCTGGCGCCGCAGCAGCAGGCAGCCGATCAGCACCAGCGACACGCAAACCTGCAGCAGCAGCAGCAGCAGCCGTAAGGTGCAGCGACTTGTCGTAAATGTGTAATGAGTAAATTGACACACAAGCGACTCCTGCAACACTCCCTCGGCTGTGGTGCCCTTCCAGGATGCGCTAATCAAAGGCCCAACCAACTGCCGGTGTATGCTGCCCACGCCCCTCCCGTTGCCCCTCAGGTCCCTCACACATCAGCTGCGGCCTCGCATGCCGGTCAGCCCCCCAGCTTAGATTCCCCCTGCTTCAACCAGGCACCTACAGCTTCCCCCCGCACAGCACCGCCACCCTCCTCAGCCCTTCCGGCCCACCCCCCACCCTCCCAGCCGTGTCGTACAGCTTGTCAGCCTCCTCTTTACCCCCCTGCCGTACCTGGTAGCTGGCCGTGTCGTACCTCCTCAGCTCAGGCAGCAGCAGCTCCCCCACCCCCGCCGGCCAGCGGTCCAGCAGAGCTAAGAGCGCCTGCTGCATGAGCGGCCGCACGTTGGGGTGCGCGTGCGGCTGCTGCAGCACCCACCACACGGAGGAGGCGGAGGAGCCTGGGGGCGGCGGCGGGGGCGGCGGGGGGGCGGCGGGGGAGAGAGTCGTGGGGCGGAGAAGGCGGAGAGCGTTATGTGACTCATGTGTTCGAAAAACTGGCCACGAGCCTCATGAGCGCAAGCGAGGACTGGAGTGGTGCGGTGGCGGTTACTGGGAGTTAGTGGCGGTTGCTTGCGGAGCAGGTGCATGCCGGGTTGGGGTGGGCGGGTGGGATGGGGGTGCCGCAGAGGAGGAGCTCAGACAGGCAACCCCACCCCCGCTAGCCCCCCGCGTGTCACCCACCTGCCGCCCCCTCGGGCAGCCTTCTGGCCAGCAGACACACCGTCTGCCACAGAGCCACCTGGGGGGGAGGTGGGAGCGGTGGGGGGGGGGGGTGTAACACGTGGGAGGGCAGGGCACAAGGACAGGGCCCCAGGCGGCGGCCCCAGTCTACCCACCCCCAACATGCTACGCCCGCACGTCGCCCTAACGCGCATGCACATCCCCACAGGGCTTCTCTTCAACGCAAAGGTACACACGGCACAATGCGCGCCCGACAACTCCCCCACCCATCCCTACTTCCCAAGCCTACCACCTCTTCCCCCCTCCCCCCGCCCCCCCCGCCCCCCCGCCCACCTTCATCGCATTCAGTGCGCTGCTCTGACTCGCCTCCCGGGCAAGCAGGAACGAGTAGTCCACAGCCGCCTCCGCCGCCTCCGCTGCTCCTCCGCCCAAGCCCTCAACCCCTCCCACGCCTCCGCCGCCGGGCTTTACACCACCACCACCACCGCCGCCGCGCCGCCGCCGTTGCGGTGCGGCTGCCTCGGAGGGAGTCGCCGTCGCCTCCATCTCTTCCGCCATCCCCGGCGGCAAGGCGCCTGGTCGGCAGCCGCACGCCACCCGCAGCAGCGAGCGCATGAGACCCTCCAGGAAGGGGCCATGCTGGGAACTGCGGAGGAGAGCAAGACGGAAAGATGGAAGGAGGCGGTTATATGGATGCAACAGAAAAGGAATGGTGGCGGTTACGAAGGCAAGACGGTGGGCAGGTGCACACACCTGCACATGCGGACATGTGCGTGCGGTTACGGTCGCAAGACCCTCCTTGGGTGCGACGGCTGCGAGGCCCTTAAAGGCACAGCAGCTGCGGTACCAGCACCCTTACCCCTCCTACTGACACCGCCGCCGCAAGTAAGGGAGCGCTCTCACCTGTCTAGCTGCTCGAGCCAGGCGCATACCGCCGCACGAGCCGGCAGCGACTGGTGCGGCTCGAACCGGCGACTCAGCAGCCCCCGCGCCTCCACGCCAGCAGACCAGCTGGAGAACACCAGCAGGTGTGTCAGCCGGCCGCGCAGCACCGCCTGCAGCCGGGGGTGCGGCGCCAGGACTGCACGACAGAGGTGCGCCGCCGTCGCCAGTGACACTCGCGACCCGCCGGCCTGCAGCAGCAGCAGCGGCAGCGCCTGAGAGCATGTGACGCCACCCAAATCACTCGCCGCTGTCAGCAGTTGCGTTGCGGAGTCCTCCTCCCGGCGCTGCTTGTGCTGCAGCTGCTGCCGGCGCTGCGACGGCGGCGCCGCCGCCGCCAGCGCGTCGTCTGCCGTACATGCCGCCAGGAGGAGGGCGGGGTGGCAGGCGAGCTTGGGAGCCCTCACCGCCAGCTGCGGCGGCACTCGTCGGGCGCCGCGGACCGCCGCAAGCACCGCCGACTGGATCCGACGGAGCTGTCGTACCAGCGGCACCGCCGCCGCCGCCGCCGCCGTCAGCGTTGACGCCTCCTCATGGCCGTGATGGGTGCTTTCAGTGTCGCCGGGAGGAGCCCCGGAAGCGCTGCCGCATGCGGCGGCGGCGGCGGAGGAGGAGGAGGACGCCATGGTGGCGGCGGCGGTTGCAGATACGGCACGCAGGACATCGTCGTACGGCGCTGCGTCGTACAGGGTGTCGAGGATGTACGATAGGGCGGCGTCGGGAGCGCAGTCGAGGTCTTGTAGGGCCCTACAGTTGGCGGTTGGCGAGAAGAGGTCATAGGAGGACAGCGAGGAGGAATGGAGGGCGTGGCATGAGGCTGGGAATGTAAGCAACCCAAGCGAAACACTAGAGCAGCTGGTTGCGCAGTAACTAACTAGGTGCCAGCCCACTTCCCCACGAACAGATTCCATTACAACGCAGGCACGCATACACGCACCTCTCACACAAAGCCTCCCGCACATCCCGGGGCAGCTCCCTGGCGTCACCGCCAGCCGCCGTCGCCAGCAGCTCCCCCACCAACCGCCACTTGAGCTCAATGAAGGCCGGCAGCAACTCCAACCGCACATTGCCGCCGCTGCTGCTACCGCCGCCGCCGCCGCCGCTAAAGGTTGCCGACAGCTCCGTAGAGGGCTCTAGATCGCACACAGACGCCGCCCCGGCCGTCAGGCGACCGCAATCCAAGCTTACAGCGACGCCGACGGCGGCGGCTGAAGCAGCCCTAGCTGTACGGCAAGCCACACAAGCCGCCGCCAGCAGCACAAGCTGCTCGTCCAGCGGTCGCGTCGTCGCGCTGCCGTCATTGCCGCCGCCTGTGTTGCTGCCGCTGTCACTATCGCCGCTGAGCAACGGCAGCACTTGTTTCAACCAACCACCGCATGCACCGGCAAGTGCTTTGCCGTACTCTGCGTTAGTGGCACCGCCGCCTTCGCCACCCGCCATCACCTCCGCCAGTTCGAGGACGCCGTAGGCCGTACGCTCGTCCCACGACATGCGCTGGAAGCGGCGCCGACAGAAGTCCCCCAACAAGGCGGGTGCCAGTATCAGCGTCGCTGCGTGAAGCGCCTCCGCCGCAGGGTTGGCGGCGGCGGCGGGGCCTTCGGCAGCGGCGGTGACGACGGAAGACGCCTGGCGGTACGAGCGATGTAGCGCCACCAGCAGCGTCAGCGCCGCCGCCGTGTCTAACTCCACCTCTGCCGTTCGAGCATCCACCTCCGCAGCCTCCGCTGACGTCGACGTCAGCACAGATCCCGCCTCCGCCAGCGTCTCCACAATCGCCAGGCGCAGCCTCGGCGGCAGGTGTGGCGCCGCCGCCGCCAGGGCCTCCAGGTCCCCTGTCTGCCGATCCGTGGGCACTTTCGCCGCCGCCGCCGCCGTACGACGCAACCCCAACCGCACCGCCAGCCAGCCCGCCACCGCCGGACGCTGCTCGTCCCGACCCGCAAGCACTGCTTCAATCCACCGCAGGAAACCAGGACGCCAGAGCTCCGACCCGGCGCCTGCTCCAGCGCCGGGCGCATTAGCCGATGCCACCGCGGCAGTAGCTGCTGCTGCGGCGGCTCCTTGCGGCGCTCCCGTCGCCGCCGGCAGCGCGGCCGACAAGAGCAGCAGCGCCTCGTCTACAGATACGGCAGTCGGATGCAAAAAGTACGGCACGAGATCCAAAACCGCCGCGTGGATCTCAGCCTGCAAGTCACGCGGGTGCTGCAGCGCCTGTCGTGTCAGCAACGGCAGCAGCTGCCCTCGCAACAGCCCGCCGACGCCGCCGGCGGCCGCCAGTACGGCAGTCACCAGCGCCTCCGCTACCTCCGCTGCCGTACCGTCACCTCCGTCAAGCACCTCCGCCATCGCGGCCTGCAGCCCGCTTATAACGAAGGCGGCAGCGGTTGCACGCTGTGTCCCATTCAACGCAAAACGCAGGCAGTCATGCACTAGCGCCGCCGCCGCCGCCGGCTGCTGCCACCGCATCAAGTGTCGTACACTGACAGCTAGGAATGTCGCAAAAGCACTACGCAGCTGCCGTACGGCGGCGGCATGGCGTTGCGAGCTGCTGCAGCCGGGCAGGTGCTCCCAAGACAGCTTCTCAGCCTCCAGGACGGGCAGCAGCTGCTGCAGCAGCCAGCGTGCAGGCTGTGCATGCTGCGCCCCCGTCTGCCCCGACGTGCATGTGCTGCTGCTCTGTTGCATGAGCGGTCCCCCCACAGCAGCCTCCAGCAGCGCAGCCCACCAGGGCGCAGGACGCGAGGCCGCGGGAGTGCTGCTGGAGACCTGGCGCTGAGCGCCGCCGTCCTTGACGTCAGCAGCGTTAATGGCTTCCGGAGATGCAGCAGTAGCAGCAACCGGGGCTGACTGGGTGGTGGCCTCGTCCTGCTCCTCGTTTTGTACGGCATGGTGCAGTACGGTTAGGAGGCCCAGTCGCCGTACAGATACGTTGACGTGTTGACAGGCCTGCGGCGCCAGGGGCCGAGGAATTAACAAACAGGTGTCATTGTTGTAGGAGGGTAGGGGGGTTGTAAAACATTAAACTCCTCTTTGCTGTTGAGTCACAGCACCGGCCATATGCTGCAATCCATCGCACCAACGCCAAACGGCTACGCAGCAAGGGAGGAAACCCGGACCTTGCGTGTGTGCCGTGCTGGCCCCCTCCCGCCTCTCCCTCTCCTACCGCACCTTGAGCAGCGGCACCGCCAGCCAGGTAGCCAGCTGCCATCCCGCACCTCCCTCGCCGCCTGCTGCACCACCCGCCTCCCGCTCCTCCCGCTGACCCGCCCCCTCTCCTGCCGCCCCCGCCGCCTGCCTCAGCAGCTGCGGTGCGAAGGCGCTCCAAGCGGGCTGCACCAGGTGGAACATGTGCTCCTCCTGCGGCAGGGAGGGGGCCGGGAGGGCGGCAGGGAAGGCAGGGAATGGGGTGTCTTACACTTTTAGCCACGAGAGGCGTCATGCATGGGGCGGAAAGGGGGCAGGTGGGGCAGGAAGGGATGCGAGCTCCCCCGGCATCACATGCACGGCAGCTCAGACGCCCTTCCCTACAGGGCCCTCCTCCTCCCTCGCGTTCTTCCCTCCTCTTCAGACCATCCCGTATCTTCCCCGCCCTCCCCTCCTCCCCACCTCCCCGCGTCTTCCCCTCCTCCCCGCCCTCCCCCCTCTCTCCCGCTCCCCACCAGCACGTGCAACAGGTCCGCCACCGCCGCCCACTCCTGCCGCCCCCACCGCCCCACGCGGCAAGGCACTCCTCCCCCTCCACCTCCATGCAGCCCCTCCTCCTTCTCCGCCGCCGCCCCCTTTGCTGCGCCGCCACCATCACCACCACCACCACCACCAGCAGCTCCGTCCCCCTCGGGGCAGCAGCCGCTGTTGCTGCTGCAGGCGGTGCGCAGCAGGTGCAGCGCCCGCACGCGCGTGGGTCGGTCCCCGGGGGCCAGCAGCGCGGGGGGCAGCAGCTCGGTGAACAGCCAGGCGGGCAGGGCTGGGGACAGGGGGGCGGCGGGAAAGCATACGTGGGAGAGGGGACGGGGACGGGGAAGAGGGAGAGGAGGCAGAAGAAGGAGGGAAAGGGAGTGGGGGGGCGGACGGGCGGAAGACGAGGTGGGAAGGTGGTGAAAGGGGGAGATTGGAGCGGATTGGAGCGGTGCACTGGTGCGGGGGTAGTGCCACTGCGGAACCAGCTGCTCCCCCGACAGCGGCTCCGTCCCCATGTGGACAGTTCGTCATTAGCCAGACGCGGCTTCGGCTGCTGCCCACAGCCATTTTATAAACCCATGTCCAGTTCTCTTGACACACGGCCAGTGTTCGTAACATACCGACATACAGCCAGCTCTCCCAACAGTTGTTACCACACACACGCAGCCCCCCCCACGCGGCCCCCACCCACCCGGACAGCCCCGCAGCGCCGGCCCCAGGTGCCCCTCCAGTGCCGCCAGCGACCCAACTGCCGTACGAGTGGCCGCCGTGACAGCCAGGTCGGGCGGACCAGACAGGGGAGGCGCGGCTGAGGGGAGCCACGTCGGCGGTGGCCCCGCTACAGCTGCGGCTGCTGGTGTTGCGGCGGGTGCGGGTGTTGCCGCGGAGGGCGATGACGATGATGGGAACCTGATGTTGCTGACGGCGAGCACGCAGCGCGCCGCCGCCGTTTCGTATTCCCCGTACGGCAGGTTGTTGCGGCAGCATTGCAGCAGCGGCGGCAGCAGCAGCTGGTGGAGGTGCTGGCGGAGGGCGGAGGGGGCTGCTGTGTGGAACGGGGGAGGGAGCCAGGGGAGTGTAGGGATTGAGAAGAGGGAGGATGTAATAACGTCCGTCCGCTTGCCCTTAAACGCTCCCGTGAACCACCGTCCTTTAGTCCTTAAGCCTCCTTCCCCATGTCCCTAAGCCCGTCATTAAGTCCTGATCCCCCTTGCCGGCGCTCTCCCACCTCCCACCTCCCACCTGGCTGCTGCGGCTGCTGCTGCTGTTGTGGGTCGGGTGCGGCCACTCCCAGGACAGCGCCCAGCACGCAGCGCGGCAGCAGCGCGGGTGACGGGGAGGCGGGTCCGCGGACAGCAACCCCCGGGGGCTGCGGCAGCAGCGGAGGACCGGGAGGCAGGCAGGAGGGACAGGAGACGTTACAGTTTGCCGCCAAGGAGGTGCCAACCAAAGGGGCGCACGACAACCTCAGACAATACGACATGCGAGGGAGATCAGGAGCGCAACCCAAATCCTTTTTAACTAAAGCGGGGCGGAGTAAACGTCCCCGCCGCGACAACCGCCGCCATGGCTCTTTCTGCTACCGGTATGTAAAGCCGTACCTGCACTGCCTGCACCTGCCCCCCTCCGGCTCCTCCGCTGCCGCTGCCGTACAGGCACACCGCCGTCAACGAGTACACCGCCGCCGCCTGCCCCACCGCCAGCACGCCGCCGCCGCCGCCGCTGTCGCCATCGGCAGCTTTCGCCTCCGTCGCCACTTTCTCGGAGGAACCGCTTCCTGCTGCCAGCACCCAGCATCGGTAGGAGACACACCGCAACGCCCACGAAGGACAGCACGAAGAGTGTGGGGGGTTACTTTAGTTCCGTTGGTTGCGTGCAGAGGGGGCCCTGGAGGGCTGCAGACAGGGAAACCCAGGCCTGCATGGGAGCAGGGGCGCTGTGCATGTTGTTTCCCTGCTCCCCGTCCATGTATGTCCTCCCCCCTTACCCTCTACACCTCATCATCATCATCACTCCTCCCATGTTCCGCCCCTCCGACTGGGAGACCCCAGGTTCTCAACCTCGCCAGCAACCCACCCACCCACCTCCCCCGCATAGCACCCGGCAACACTGCGCCACAAGGATACCAAGAGCCGCGTCGCTGCTGCTTCCGCCGCTGCTGTCGCTGCCGACCCGGGAATTGCCAGCCGCCGTACCCTCCGTGTGTCCCGCCTCGTCATCCACCGCTTGTGATACCGCCGCCGCCACTGCTAGCTCCGCAGCCGTACGACAAAGCAGTGCGGCGGCTGGGAGCGACTGCGCCAGACCACCTCCGCTAGCGCCGCCGCCGCCGCCACCGCTAGCACCAGCCGCCGCTGCTGCAGCAGCTGCTGTCGCCAGAGGCACCTTACATGCTAGGAGCTCAGGTACCAATCGAGACAGAAGCGCCTCCCTTACCGCCGTCGCTGCCGCCGCGACGTCTTGCCCTGCCGTACGACTGGTGGTACGGCAGACGGCCGCCAGGGCTGCCGCCACGCAGCGTTCTAGGGCGGGTGAGGCCAGGTGTGCCCCCTGCCACGTCAGCAGGCCAGAGGAAGCATCGATTCCAATGTACGGCAAGGCATCCAGCACGAGTGTACGGAACCAGGGAGAGACGGAGAGGACGGATAGGTGACTGCCCAGGTCGCGGAGGTCGGGCTCAGCTGCTCCCGGGGCTGCGCCGCCGGTGTTCCTGTGGTTCAGGACGTTGGGAGGTTCGGCAGGAGGTAAGGAGGACGCAGGTATGGAAGGGGGCACGCGACCAGGCGGGGTGACCGAAGGGTTTGCAAGCGACGGTTTTTTAGCAGGAGAGAGCAGGTAGGCATGTGCATGAAGGAAATCCCCAGGCTTGGGGTAATTCACCAGCAGTTCAGAGCTGTCCCTGCCCACCTGGCGCTGCCGGCTTCCGAAAGAAGGGCGGCTTCGAGGAACGCTGGTAGGGAATCCATTACGTATGTCCGTGGTTTAGCCTAAGAGAGGAATGAATGCCGACGGCGGCTTGCCCAACACCTAGTCGCCTAGATGGGACCCATGAAGGCACAAAGAGCTAAACAGGAGGTGTAATAATTCATAAAACAAGGTCGATTTGTACTTCACAATGGAGTGTCAGGTAAGCGAGTGCGAATTTCTGTTTGCAAGCTGTACGGAGTCGACTGCCTCAGTCATACTTCTTTCGTCAAACAGGTAAACATTTGCAAGCCGCAGGTGGGTTACACGTAGTTGCATTGTTGTTAGCATACTTAAAAATGTACTCGAGATCACAGGATAGGCTCCAGTGAAAAAAAGTGAAATACCACTTGCATCGTAGCCAGGCCGGCATGTCTGGTCGCAAGGCATACAGCATGAGCTTCACAGTTCAAGCATCTGGCTGCGATGAAGAACCTTTCGAAAGCTTCCCTCAACGCCACGATGCTGTTGCAATAGTACACTATGTGCTGAGACGCAGTAGCCATGCGTCTGAAGCTGTCACCTCCACGGAGTCCTTTGTTTTGTTTTACAAGTCTATCGTGCACACAGCTTTTATGCGTTTCTATAGGAATCCTCCCTGCCCAGGCGAAGAAATCCTCAATTACCGGTGTCACATCCACTTTCCAAACCCGCTTCTGAGCGAGCGACTCCTGAACAGCACCAACAACGCCACCAACCATCACTTCAGGTATTGCAAATATGGCACACTATCCTGCTGCTGCAGGTTCCTAGGGTCTCCGCCGCACACCAAACGGCTTTCCTCCCGAGGCAACCCAGCCACAACGCACGAACGAGGTAGTACCTTCTCCGCTTTTGACCTGTCCCTCAGCATGTCGCCTTCATCATCTGCCCATAACACGTAGCCCAACAAGACGCTACAAGAACCAATGCTTTCCTTTCTCCTCGTAAAAGTCCTACTCAAGTACTTTACCCAAGTCGTAATCGCACCCACTGACGCCGCACGGCTGCATCCCTCCTCCCACGCCATGCCGCAAACAAGGCCCCATGTAACCCCCAGCAAGCAATGTGCACTATTATAATGCCCATGACACCCTGTACGGCACACAAACCTCCACATTACTACACCCCTTCCTCAGGAGGCCCCGTGCAAATAGTCCGTTCGTCAGGAAGCTAGGGAAGTATCGTACTTCTGCTGGCGATGTGACACACCTTGGCGCGAGTGGACAAGGCGTTGCTGCTCTATCAGCCTATGTTGTCCCCAGCAATCACCAAACGCCCTTACCCCGTAGCCCGTACCTCCGCTCAACAAAGGCGTGCGGTCCATTCACACATCCTGCCCTCATCGCGTTGCTGCGTCTCATTCTTTCGTTCGTTGCTACGGACAACCTAACCTCCCCACACAAGCCTTGCATGCTTCACCATCCCGCTAATGCGGCCTCCCACTACCACCCCACTACCACCCCGCAAGCAAGCCCCCAGTGAGCAGCTCGACACCCCTCGCTCCGCATCGTTCCACATTGTCGAGCGCTCCGCCTGCAGCCCTGTGGGTGCTGCAGCCACTACCGGTAGCTTCGGGTGCTGCAGCAGCCCCCTCGGCGCCCCTCGCTGCCGTGCCTTCCGGTCCTCCTCCTTCCCCCCCGGCAGCTCACCAGTCCCCATGCCCTCCTCCCCCCGCTTAGTCCATGTCCATGTCCCCACTGCCCTCCCCTGCACCCCCCTCCTCCCCATCCCCCAGCCCCAGCGCCTCCAGGTCGTCCAGCAGCTCCTCCAGGGGAATCTGGCGAGGGGGGAGGGGGACGGGGAAAAGAGGGAAGGCAAAAGGAGAGAGGGGGGAGTAAGGGGCAGGATGGGGCATGTTAGCATGTCCAGCGGGGCGGCACGAAGCGAATACAGGTGGGGAACACAGGACCGCCCAACTGTCCCAAACACTCCCTAGTTCTCCCCGACAGCACCCACCTACCCACTCCTCCCGCAGCTCCTCTGTGAACCCTCGACCCGCACGCCCAGCCTCCACCCCCTCCAAACGCTCACCTGCGGCAGGTCCCCATCGTCCTCCTCGTCGTCGTCCTCCATGAGACCCGCGGGGGCCGCCACCGCCGCCTGCTGCTGCGGCCGCCCCGCCGCCGCCGGCCCCGCCTGCTGCCCCGCCTGCTGCAGCAGCTCGCTGTCCTTGTAGATGTTGATGCGCGCGCGCATGTCGGGGTCCTCCTCCAGCTCCTCCAGGAAGCGCTCGCGGTCCGCATCCTGGGGGGAGGGGGGGAGGGCGGGGAGCCGGGGGGGGATAAGATGACTGGGGATGCGGAAAAGGATGGAGGAACTGGGAAATGGATTCAGGAACTGTGGAGAATAAGAGAGGAGAAGAGAGCGGTGGCTGCGGGTGCATGCGATGGCAAGGTGGGAAATAAAGCCTGATGCTGATCCTTAAGTGTTGCTCTGTGCAAGGCGTGTAGTAGCAGATACGCAGGGCTTGGGATGCCACTCCTCCGTGTGCATGCAACCACTCCCCAACCTCCCTCTCGCCCTCCTCGCGCCCCCCCTCCCCCCTGCCACCCCCTCAGCCCCCCACTCACCGCCGCCGCCTCGTTCCTCCCCCGGTGACCCGCCCCCGCCGCCTCCTCCACCTCCATCTCCAGCGTGCGCAGCTTCCAGGGCCGAGCAGCCGCCGCACCGCCCTTGGCCGCCCGCCGCCGCCGCTTCTCCTCGTAGCTCTTGCGGACCTGCGGAGAGGGAGGGGCGGGGGAAGGCGGGACAGGTGAGGTAGCGGTTGGGGGTGGGGGTGTTGTGACGGAGAAGATAAGAGTAGCGGCTACTGTGGTTGAAAAGGCGCGGGCAGGGCACGCAGCGCACACGCATACATGCACCCACATGACGGCCACCAACTCCCCTGGAGCCTCCTCCTCCTCCCAAGTAACAGCAACCCTCCTCTCCCAACCCCTCCTCCCCACCCCCCAGCGCCCCCCCCCTCCACCCACCAGAATGATGTCCGGCACCCGCCCCCCCTTGGCCACGTGCGCCTCGTAGTCCAGCCCCACCAGCTGGCTGGTGGTCATGTCGTACCCCAGCACCGTGTCGCCCGGGTGCAGGATGTTCCCCAGATGCGTCCGCGTGTAAAACACCGTGTCATTGCGACCAAAGTCGCTCACACGCGCCACCTGCGCCTCCGCCATGCACCACCGCCCGCTGCTGCCCCCACCCTGCTGCTGCTGCCCGTACGCGCCCCCGCCCGCCCCCGGCTGCTGCTGCTGCCGAATGGGTTCGATGTCCAGCACGATGAAGGGCACCAGGACGCGCTGCGAGGCGAGGGCGGTGAAGGGGTGCCGGTAGTACACCGGGGCCTGCGGCAGGGAGGAAGTGAGGCGAGGAGGTGAGGAACAAGGTGGGGGTGTCGCAAACAAGACATACATCGTGCCAAGGAGCAGTGCGCGACATCGCTTATGCTTATGTTTTTGCTTGCCTTCCGTCGGGCCTAGCCCACCCCCCACCAGGCATCTTCCCTCCTTTTCCTCCAAAGCGCCCCTCGCCCTGCTCCCCCTCCACACTCCCCTCCATCCCAACCCCCCTCAGCCTCACGTCCATGGAGTAGCTGCGCAGAGTGGCGGGGTCGGTGATGGTGATCTGGTTGGTGATGCGCGTCACCAGCACCAGCGGACCCAGGTTGCCGCAGGAGGCGGCCATCTTGGGAGGCAGGCACACCAGGTCGTCCTGGCGGGGGGAGGAGGGAGGGGGGGGAGGGGGGAGAATAAGGCCAGGTTGTTGTAACGACGCAGTAATGGTAAGCTGATAGTTCATGGTGGTGGAAGCGCCCGACGAATGGATGCAACAGGTGCAAGCGTCCAGACGAATGTACGGCAACGTACGCAGTGAGGGGTGGCGAGAGGAGTGCCGAGGTGCAATCCCCCTGCCCTTGCGCGCTGCTAACCCCTTCCCCTTCATGCCTTCACCTTCCATTCCCCCTCCTCCTCCTCCTCCTCCCCCCGTTGTTTCACTTATATAATCCCCCCCCCGCTCCACCCACCTTGCACAGCGGCACGATCTCCACGCTGAACGTGAACTTGTAGTTGTAGGTGTTGTTGTGCGTGTCGTGGCTCACTAGCTGCTTGTCGGCGCGGAAGCGGATGGGGACCACGCTCTGCAGGAAGTCGATGAACTTGAGCGCGTGGCCGCGCTGCGAGTAGAAGAAGTCGATGCCCTCGTGGATGTCCCGCACCTGCGCGGCGAGTGGGGAAGGGGTAAAGAGGAAACAAGGGGAGGGAGGGGGAATGTGGTCGGAGGAAGGAGTGGGTGGCAGGGCTCCTTTTGCGGGGTGGATCATCCAGCATTAGGAGACGGGCATGGTGGGGGGAGGGCGCCGTGAGGGAACCAGACGCAATGTGGTGCCACGCCATGCATGCAGTCCCCTTCCCTTACAGGGTGGTGCAGGGAGCGTTAGTTGCCATCAGCGACTGTTGCTGTGTCCGCATGCCCGCTACAGGGCGCTGTGTTACGTGACCGAGGGCGATCGGAAAGACTAATCGTAAGGGATCATTTGGCGCCATGCGGGAGTGCACCCAACCGCCCCACGTGTGCATCCTCATCTGCCTTCCACCACCCCCCTCCCCCAGCTCTCCCCCGCTATCATGCAGCGCACGGTCTAATCATGGGATCGGGGCTCCAGTGCTTCCCTCCTATCACACCACCCCAGCTCTCCTCCCCCCCCCACCTTGACGCAGTTGGCCGCCGCGTCGTGCTTCAGGATGAGCTGCTCCAGGAACAGGAAGGTGCGCTTGTGGTACACGTGCTGGCGCAGCTGGGGAGGGGAGAGGGAGGGAGGGAGGGAGGGAGGGCGGAGGACAGGGAGGATCAGGGGTCAGCAAGCTGCTTGGGAATGTGGCATCTGGGGTGAGGTGGGCGGGCATGGCCGGGTATAGACACCGCCCCCGCCCCTCCTCCTACCCACATTGGGTCTCCCCCCACCACCCCGCGCACACGTCCCCACCTGCACACACGCCACCCAGCTGTTGGGGTTGGCGTTCTGTCGGTTGCAGTCGGGGCACATGTTGTTCTCCACCACATAGTCCACCACGAAGCTCTGCTGCAGGATGGCGCCGTTGAACACCTCGGCCTGGGGGGGGAGGACGGGGAGGAGGGCGGATGGGGGGACGGGAGGAGCGTGTTAAGAGGTAGTTGTGTTATTAGGCACTGGCTGCGAAGGGAACCTCTCTCATTCCTCCTTTCCCGTCTCCTCCCCTCCATCCCTCCCTTCCTGCTCCCCCCCCCTCACGTTACCTGGATGGTCAGCTTCACTTTGAGCCGCTTGCTGTGCGGCTCCGTCCAGATGAACCCGGCATCCACCAGCTTCACCTGAGGGAGGGGGAGAGCGAGAGGGAGGGGAGGAAGGCAGGCGCGCACGCGAGGTGAGAGCATGCAAAAGAGCGGGCGAAAGATCCCACCTGCGGCCCTTCGACCTGCGACCTGTGTACCGCCATGCCGCGTGTCCCCTTGCCCGCCCTCCGCAGCCCCACACTCCCAACCCAGCGTCCCATGCCCCTAACCCCTCCAACCCCACCTTTTGCAGCCCCTTGATCTTCTTGATGCAGAAGGTGAGCAGCTCCTTGCTCTCCAGCTCAGCTGACACCCAGTGCTTGGGCGGCTGCAGGTAGCGCCCGCACTCCTTGCACCACAGCACCGTCACCTGCGCGGGGGAGGGAGGGAAGGGAGGGAGGGTGGGACGTGTGTGTGTGTGTAGTTCGGGGATGTATAGTAAGGGTAGGAGTGAGGAAGGGGCTTGGAACAAGGAGGAGAAGGCAAGGTAGATGTAGGTGTGAGCACGACAGAAGGATGTAGGTCGGGGTGGAATGCGCTGGGTGTGATGTATTTTCAACCGTACGGGTAAGAAGAATGGAGCTCACCTGTTTTTGTATGCCTTCTGTGATGTCCACTTGCGAGCGGATGCAGTTGACGCACATGTTGGATGGGTTGGGAAGGATGTTCGTCCCGCAAAGACAGCAGAGCCTGTAGGGCAGAATCATCAACCTGGTGTCAACAAAATGCCCCGTACTGGACCATCCGCCGAATCGCAAAGCCAAGGTCAGCATGGTCATCGCCGCCCTAGAACATGTTCCTAGCCCAGCCGTTGAGAATTATTTCAAAATGAACCAACGCTGAACTCCGTATTGCGGTGCCTTACTGCCCCAACCCGTGCGCAGACCGAACCCAACCGTCTGGCCCTGGCGGCTGGGACAAACGTGAACGCTATACTGTCACAACACAAGATTGCATAGTTAATTCCGATAGTAGCTTACACGTAGCCCTGCGTGGCCTGCGGTTGAAACGTTGCCTGGCCGCCATAGGATGTTGGGGCGTCCATTGCTCCAAGAGGTTATTCGGCCAAGCGTATCAAAGGCTTTTATTAATAAATATATGTAACTAAACAAATCTAGTGACCAAGGAACGCCGGCCTGCGACTATCTATATCTTGCGACAGCTACCGTAAAGCGGGCGTCGCCACCTACGTTGCTCCGATAAAGGTAAGCTTTGGTAGCGTCCGTGTTATGCTTTGAGTAAGGGTGTTTGCCTTGCATTACACATCCACATGTACGACGTTTTATCGCTTTACGTTGCTGTAAGAGCCTAAGACTCTGGTAGCACCTATCCTACACGCAATACAAGTCATGACTTATCCCCGTAGCTCGAAACGAAGAAAACGTACACGTAATATATACGGTTTCGGAGGAGCGAAGCGAAGGGAAGCATACCCTGTCCTTCTCACGCTCAATGAGATCCTTTCAGCCGGCCTGTCGGCGGCTCGGCGTTCATGTTGCAGCGCTCAGTGTAGCCCGCGATTGCTGTCGCGCTCCCTTAACGAACTTTTATCGGCAGCGTCGCTCTTCGTGAATCGCGCTGTTTAGAGCGTCCTCTAACTCGGGACATATATAAGGCTATTGTTTAAGCGGTGATGGAGGACAGCTCTGCGCGCTCGTCCCGCCCATAGACCCAAGGGTCAGTCCAGGCTCGAAAGCGCGCGAGCGCACGAACTAGAAACACAGCTACTAGCGCAAATACTAGAAACAAGGAAAAAACGCCATCTCATACACTATGTTGTGTGTGTCCTCCACGAGGAGAACAGTACAGTATTTTTAGCTATATGCAGGGACAAGCAGAATGAAGGAAAGCACTCAGGCCTTTACTTCTCTAATGCTGTGTTGATAAACGGGTGTAATACCCTTCGGCGTATAACCAGCGCTTTCGAAGCCGAGCACAGTGAAGAAGGGTGCACGAGGTGTGTGGGCTTGTCACGCACCTTCCTTCCGTGTTTCAATCTGGCGCGATAACACCCTTCCCGTGTGCGTGTCGCAGCGAAAGGTGGTCCGCTCGACGGCGCGCTTCACTGGAGCGGCTTGCGGAGGCTCCGCGTGTGGCCGTGGCTTAAAGCAAGCGGTCGCCGGTTTGTTGCTGCTAGAGCGCCAAGGTTCCATTAACGAGGTTCTGTGCTTCCCCGAGCTACTGTCGGACTTCGTCCAGCGGGTTGTCGGCCGCCTGGGACTCGGACACACTGTGGTCGAAGTGGCTAACTACGTGCTGGAGCTGGGGGAGTACATAGTTGAGCGCGACCTGCTGGGACAAGTACGAAGTTTGGGTGAGCGTGTACGACAACTTCGAACCGGCGCGGGATTACGGTTTAGGCACACGGTACAGAGAGCGAGTATGTTGTTGCGACGTTATGTGCTCGTTTATGCTTTTGCCGCTGGTCGCCTTCCTTCAGACGTACTCGCTTCGGTACGGTGGCAGCTCAACATGTGGGATTCCGATGTGACGCAGCAACAGGAGCTCATGCGGGCAGATGCTCTCGCTGTTGCGCTGCACGAGACTGTAGCTCGACTGCAGCAGGAACAAGCACAACAGGGAGGACAGCGGCTGAGCGCTGGTGACCAGTGAAAGCGAGGGTGCGAACTCATGCATGCGGACATGACTGTACCTGAAGGACTGCGTAGAGTGCAGCGCTTCCGGCAAGTGCGAGGGCGGCAGGGAAGGCTCGTAGGAGCGTGGGGATGAGGCCGTTGGTGAGGTAGCCTAGGCGGCCTGCAGGGTAGAGAAGAGGAGAGATGGTGCAGACGGAGGAAGAAGAAATAGAAAAGGGACGCGAGAAGTGAAGAATGAGGAAGGTAGGTTTTTTTTCCTCCCTGAATTTACCTTCCATCTCTTGCGGGTTGACTACGTCGCGGTTGTTGGCAAACTGCAGATGCGGAGGTGTGTTGGCAGGTGCAGGGAGGATGTACTGGCGAATCGGTGCAAAGGCTGTAGCGATGCGTTCCCCAGAGCACCGCCTGCTACAGCCTTTGCACCGATTCTCCATTACATCCTCCCTGCACCTGCCAACACACCTCCGCATCTGCAGTTTGCCAACAACCGCGACGTAGTCAACCCGCAAGAGATGGAAGGTAAATTCAGGGAGGAAAAAAAACCTACCTTCCTCATTCTTCACTTCTCGCGTCCCTTTTCTATTTCTTCTTCCTCCGTCTGCACCATCTCTCCTCTTCTCTACCCTGCAGGCCGCCTAGGCTACCTCACCAACGGCCTCATCCCCACGCTCCTACAAGCCTTCCCTGCCGCCCTCGCACTTGCAGGAAGCGCTGCACTCTACGCAGTCCTTCAGGTACAGTCATGTCCGCATGCATGAGTTCGCGCCCTCGCTTTCTATACCTCCTCCTACTTGCTCTGCCTCCGCCGCCTCCCCATTGCCCTCCGCCTCGCCATTACCCTCCACCTTCCAACGTCGCCCCCCCCCCCTTCTCTTAACGACCCTTCCTTCCTTCACCCACACCTACCTCCCACCGACCCATCAGATCCCCCTGGCTGACATCACCGCCAACCTCGTACATGACTACGACACCTATGCCATTGCTCCCACCGCCGCCGCTGGCCTCATCATCCTCCGCCTTGCCCTCAACCTCCTCGCCAGCCTGCCTTACGTACGAATTCACCACATCGTCGACACACAGCGCGCAATCACCATCATGTGCGACGTCACCATCAGCAACCGCACCACCCGCCAGCGTGTACAGTTCAACAAACGCATCACCCCACACAAGCGTAAGTGCGTTGGTGTCGGGTGTGTTTGGGTTTGATGGGTCGGTGAGTCGGGGGAGGTTTTGTGCGCCAGTGTGGCGTGGTGAGGGTGTGGCTGGGGCTTTGGCCTGGTGTCGGTGTGTTGGGCGTGGATTGCAGATTTGACCGTTGCTTCGACACCTTCGCAGCCTTCATGCGCTGCATCGGCGCCCAGCTCCGCTCCCTCGTCAACCTGGCGACCAGCATGACCTCGACAGAGTGGCGCGACCCTGCTGGCGCCCTCGCCGCTGTGGAATGGACCCGCCTGCGCCCCCACCTGATCCGCGCTGATGCGGACGACGAAGCCCACGTGAGTCCGACATCTTCTCCCCGCCCACGTTCTTTAGGCACTCCTCCCTCCTCCGCCCCTCTTCCGTGTCGTTCCCTCGTTCCCTGAAACATGGCAACAACACCCCTCTATCCTCCTTCCCCTTCCATACATCTCTTCTCTCCCCTCTCCTTCGTCCCCTCCCTTCTCTTTCCACCCACAGGTGCTGCGCACCAGATGGGACCTCCATGCCGTCCCGTGGATGGTACGACACCGCAACACCCGTTGAGCACATTTCATAACGCGGAGGCGGCGACGCAGTACTCTGAGAAAATGGGTAGGAGGGAAGGCACTAGAAATGCGATGTAGTTAAATGCGAAGTTGCCTGGGAGGGACGTTGCCGGCTGGGTGGATGCTACACCCGGATAGGGGGGAGAAGCGCAAGCAGTTAAGCGCAGTTGCACGGGGAATTGCATGGCTGGCGCTTGTCACCGGTCACCTACATGGGCTGCTCTCGGTGTGGAGGACATGAGGAGATTGAGTAAACACATCATTGCCTACCCTCTGTTGTACGTTATGCCATAGACGAGAAGGTTCATGGCGCAGACGAAGACGATGCAATAACCCGGCTGTACTGATCTTTCTTTGTTTGTGCATTACCACATTTTAGAGTCTCTACGTCCCTGCACTGCAACTGCGATGTTCGTACATGCGAAGTTGCCTGGGAGGGATGTTGCCGGCTGGGTGGATGCTGTACCCGTATTGAGAGACAGGAAGGGAGGAACGACCAAAGAAGAAGTCAAGGCAGTTGCGCGCAGCTGCACGGGAATGGGGGTGAGGGGGAATCAAGGATGGTACTGGTCGGGGCTTTTCGTCGGGGGATCTGGGGCCCTTGGAGGTTGGTATAGGGTTTGGATGTTTCGGGAGGTTTGAGGTTGGATGGTTTGGTGTGGACCTATTTTAGCGGTGGGCCCAACACCGCAGAAGAACACGTGTGACAGTTGAATCCGGGGAGATTGCATAGAGGACGAGTTGACGTAAATGCCGTGCTTGTACACAAGTCGCCATGTTGCCTTTCCGTGCTGCCATGCAGTCAAACCAGTCGCCATAACTTGTGATGCCCGCGCTTTGTTGATTGATAAGTGGATTTCTTCAATTTACATACCATCTCCTTTTTTGGTTTGCTTGCGGGTTTGGCAGCGGACGAGCGTACTGACTATGTTGTCTCTGTTCATCTCCAGTCGATCTCTAGTCGCTCTAGGGTACGACCTGAGACCAACGCACCAGACCCATTTCACTCCAACGATGCCCTGTAACCATATTACTGCCTGTCTTATACACGTGCCAGTGCAACCTCACACCGTACATGCATGCATGCCTGCACCCGCATCTTATCGACATCTGCTGTTCCTACTCGTAGTCCAGCTCTCACCCGCTAGCGACGGGCAGCTCCTGCCGAAGGCGGGCCTTACTAGTCTGCATATGCACGTTGGCGGGCACACTACTTGTCACGCTTCAAGCTGCAGCAAACCTAACGGCCCAGGGGTCGGGGCAGGTAATGCACAACGGCTGCCAAATTACTAGACGAAAATATAGGTTACACCTGAAGTACCGGTACCGTGTCTGCCTGAGCAATTGGTGTGCTGCAGAGCTTCTGCTGCCCCCTAGCGGAAAGGTTACAATGACGCCTTGACACTCCCAACCTGTCTGGATCTCGTTGCCATGGCGACATTTATGCCATCGGACCCTCCAACATATGAGCAACCGGAGATAAGGGCGCGTCAGACGACGTAGAGCATTATAATGCCATCTATCTGACGCAAGCTGCACCCCGGCTGGCGGACAGGCACCGAGCTTGAAGACGGCAACCCAACATTCCCGCGCCTAGCAACCGCCGCACCAACAACCCGCGCCAACATCACAAGGATGTGCCGTAGACCAGGCAATGGTACAACAAAGCACGACAATTGAAACAATGTGGGTCACATAAAAGAAGCTGTCCGCATCAATAACCCGAATAAAGTATAGTGGCCTACAGCTCTAGATGTACCTGTAACATGAACTCTTCAGGATACTAAACCACCTCTTCGCTTTGACATTCTTCTTGGTGTGATGCGAATCTTTCTCACGTTCCGCTCCTTTTAATCCAGCGTATACGACAAACGGCAGTAGATACATCACACCGCACCTATCGCACATAGCACAGCAGCGCACAACACGCCACTCTTAACCTGGATCACATAACTCAACCCACGCAAACCATTCAGACCACAACGCGGAGACAGAGACAGCGCCGATCTTCGTACTCCTACTGCTTCAAAGTTCGAAATCGACAAACAGGCGACAAACAGACAGGAACAGACACATACCATTACACGCGGAGACAAGACAGCCATCCGTGCAAGCATAAGGGCTGCAAGCAAGGATATCATAGCATAGCAAGACACGCGTCCGAGATAAGAACAGCAGCAGCAATAGCCTAGGATCAACATCCAGTTATTGGGCTGCAGAGCAGAGCGGGACGAAGTATTTGGCGTCCACTTCCCCTTTAAGGACCACACTGGAAGCCAAACACTCTCGCAACCTACACCTCCATGCTTCATCCCCCTCCTCCTGTCTCATCTTCTGACAATTCCATAGGTTCCTACTCGCGGCCCGTTTCCTGAACACACACACACACATGCGCACGCCCACAGCGAGCAATAACATCGGAGGATGCCGCGGTTTCCATTGTACCCTCCATGTACACACGGCGGGTCACAGGTTGTTGTCATATCCTCCACAGCACGCAGCTCCTCCTCACCCCACCTGGCTGCACCCCATGCAAGGCCCGAAACAGTCTCCACAGGTGCGCACACTGAGTACGCCATAACGCGCTAATAGGAGCAACGGAATGTCACCGCAAACGAGTATCACCGTAATGGCTTGCTTGACACTGCATCACGTTTTTTCTTTTATAGCATGGTCGCACGCACGCACATTCACGCCGGCTGTTAACCGTCGAATACCACCAAACGCATCAGCAGACCCTAGTACCCCGAACGCGGTTTTAGGCTTTCAAATGTCGCGCTAGGACCTCACTTTTGTTGCCGCGCCATTTAACCGCCCAACGGCCCAATCTGGTTGGAGCACCGCCAACCGCTTTTCCACAACAGGAGTCCATCCCAGCTTCACAATCCCAACAGCAACCACCAACCTATATCAATACCCGCAATCACAAGCCTAGCAATAGCCGCAACCGCCAATAAACAACCACCGCAATCACCTTCGACTAATGCATAATAGCCTGAATAGGAGGGGCGCGCTGCATGTCTCCTTTCCTGCATTTCCTTGGTATCAAGCGAGAAAAGCAGACACTCCTAGTCACTGCTCCGGCAAAAAACGGTTCGTGTCTTGTTCACTTTCGCTGACCAGGGTAGCAGCGGCCGACCGGCTGGCCACCTAACGCAGCAAACCCCTATAGCCCCAGCAGCAACATCACAGGGACAACCCTGAAGCAATCCCCATGCAAGGCCACGAAAACACACATTCTACGACTTCTTCTTCTTCTTGACATCCCCGCGAGGCTGCCGGAGCGGGTCATAGAACGAAGAAACACACACACAGTGCGCGTGTGTTTGGCTAGTTTTCTGAACACACAAGACCAGACCAGCAATCACAGTACGTTCCGTCTCCGGCCAGTTTTCTTCACACATGAGGGACATGACCAACGGCCAGTTTCCATAACACGCATGACCACACAGGCGCCCAAACAGCACTCACATTGGCACGCACTTAGTAATAAACCGTACATCCGTACACACCCCAATACTTCCGTACACCGTTCCTTCCCGTACACTACAATTCATTTTTCTCCCTCCCTCACTGTCTCCGTCGTCTTTTGTGTTACTTTTGGTGTCATTTCCCACCCAAACACCCCAAATACAATGTCACGCGTATAACCACACCCCTTGTAGTGCTTCACTATAATGAAGAACGAGAAAGCAGATCCCCATCCGATCCATGCCGGCTTTTGTGCCTCTTATACTTTTTTCCTTGCGTCCCGAGCAATCACGCGCCGCCCAACAGCACATGAGATACGACCTCAGCCCCAATGGCCCTCCAAATCCAAAATACCCCGTCAGCTCTTAGCTCCATGCATTCCGCGCCCTGGAAACCACCGTCCCGACCCCTGGGCCATGACAGCGTGCCCCGCAGCAAGATACATACCCACAGAGCACGATGGCAGCCTCCATGCCCTCGCTGGCTTGGGGTTACGTCATCATGAAGGTACAGGAAGGGACCACACCAGCCGTCACGACGTGCGGCTGCCCTCCCGCCTCTCCACCCGCACTCCCCTCCGCTCCCCAACCTAGCAGTGTGGGGGCGGGTTCTCCTCCTACCGCCCAGCGCCCTCACCATGTTTCCTGCTCCTCCTCCTGCTGCTGCTGCTGCTACTGGTAGGTGTAGAGCGCCCCCTCGGTGTCAACCACCAAGCCCCCCGATGACACGCCCCGCGGACCGCCCCCGCCGGCGGCGGATGTGCCGTACGACGTCGCTTCCGCACCGCCGCCGCCGCCACCATTGGCAGCGCCGCCGCCGTTCGAATGCGACACGGAGTGGAAGAGGCGACTGCCCGTCATGATGCCGCCGGCGCCGCCGCCGGCAGCGGAGGGTGCGGTTGCGAGAAGCGGTGCCGTACCGTCGGTGTATAGGACCATCTCGGGGGCTCCTCCGCCGTTGCTGAGGTGGGCCGCCATGTGGGGTGCTGCAGCGGCGGGGCGGGGGGTAGCGGAGGCGGTTGAAGTGGAGGTGGCGGTGGGTGCGGTGCGGTGGATGCCGGGAGGAAGCTGGGTTCCCGGTATCAGGGTGCTGGCAGCTGCTTCCGCGTTCAGCCGGGCTCTATTAAATGTCGGCCATGACACCAGCCTCAGGCATCCTCGTCTGCACTCTCGGTGCACCCCAACTCAGCTGCTCTGCAACCCTCCCCAGCTCCTCCCACCCCCTCCTAGCCCCACCTTCCCCTGCTGGTTCTGTCACGGGGTTACTTAGCCTCCTCCTCTTTACCCCCAGCTCCCACCCCACCTGAGGACCCCGAGAAGTCCAGCGGCGAGAAGTACACGGGTGCCCCCATCATGTTGTACACTGCACGGGGGAGGGCACACGGAGGAAGGGCGCGAGGCGGGACGGAGGGGCAGTCAGGAAGGCACCGTACCCGGTAGCAAAGACGACTGTGGTTAGCACATCAGGGCACACATGGCGGCCAGGGTTCTCTGACCACACGGTGCCAAGAGCTGCAGATGCATCGAGCGCGCTCGAGCACTCCGTATAGGTAACCCTCGCTGACCCGCCAAGCAGGCAAACGCCTACGCCTTAAGGAGGCCCTGCCACTCAGCCCATCTCCGCACGCTGCCCTCCTCCTTACACCCTACGCATCCCACCACCCTCGTCCCCCGCCATCAGTCTCCAGCTCTCCGCAACGCCCCCATCTCCCACCCCACCCACCCGGCGCGTGCAGCGGTGAGGCCTGCAGGTGTACCGGCGGCATGCCCTGCAGCGGCGGTAGCAGGGACTAGTAAGGAGAGGAAAGCACAGGGGCGGCACTAGGGAGGCGGCATCTCTGCCCCATGCAAGCACGGGCCCTGCCGCCGCTATGCTCCCTGGCATTGCTAGGCAGCTGCCATGCTCTCCAAGCTGACATGCACCCGCGCTACCGCTACCGCATCCGGCAGCTGCTGTTCGCTGCTTCGTAGCCTACCTTTCTGCATGGCAGCCCGCCACCCGCCAGTGCCTGACGAGTGACGACCCGCCTAAACTGCGTCAACCCTCTCCAAAGCCAATCCCCAGTACTGCCCATATATCACTCCTAAGCCTGCCGTGTAACCCTGCCCTAAACCCCAACACAGATTCTTAGCTGCATATGACCTGCATGACGCTCACCAACCCCGGCACCCAGCAGCCCTTCAAACCCCTCCTCTGCACTTAGTTCCGCCCCCTCCTCACCATCAGAAGCGGTCGAGGCGCCGTCGCTAGGGCTCCGGGCCCCCCTAGCAGCTGCGGATAGGTCCCGGCCGCGCCCGCTAGCCCCGCAGCCCCCGGCAGGCCCCGAGGTGTGAGGAAGCCGGCTGCGGCGGCGTGCAGCATGGCACCGGCATCTCCACTGCCGTACAACTGTTGTGGTGAGGGTTGCGGGCGATGTAGGGAGAGGTTGTTGTTGGGTGGGTAAGGTGTTTGGGGTGCGGGGCTGGGTTGCTTGACAGGTGAGTTTGTTGGTGCGGGATGGGGTGAATGGAATATGTTCAGGTGTTTGGTGCGTAGGAAGAGGAGAGGGGGTAAGAGCGACGGCCGGTTGAATTGGGTTGGTGAAGATTTCGTTGGGAGCACAGCAGAGCGCTGAGACCACGTTTCAATCCTCAGTCAGGGTTTCAGCAAAGTTGTGGTCAATAGGACGAACGTTTCCGAGGAAGTCATTCTGACAATCCCTTGCGTGCTGGACGCCCTAAGCTTTGACGCGAGTGCAGCCTAAGACGGGCCGGAACGCGACGCGCTTAACACATGCAAACGCACCTGTGAAGGAGGTATCAGACCATAACCTGCGCATAAGAGGATAAAATAATCGTTATATGGATAAATGGAATCCCGTAAAGGAATCGGCAACCGCTAAACACGCATTTGTCGTCGACGCCGGCGAACGACTACTCACCAGGGGCGTACACTGGCCGGCTTGCAATCTGCTGTGGCCCCTTACTGCAATGCCCTGTTGCTTGCCGGAGCAACGCGAAGCCCTTAAAAGTTCCACGCACAATATCATGCACCTGCGCGAAAGCAGCCCTTTTAAAGCCGCAGCCAATGCTAATGGAGGGCAAAGCAGGTAGTGCTTAGGCCGCGCACCATAGATAGCGCCAGGTTCAAGTTCTGTGGGGTCCCGCTGATAGCAATCTTCGTAGGGTCACAGGTTTGGTCAATCTGGATCTGTGAGCAGAGAAATATGCACCAAGACATCGGCAGAGGTCAGCAAAGCTTTAGCATTGCCGAATCCTACTCGTGCTATATTTTTGCATGCCTACCAGAGCTCCTGTGTAGGTTTGAAGAGCCTTGATAGTTTCACCGCTTCTCCCTATTACACGCCCAACCATAGACTTGGGGCATGTGACGACTGCTGTCTGCCGCCTGCCCCCAGCTCCACTGCCCGTTTGTTGCTGCATTGTCCGAGCAAAGCCCGTGTAGGGCTGCAGTGCGCAGTTTTGGTTCCTAGCCTAACCTAACTAGTGCAATGGCTTAGACCTGTATCTATCGCTCGCACGCCATGAGCGAAGCGCTTCGCGGGGAATGTATGATGAACAAAGAGCCGCGCAGCATTCGATACAATACTGTAATAAGAATTAATGCTATACCTTGTTCTTGTGAAATATTTGATTGCAGGAACTATACATAAATTCACATTGTACTTTGCGATGTCGACGAAATTGGGCCCAGAAGGGCCTAGCCAATAACGTGCACCAAAGTACAAGGCAAATTATCATGAACGTTGTGTACGTCATTGCGGTCCTTGTTCTTGATGTTTGCAAAGCTGGACCTGGTATACGGTAAATGACCGTACCCGGTACCGATACGGAGCTTTATTGCTTACTTTATTGCTCCCAAAAAGGTGAAGCTTTAAGCAGTGTAGATTTCATTAAAAAATCTTAAATCGAACAGGTTACGGAGAAAGTATATGAGACTGCGCGCAGCCCGGCTTATCCTCGCGCCGCGGCATGACCTCAACCAGATGATGCGACTTAATTAGGAATTGCCCTTGTATCTAATTGTTGCAACAGCTACCGCTGCGCACTATCGGTTTTCCTGCTACGTTTCGCTTTCCGTGCCCGCGACTTCCCGGCGTTCCTCGCCTCTCAATTCCGAGAACCGCTTAGGAACCTTCACAGCGTGCATTAGGTTACATTTAGTGTGCCATGGCTTAGTAGTGCGGTTTGCCTGACGGTTTCGGCCCTTTCAGGAGATTGGGACGTACACCAAATGGCCGGCCCTAATTACGCTCCTGGGGGAGGGAATTATGCCTCAATTGTAGCTATGTTTCTGTCCTTTGACCATGCTGAAAGGTATAATGTTGTACTCTTTAAAATGGTATTAACCACCTTTTACGGTTCCCTGCAGAAGGTTTGCAGAAACGGCGGGGTTACGGCGCTCTCTAGACGAGCTCCAAACACGACTCAGGACACCGGGGTATGTGCGTGTAAACAACGGAAGGTTATGCAGGACTACTTTCAGGTCCGATCCTCTATTCCTGAAGTTAGGCTACAGCGGCGTTGCCAAAAGTGTTTGCCGAGCGCAGAAAAGGATCATGTCTTTTGTCGTTGCCATGGCTGGACCTCTACCAAGGTGGCCTGGGGCAAGCCTTGGAGGATGATCCACCCTTCCTGACACGGCTTCAAGAACTGCACCGGCGGGCACGCCGATACCAGTTCAGAACCAGGAAAAGGGATGCCGAAGCAGCCCTGCACGCCCTGCCGTACCTGCAAGGCGCCGAAGCAGCCGTACAGTAGGGGAAGGAGAGCACACAGCTGCAACCTTTTTGAAATGCAATTACAATGTGAATATGTGATGTTAACCACCCCAGGGCCCTACACCGTCCTTACAGGTATACACCTTTCTAGATGAAATACCGGTAGCCAGGGTAAGTTATTTTAAGTCATGTTACCCATGCACGCTGCGTGGGGCTGTCAACATTCCATCTTTGCAAGCGGCACCAGTGCCAGTTCAAGGAAGAGGAAAGGGGGCGCCGTGGAAAAACGGGGGTTCTTGTTGCGAACAGTAATGACCCTGGGGGGCAGATGCAGATGTAAAACAATTGCTTACAGGAGTCATCGGCATCTCTCTATATCAAATACATTGCCGTACAGTAGTTCTCTTGCTGCCCGTCATCGGCGACCCATGCATCCGCGGCCAGTCTTCTCACCACGGCAACTGTGAGCCGCACACAGCGACCTAACCACATCCTACTACCGGTATAGCCATTTGCCATTGGGGCCGCTCAGGAACATACGGTATCCTTCCAACCACCGGCATACCGGGGGTGCCATCGACTGCATGCACCGCTACTGCTGCTCCGCGCTCTACCCTACTGCGTGCCCAGCCTCTACGCCCGATTGTACGGCACCACAGCGGGCTTGCCATACGTTACCGAACGTGGTGTACCATGACGGGTTGTCCGTACACCTTTTCCACCGCCGTACGACCACCACCCCCGGGTTTTACATGCGGGCACACCTGCAAGCTTAAGCTGCGCCAAGTTGCATATTTCATAAGCGCTGGAGTGTACCCCTGCCTCTAAAGCAGCTACAGCCAGACGTACCTGTTCCTGAGTGTATCCCACGTGACACACATGCGCGCATGCCTAGCGTCCCTAACCCAGGCCAACCGCCGCAGCTCCCATGTCCCACTACCCCGGTGCAGCGGCCGGCTTAGTCCCTGGCTCCATGCTTCACAAAAGGAAAACAGCACACAACGCATCAGACACTCACCCCCGGCCCCCAAGTTGCCGTGTACATCTCCTAAAAGCAGACCGCTGGTCAGGGTTGCTGTCATGCCCGCAGACATACTGCATTCATTGATTCGCAGGCACCGCACAGCAAACCAAACAGGTAAGCCGCATCGCACAGCGCTCATAATGAGAGAAAGGGATGGCGTCGCACTAAGAGTGTCGCATTTGCCGGCACCGTAACGTATCATCGCACATGGCCCGGCCCCAAGAAGGCAGCGCCTCCTTACTCACTCTCTCACTTGCGGGGCAACCTTAGTCCCAACACATCCTCATCACACTGTGTGCCACCCATAAAGGCTCCCCTCTCGACGCTTCCTGGCACGTCAGCAAGCGCAAGCGACACGATGATAAGGGATGCCGACCGAGCCACGAACCACGCCTGTTCAGCACTATTCATCAGGCCTGCAGGATTCCAAGGGCGACCTTGCAGGGAACACACAATCACAAGAACACACGAGCAAGCGCACTCATCAACCCCGGGACCGAAGGCAGCAGCCGCGAATCACGGCTGCCGAAGGGCAGTGCATTGGTTGCGACTTGGTTCCGCCGGGCCCTCCCCACTCTCTCTCCGTTTGAGTAACGCCATGCAAGGAAGACAACGACTTGCAGCAAAGATGATGGCCATTGCATAGTATGCCAAACCCCTGCGCAAACCGCTATGCAAGGCAACAGCGCAGCTACCACCGACCTGCGCAGGCTCTCACTGACCCATGGGACGCGACCGATGCTGTCCTGTCGTGCTTTCAATGGTCCTCACGGCACGTGAAGGCGAAGTCGTCCCTCAGGAAACCAGACTAAGAGGCCCCTAGGCTTTCCCGAGTTGCCGAAATCTATCTCCGAGCTCAAATCCGAAGGAACTCTTCGGCAGCCCAACTACGGGACTTTGCCATCAACAAGGTCCATGTCCCCGCCGCTATGCAAACCCCCCCCCCCCCGCCCCAGCTTTCGTTGAGCGCCTCCTTTCCGCCTGATTGCCATCGGCCCCCCCCCGTACCGCCGCACGGCGAGCAATCGACCTGACCCACGTTCCAAAGTCTCCTTCTTTCCTCCCCCATCACAACCGCTGCCCTCCTGCGCTTCCCTTCCCATTTCCGCCACATAACGGCGGACCCTGCAGCAGTATTATAAAGCTCCTCACTCCCACCCCCCAGTCACACAAACGCTTCCCCAGCCCCGCCACCTCAGTTGGTTCCTCAGTTGCCAGTCGCCTGGCTGCCACGCCGCGACCCAACCACACTGCCCGCCTGGCTGCTGCCGCCGCCCGTCGCCGCACCTCCGCTGCCTCCCCCAGACAGCAGGCCGGGCGGCGCGCTGGAGGCTGTTGCCGGCGTGGCGGACTCCTCCAACGTCTCACTCCACCACCCCCGTCCCGTCTTGGACACGTTGGCATCGAAGTGGATGACGGTGGAATGGAAGCGCTTGAGCGCGGGGCGGTGTGCGATGGAGAGGAAGGTAACGCCCGCTCGGATGCACTCGCCGTACAGCCGCAGCTCGCCGTCCGCGCTGACGGCGGAGGTGCACTCGTCCAGCACGGCGTACTGCGGGCGGTGGTAGAGCAGCCGGGCCATGGCCAGGCGCTGCTTCTCGCCGCCTGACAGGATCTCCTGCAAGCGGGGGGAGGGGGGGGGGGGGCAAGGCAGGGTTGGGAGCGTACCCGGTACAATATGTTGTTGTTAGGGCGGAGGGTAGTAGCATCCGTAAGAGAGGGATACAGAAGAGGATGACCCTAAACCCCTAGCAGCTGCCATGCTGAACCAGCAGCTACCCCGGCACGCGCCCTCCTAGTGTTCCTACCCTCACATCCCCCGCATGGCCCCCCACCACCAGCTGCACTTCGCCTTACGGCTCCCCTGCCTACCAGCCCCCTCCCATGTCCCCTTTCATTACCCCCCCCCCCGCCTCCCCCCTCCGGCACTCACGTTCCAGTTCTGCACCGCCTCCCAGCCGTGCCGCACCAGCAGGTACTCCAGCTCCACGGCGCGCAGGCAGCCCTCCAGCGCCGAGTCCAGCTCGGAGGAGGGGGAGGGGGGCACGCTGCCGCCCGACACGTCGGCAAAGTGGGTGTGCTCGGAGGAGGTGGCGCCGCGCCAGACGGACCTGCGCACGGGGGAGGAGGAGGGGGGAGGAGGAAGAGGGGGGAGAGGAGGGATGGAGGTATCAGTACGGTACTTAGGGAAAGGGGCTGGAATAAACAAAAGCCAGAAGGCAGGCAACATACGTGACACTGTGATGAGTAGAGGTCGCTGCTTGTCTTGAGGGGGTGCAGGCCAAACACCGGAGGCGCACAAGCAATGGGGCTCGCGTGCACGTAGGGCACGTAGTGCTCCCGGCCTCACCTGGGCGGGTTGGGGTAGAGGATCTGGTCCCGCAGCGTGCCGGTGACCAGGTAGGGGCGCTGCGACAGGTAAAACACCTTGCCCTTCTCGGGGGTGGTGATCTCGCCAGCCTGGGGGGGCGCGGGGGGGGGGGCAGCGGGGTGACAGCGTGCAGAGAGATACTGCATGACGGCGGGGTCCAAGAAGGAAGCGAAGCTCGGTCAGCCTAGGGAATTCCCCCCTCCCGCCACCATCAGGGTTAACAACCCATGCGCGGATCAGCAGCCCCAATGATGTTCGATCCTTCCCTTCCCTGGCCCCCTCCCGACTCCAGCTGTTCCACACCCCAGCACCCTACCATACCAAGGACGCAGCCCCATCCCCAACCCCCCTAACAGCTCCCATCCCCGCCCCACCCCCACCCCTCCGCTCCCCCACCTGCAGCGGCCACAGCCCCGCCAGCACCCGGAACAGCGAGCTCTTGCCGCACCCGTTGGGGCCCATCAGCAACACGCTGCAGAAGGGGGGGGGGGGGGGGAAAGAGGGGGGGAGAGCAGGTGAGGTAGACGAGAGTACACGGAGATGCCGGCTAGGGCGCCCCGAACAGGGAGCTCCCTTCTCAGTGCCCACCTTCCGCCCCCTTCCCACCACCTAACTGCCACCACACAACCCTCCCACCCAGTAACCCTGCACAACCCCCAAACCCCCGCCCCTCACCTCTTGCCCTGCTCCACCTCGAAGGTGAGCTCCCGGATGAGCGGGGTGCCGTCCGGCGAGTCCAGCGCCACGCGGTGGAAGCGCAGGGTGGGGCCCAGGGAGCGCTTGGGGGGCGGGGGCGGCTCGTAGGCGCCCACCGGCTCTGGGGGGGGGGGGTGAGGGGGGAGGTAAGGAGGAGCGGAGGGAGGAACCTGAGAAGTGCAGCAACCGGAATCCCAAACCTAGTCCGCAGGTACGCCTTCCCCCAGGGCGCAGCAGCTAGGCTCCTTGCCCGCCTGTACCCCGCCAAGGAGGGGTGTGCCTCCCCAGACGCAACTCCCTCATGCACGCTAACCCCCCTTCCCTCCACCATGACCCAACCCATCGATGACCCTTGCCAGCCCGGACAGCTCATTTCCTCCTTACCCCTTACCCCTCTGCCCTTCACTCCCACTTTACCCCCCTCCCACCCCTTTGCAGCCCCTCTTCACCCCCCCACGCTCCCCCCCCTCCTCACCTCCCGGCGCATGGTAGGGCTCCGACAGCCCCAGGAAGTGGTTGACCGACACGTTCTTCCGGAACAGCTCCCGGTGCTCCGCGTCCTCGCCCACCAGCCGCGCCACCTGCTCCAGCAGCTCCGACACGCGGGAGGTGTGGGAGGCGAGTGCGGTGACGCGCTTGTAGATGAGGATCAGGTCGCCGACACCCCTGGGAGGGTGAGGGAGGGAAAAACGAAATTGAGGGAGGGAGGGGAGGGGAGGTGTTATTGTTTGGGGCGTGGGGAGGTGGGCAGGTGGCAGTGTTGCAGGTAGGGCGGGTCACACGGGGTTCCCCTATCGCGGCGGCACAGTGGAAGGAGGAAGAGCGAGGACAGCTAAACCCCAAACTCTTCCACCCGGCACCCCCTGCCATCCGCCTAGCACCGTTGCCCATACCCGCCCACCCACCCCTCTACCTCGTCATACAGCCCGTCAGTTTCCCCTTTCCACCCCCTCCCCCCCTCCCCACACCTGCTGGTGTTCTGCAGCAGGCGCATGGAGCGGATGTAGTCGCGCGTGAGCTCCCCCTGCGAGCCGCGCGCCGCCGGGTCCTTCAGGTAGATGGGCGCCGCGTACACCAGCAGCGCAGTCACGCTGGCAAAGTACTACAGGGGGAGGGGGGGGGAGGAGGGGGGAGGGGGGGGGGCGTAAGGAGAGGTGTTGAAGAAGGGGGGAGGAGCAGGAAGAGTTGGAAGACCCTGCAATTAGAGCAGCCTAGCCCCTGGGTACGTGACCTGTACTTCCTCGACAGGAGCAAAAAAGGTGCGATAGGAACATAGGATGAAATACGCAGCGCGCCAGTCGTCGCTCGCTGCCACACTGCCAAGGGAGAGGGCGGCCGATCGCCACCACCGAGAGCCTCCAAACCAGGCAGCCCAAAACCTGTACCCTCGCCCCCGAAACCCCCTCGTCACAACCCCTCTCAACCCCACCCAACCCACCCCGCCCAACCCCCTCCCCCCTACCTTTACAAAGTACCCGTCCGCCACCTGCTGGATGCCCCGCTGCAGCGCCGACAGCCCCGTGTAGCGCGTGAGGCGGCGCAGGTGCTGGTTCAGGATGAGCTGCTCCGCGGCGCCGGCGGGCGGGTCGTTGAAGGCGACCTCCTCGGAACACGTCACCAACCGCTGGTGGGCGGCCCTGCAGGGGGCGGGACGGGTGGATGCGCTCACTGCAAGAGTCGGGATTTACGGAAGTGAAACTCCAGTTGCTTCAATTGTCATTTCTCTTGAAAACCCCCCTCCCAACCTCCTCCCCTCACCCCTGCGCCCCACCTGAACGCCCCGCTGAGCGCAGCCTCCTGCGCCGTCATGGCAGCCAGCGGCGGCGAGATGGCCCTCAGCAGGTAGGCCACCGCCACGTAGTAGGCGTACAGCGCAAACTGCCCGCGGTAGCCCATGGTGCGGGACAGCGAGCGGGTGAACAGCACCACGTCAAGCAGGGGCTGTGGGGGGAGGGGGGAGGGGGGAGGGGAGGGGTAAGAGGTGGGAAGGCAGGAGGCGGGAGGAAGCGGAGCGGGGGCGTGGGCGTGACGAGGACAAGGACTGAGATGGCTGGAATGGAGTTTACGGTAGCTTACAAAGGCTGCGCGCCACCCTTTTCCTCTTCCCCTGCAGCAAGTCACCGGCCAATCCCCGGCCAGGTGTGTCCCACGTGTGTGTGTGGGGGGGGGGGGGGCACACCACCCCTGGTCACCTCTTCCACCCACTTCCCCACCCCGCCGGGCTTGTTTGCCGTCCTGGTTCAACACATTGGGAGATTGGGTATTCTTCTTTTCCCCACCCACCCCCTCCTCACCTTGAATGTGTGCGCGTACAGGTCGCTGATGGAGGCTGCGAACTTCTCCACGTCCTCCGTAATGCGCTGGTCGGCGTGCGTGAGGCCGCCCAGCGTGCTAGCCGCGTAGTAGGCGCGGTTGCTGGGGAGGGAAGGAGGGAGGGAGGCAGAAGAAGAAGAAGAACATGCGGTGAATGGTCGTAGGGGGAGGGGAGGTGGGGAGCGGTGGAGGGGAGAGATCAAGTGGCAAGGCGGGGCAAGGAGCTACGCACGATGTGCGAAGGCAGCGACGGGGCAGTGCACCTCGGCCCCATGCTCCTTCTGCCCGGGTGGGGTAAAGAGGAGACAACTAACTGGCACGGGGGGGCACACCCGCCCCAACGCGCTCCAATACGCCACCCACTCACCCACGCCCCTCCCCCCCCTACCTGCAGTACTGCGCGTGCAGGAAGGTTGTCAGCCGCTGCTGGAATGACAGCTCGATCTGCTTCTGCATGTACTTGAGCGAGCTGTTCACCACGGCCGCGGGCACCCCGATGGCGGCGAAGGCCATCAGCGCGCGCCAGAACTTGGAGAACTGCTGACTGACCTGGGGGTGGGCGGAGGGGGAGGGGAGGAGGAGGCGGGGGTGAGGGAAAGGAAGAAAGGAAGGACCGCTCTCTTCCCTCCTCACCAGCCCCCCAACCCAACATGCCTCCCCACTTGCCAGCTGCGAACAGCCGCTCCCTCCCCTTCCTCTTCCACTCCTCCAACATGCACGACGGCCCCCCACGCACGCCCCCCCTGCCTACCAGCGTGCTGCCGCAGTAACCCTCCACGCGGCTGATGTAGTCGGTGAGCAGCGTGCGGCTGACCAGCAGGCAGCCCTGGGCCAGGATCAGCAGCGCCTCCTTGCTCCAGGGGGAGGGAACGCAGCTGCAGGAGGAGGGGGAGGCGGAAGGTGGAGAGACAATGAGGGCAGGTGTGGGGAAGCGCTGCATGTGCCTGGCAGGTCATGCCCTCCCAGGGCGCTGTACCACTTTGGGTCCGACCCCAGAAGAAAAGCAACCGCTCAGCTGCATAACTGCACATGCTGAGGCGGAAGGGGCCAGTCGCACAACCCATAAAGCCGCATGCAAAACTTGCTCGCCTCTGACCTAGATGGCTGGAGTACACCTTTTACACGTCTGCCTACGTATTCGACGCGCTCCTTGTGACATGTCCAGTCTCCCAGTACCCCACCTAGAAGCATTGGGCATCTCCTGAACTCACATTTTAACTTCACTCCCGACCCACATGGCCCCGACCCACATGGACTAGCAGCAAGCGCGCTTCAACAGGTACCCTCCCGCGGCCTCCCTCGCAACCACGGACACCAACCCACATCCCCCTCCCCGTCTTCTCTGCTATCCAGCCACCCTCCCCCATCGGCAATGAGCCATCAGACAACGATACCTTGTGTTTAACGTTTCGGGCACCAACCCATGTTTTATCCCCCACCCACATGGAAAAGGTCCGGCAAGGCAGGGCGAGTGTGCTCCCTTCACTCCCCACCCGGTAACAAGCATCCGTCGCCCTCTGCTTCTCGGCGCACCCCCACCTCCAGTCCACCCCTCAATCCCTTGCTTGAATCTTTATTACAGTGCCAAACCCCTCCCTTTCACACCCCTCCCCCGACCCACATAAATCTTATGCCCTTTCCTCCCCCCCTTTCCCCTCCCCTCCCCCGACCCACATGGAAAGGATCCTGGTGAGGCGGCGCAGGAAGCGCTTATCCACCGCGATGCGCACAGTGCGGCGGGAGCTCCCGTAGCCACGGCTGGCCTCCACCTCGGCACATAGGGCCCGCTGCTCGCTCTGGGCTTGCCGTACTAGGTTGCGGACCTGGGAGGGAGATGGGGAAGGGAGGGGGAGAGAGGAGGAGGCATGGGTGAGAGGAAAGCTACTGGGCGTGGCCTTGTCAATGCCTTATTAGTGTCTATGGTGGACGAACACAAGGACCTAACCCCATTGGCAGTTGCATCAACCCCTACGTGCGTGCTTTTGGGGAGGTATACCGTGCTGAGATGCGTGGTGGGCAACACAGGGTTACAGTCCTCAAACGAGCGGATAGTAAGGGCAAGCCATGCCTGCAGACCTCGGCTCCATATGCACGCTAGCATGTAGAAGGCAGCTAAGGGGAGCGCACGTATTTTTTCCATAAGTCCAGGAGTTCAGGGCAGTTGTGTGAGGCTAGAGAAACACGCGCACCTGGCTGCCAATCGTGACTCCACCGGCAACGATGGCCACCTGCGGTTGAAGACAGCGTCATAAAGCCGCGATCAAGAGCAGTGCAGACTATGGCGATCCATTGAGATTTGAATATGTTGTGTACACATCTTGTGTAACCCAGGAAAAGCCAAGCCGTGCATCGCGGAAGCGCGCAACAGGGTGCGTACCGCGATGAGCCGCTTGCGCGCCGGCGACAAGGCGCTGAACAAAGGTTGTAAGTCACCCGCCATCTTGGGTAATGGAAATGCCCTGCCTCCTCAGACCACGCCTCAAGATTACAGCTTCACGCCACACCCCGGCAGGCCAAGCGTGTTCACTATAATGTTGTTAGCTCTGGATATCTTGCATCTTTCTTGCTTAATCGACTGTACAGGTGCTCTAGCAGATAAGGTACAAAAAGTGCAAGCACAGCCCTGGCCAGTTTGCTTTCCTAATAACAAGTGGCTGAATTAGAAGCAGTATGTTGGTATTGTGTCTAGAGTTGGTATGCGTGCAAACCGGCTAGCCCGTTGGCAATTGCTGGAGCCGCCCTTACGGCAGTTTGGACGGGTTGCAGACGTGGATGTTCTCTATCGTGCAGCATACGGTTTCGCCCAAACACATAGTTGCTCATCTACTATTCACTTATCTAATGGCAAATTGCATGCATGGTGCTGGTTGGTGTTAACCGCAAGTTTCGGCGATTCCCCTAAGCAATTTCGACCGCACCACCTACAGCTATACCAGCACACATGTACGTAACGCGTGGCACGAACACCTTCCGTCCCGGGGTTGATGTTGCGGCGCCGCCCTGTGGACCCTTGGGGCCAACAAGCCTTGCATTTCCACAATTCAAGCAAGCCCCAGCTCCGGGCCGCAACGCCCTACCTCAAACGCGATCAAACAAGCCTCTAGCTGCTGGAATTCCAGCTTCCAATGGCAGTTCCGACGCCAACACCGGATCTAGTGGCTGGGGCGCCTCGCTAGCTGCCCGCGCCCGCAAGGGAAGAGCCGCCCAGCCAAAGCAGCCGCAGCCGCTCGAAACCGTGGAGCCCACCTCCTCCATCTCCGCAGCACAGCAAGCAGCTGGCGTACCAGGAGCCCCGGTCATCGCCGTACAGCCCTTGACCTCCTCCTCCCGTCCCGCCTCCGCCTCCGCCAAGCGTCAGGCCAGCCCTCCTCATCAACCCCAGCAACCACCGCCTCCTCCCGTTACCTTCAAGAGCCCCGCTGCCCCCCCTCCCCCTCCCGTCACCTTCTCCACCCCTACCGCTTCCACCGGCAGCCGACCCACATCATCGCCACCAGGCCCAGGTCCGCTGCCCGGCTTTCCGCCCGCACCTCCCAGCCGCTCCCCGCGCCCCTTCTCCGGCCAGCCGGCCCCTGCCACCGCCGCAACTCCCAACACCGCCTTCCCCGCATGGAGTCCCCGCCAGTCGGGTCCGGTGCAGCAGCAGCCCCGGCTGCGGTCCATGTCGGCCTCCTCAAAGGCGACCGCCGCCGCAGCAGCGGCAGCCGCAGCGGCTGCAGCAGCTGCTGTCGCCGCTCGTTCGGCGGGTACGGAGCCCCAGCCAGCGAAGAAGCCGGCTGCTGCTGTTGCTCCAGGTCCCGTCAAGTCCGACGCTGCTGCAGCCCCTCCTCCGTCGCCCTCCTCAGCCACTCGTACCGCTAGCAGCAGCAGTAGCAGTACCCCCAATCCAACGTCAGCTGCGGCTTCAAAAGCCCCCGCCCCTGCCGCCGCCGCAGCAACCGGCACAGCAGCGCGCTCCTCCAGCGATTCCCTGCCGCTGGAGGTATCTTTCAATGAGGTCATGGGCCGCGGTCGGAGGAGTCGCGAAGCCGCCGCCGCAGCTGCCGAGGAGGATGCGGCAACCGAGCAGCGACGGCTGCGGCAGCTGCAGGAGGGAGGCGACGTGGTGTACGACTACACGTGGCGCCCGGATCCGGAACTGGACGAGATTGAGGGCGAGGAGGCGGAACGCGAGCGGGAGCGCGAGCGGGAGGAGCGGGAGCGTAAGAAGGGTCCCGAAAGGAGGCAGCGGGAGCGGGAGGAGGCGGCGGAGGCGGCGGTACGGCGGGCGTATGGCAAGGGGGCGCCTGCGCCGCCGCCGTACGTTGGGCCCGTAAAGGCGGATCGCATTGGCGGTGGGTTGGGGTCCTTTGGGGAATCACGGGTTGGGCGGAAGGAAAGCTAGTCGGTGGAGGCTGGTACGGCACCACCGCGCCGTTTCTCGCACTCTGCTCTCGCGCACTTTGCTGCTCGTGGGGATGACCCCCCATGGCTGCATTACCCCAAATTCGGGTCGCTACTGTTCTTCTTCTTCCTCCTCTTCATGATCACGGCAACAGGTGGCAGTGCACTATTCACGCACTATTCACGCGTCTGTGGCCCATCCTGCCGCATGGTGCTTCGCGTTCCTCACCTGCCTTCGACCCACCTCCCTTCCCCTCCCCCTCCCCACCCTGCACGCCCGCAGACAAGGGGTTTGGGCTGGTGGTGACTGAGGAGGTGGCGCCGGGGCGGCTGCTGCTGCTGGCGCGGCCGGCACTGCTGCAGCAAGGGGCGCCGGGGGAGTCGCCCGATGTGGGTGGGGCGGCTGGGTGGGAGGGAGACATGGGGCGGGCCGAGGGTGGCTGAAGGGGCCCGAGAGGGCAGAGGTGTGTGTTAGGGCAGTAGTCCCATGCCCGGTCTGCCTGCAAGGACGTGTAAGGGTAGGTGCATGGGTGGCACTGACGTCCGAACTGAGGTCCGGATTCCTCCCCGTCTCTTCCCGCCTCTTCCCGCCCAGAGGACCCAAGTCGTCCAAGCTCTCCGTAACCCTTCCACTCCCGCCTTTTCCTCTTTCCCCTCCCCCTTTCCCCACCTTCACCCACCAGATGCGCCAGCTGGTGGCCTCCGCGCTGCGACTGCTGCGGGCAGCCGACGGCATCACCACCCCCCCCACCCCTGACACCCCCTCCTCCACCTCTTCAACACAGCACCCGCAGCAGCAGCAGCAGCAGCAGCAGGACGCAGCGGACGGTGCCGCGCTGGCCGCCCTCTTCTGGGGCCGCCGCCGCGGTCCCGCGTCCCGCCCCCCCGCCGACCTAGCCACCTGGCGCGACCCCACACGCTTTGCCGCCACTGCCGCCACTCCCACCGCTCCCGCTGCTGCTCCTGCCACAACGGCAGCAGCAGCAACCGAAGCAAGTGGCGCAAGCAGCCCCTCCGCATCCTCGTCTTCCTCCTCCGCCACCTCCTCCTCCTCCTCCAGCTGGCCCATGGGTCGGTTGCTGGGTCTGCTGCGCTACAACATGATTGCGCAGGACTGCCCCGACGGCGCGCTGGCTGCGGCGCGAGGCGAGGGGCCGGGGGGCAGCGCCGCGGGCGTGTGGCCGGAGCTGGCACTCAGCAACCACTCGTGCGCACCCAATGCGGTGGCGGTGCGGGTGGGGGAGGCCATGATGGTGGGTGGGGTGGGGTGTGGGGTTGCATGGGGGTGGGGAGTAGAGGAAGGGGTGGGGAGGGGGTTAGGTGGGGGGATGAGGGTGCGGCTGGGGTAAGCGGTGGGGTGTAACGGGCGGCTGGTTGTAACGGAATGGCGACGGTTGAGGGGCGGGCGGGTCCTCTTTATTAGAAAGAGGACCGGAGGACCAGATGAGGATTAAGCGCGCCTACCACTGTTCACCCTGCCCCCCCCTGTCATCCCCACCCCACCACCCCCCGACCTCTCCCCAGGTTCGCGCCTCCCGCCGTATCCCAGCGGGCGGCGAGGTGTTGCTTAACTGGCTTGGAGGGTCCCCCGGGGTGCTGCAGCCGCTGCGGGGCAGGCAGCAGCAGCTGCGAACACTGTACAGCTTCTCATGCAGGTGGGAGGGGGCGGGAGGGAGAGGGGGTGTCGTACGCAGTTCACCGTATCCTGCTGCGTACGGCGCTGCCTCCCCTTGTTTGCCGCTGCATGGAAGAGTAAGGAGGAAGAAAGGGGCTGAGCCCCTCCCTCGCAAACCCTACACCTCACCGCCCGCTCCCCCCCCCAGGTGTTCCCTTTACACTGCATTGCTTGGACCTAACCTTTTCTTTCCTGCGGTTTGGTGCGGCCATTGACCGCCCGCTCCCCCAGGTGTTCTCGTTGCTCCCTGGAGGCCAGCGAGGGCGGCTCCGTGCCCTTCCTGCTGGCGGATGCGGAGCGGGACAGCCAGCAGGCGCTGCAGGAGATTGTGACGGTGGGGGCGGGGGAGACAGTAGTGATAAGGCATAGCAATGCTGATGGATAGTGAAGCAGCGAGGCAGGGGGTGGAGGGAGGCGGGTCTTGTGTCATCGTACATGGGATGACGACGAGCTTCCAGATGGTTGGTGTCCCCCATGCACCCCCACCAAAACCGCCACCGCCACTAACCCCCACACCTCCATTACACCCCCATTTCCCCTGCACCAGGCGCTAGAGGAGGAGGACCTGGCGGGCCTTATGACCGCCATCGATCCCCTGCAAGAGGTCGTACGAACTCTAACCGCCGCCGTACACGAGCTGGGCGAGCAGGTGGATCTCACGGGCGGTCGCGAGGGAGCGCTTGCCGTACAAGCAGCCGAGGAAGACGACCGGTCGCAGCAAGCGACGGAAGAGGGGGAGGAGGAGGGTGCTGGTCGCGGCGGTGGCAAGGATGGAGATCTAGCGAGAGCGGCTCAGAAGATGATGTCCGGTCAGCGGATGGGTCCTGATGATGATGAGGATGATGATGAGGAGGAGGAGGAGGAGGGTGCGGCAAGAGGTAGGCAGGCAGGACGCAGCGGCAGCAGCGGTGGGACGGCGGCGGCGGCAGGAGGCGCGTCCAGGAGGGGGCGGGAGGGGGCGGCGCGGCGGCGGGGTCGCGGGGGCCGGGGCATGTCGGACCCCCCGCCTCCCGACCGCCAGACGGCTGCTGCCTGGCTGCTGGCGTGTCGGGCGCCCCTGATGGAGTATCTGGTGGACGGTGAGACGGGGGGCAGGGGGGGGAGTGGCTAGGAGGTGAAGACGGGAGATGTGTTTTTAGGGATGAGGCGGGGGGGGGTGTATACGGCTACCCACCTGCTTCTTGATGACTGTTGCACTGGCCCACATGGCCACATAACCTGTCATAACCCCTGCCTGCATCCCCGCCTCGTCCGCTGCTGCCCCGCTCTCGCACAGCCCTGGCGGTGCGTGCGGCCTGGTTGGGTCTGGACATCGGGCCCGGCTGGCACTGGCCGCCGCTGCGGCCGCTGGCACTAACGGACAGCCAGCAGGCGGCCAGGGAGGCGGCCAGGGAGGCGGCCAGGGAGGCTGCTAAGGCTGCAAAGGCTGCCGCCTCAGCCTCCACCTCCACCTCCGCTCAAGCTGATGCGGTTGCGACCGGCGCAGTAGCTGACGTGCTTGATGCAGCCGGGGCAGCAGCAGCAGCCCAGGAGGGGGAACAGGAGGAGGGGCAGGAGCAGGATGAGCCCCGCTACGTGATGCCGGAAGACGTGTTGGAGGAGCTGCAAGCAGCTGCAGCGGCGGACCTGGTGTCGGCGCTGGCGGCCTACGTGGATGTGTTGGGTCAGGTGCTGCCGGGCTCGGAGGCGCATGTGGAGGCGTCGCGGCGGCTGCTGTGGTTAAGTCGGGACTTCCTGGGGCGGGGAGATCGGGTGACGGCGGATCTGGAGGCCGCGGCGTACGACGCGCACGTGGTGCGGTACGGCAGGTTGGATGCCGGGGCGTTTGAGGGGTTGATGGCGGCGGGGGCGCCGGCGGCGGATGAGGCGAGGCGGCGGGAGGCGGCGGCGGTGGTGGAGAAAGCGGGGGTGGAGGAGGAGGAGGAGAAGGAGGAAGGGGCTGAGGAGGGAAGGAAGAGGGCGGAGGCGGGGGATGAGGAGGAGGAGCGGCAGCGGCAGCTAGAGGAGTTGTTTAAGGAGGATGCGGAGATCAGGGCTGCAGCAGCGGCAGCGGCAGCTGTTACAGCGGGAGCAGGAGGTGCCGCAGGAGCCGGGTCGGGAAGCGAGGAGGCAGGCGCGGATGTGAAGGCAGCTGGGTCGGCAACGAGAGCAGTCCCGAGGCGGCCGCAGGGGCTGATGCCCCCCCTGGGAGCCGCCGCACGGGGCGGTGTCAGGGCCTCTCCTGCTGCTGGTGGCGCCGCCGCCGGCCCGCCGCGGGTGCAGCTGTCGCCGGAGGAGTTGCGGGAGCGGCAGCAGCGGCTGATGAAGCAGCGGGAGCAGCTGCAGAAGCTGCGGCGGCAACAGCCGCAGCCGCCGCGGAAGGACCCGCAGCAACAGCCGGAACAGCAGCAGCAGCAGCAGCGGAAGAAGCTGGACCCCTTATTGGACGTGTTCCCAGGTCTGTAACGGCGCATGGACAGCTGTTGCTGCTGATGATGATGTTGAAGGTGACGCCCCCGTCCGGGGCTAGAATACGACACGAAGTGGGCAGATATGCTTGACTGGAGTGGGTGCGTGGGGGTCTACTTTTTGGGAGCCATGCGCATGCGTGCCATCGCATGGCGGGTGCGTTTCTTGTCGTGCTTTTGCGCTCGTTGCTTAACACAGTTGTGTTAATGCTGAATAAATGTTACTGTTTTAAGTATCCGCAGCTAGGGCGGGCAGCGACTTGTCGCCCATTGCGACGTGCTTGCCCTGCTCTTCTCGGCCAAAGTACCGTACTGGGGCTGTTTCCTTCAGCCCGGAGGGGTGGGTACTGGGATGCAGTGCAGTGCCTTCCTGTCACACCAGTGTACGGCGGCAAGCTGCGGGCGCCGGGCTGAGGACTCCGCTTGCGGTGTTGTGTTGCGGCTGTGCATGGGGGTAGCGCGGGTAGAAGCCCGGTTTTTTTTCCGATGTGGACTGTTACAGAGGAAGGACAGGAAGACCACCAAGAAAACCAGCCCGGTGGGGTAGCCCGCACGTAGTAGAGTACCATGGCAATGGGAAACGTGTTGTGTGGCACATCGGCGTTGGAGCTTAAATAGGCGTCCCATATTGACCCGTGGGTCGCACATACGGGTAGGCTGCTTGATCAGGAATATGGATAGTGCTATGGAAAGAATGGGTCGCAATATAACCAGAGTGCTGATCAACAAATGAACAGTGCATGCATCCATCTAAACAGCACTTATGAACATGCTATCAAAACAAAGTCACGCCAGGGCACGCATCTCGTCGTGAGGTCTATCACAGTCTATAGCTGAACCAGCCCATGCAGGGCTTAAGTTCCTCTCTTAACGTCACGTGTATGATGAAGTCAAGAACAGTTGCACCCCCGCATTGCAAATCTGGTTACCACAAAGCATGAAACGCGCTTGAGCGAATCACTCTACCCCCACCACCAGCAAAGGCGCGCCCCCACACCACCCCAGACTCTACCGAACCTGACATCGTAAACAACATCCTCCACAAGCCCCTACCACGATCAGCCGTTACCTGTGGCCCACGCAAACCTCCACAGCAGCAGCAGCACCCCCCATGTCCTACAGTAACCCCCCGGCTCGTCAGTCATCGTCAGGATGCCAGGACTTCCCAGCCCTCCGCAGCCCCTTGCGCAAACCAACCGCAGGTAGCCCCTCCGAGCTGCCATCACCCCCTCCGCCGCCTCCGCCTCCCCCGCCCCTGCCGCCCAGCCCCCGGCCCTCGCTACCCCTCCCACGTGTCAAGCTGGCGCCGCCCCCCGCATTGCCGCTGCCAACCGACGACGACGCCACACTAGCGGGGCCGCCTCCGCCGGCAGCAGCACGGCTGCCGTACTGAGCCCTGCCGCTGCTGCTGCCGCCGCCACCTCCCTTCACCCCTACTGCCCCCGACATGCTGGCCTTGAAGCTGCTACGGCCGCCGTACATTCCGTCAGCAGTGGTGGAAGAGGAAACGTCGCTTTGACTGCGGCCCCTGCTGCGACTGCCCTGCGTAATGATGTTGTTTTTGGCAGCAGCGCCGCTGGGGGCCGCTGAGGAGGCGGCGCGGCGGGGCGGCGGACTGCTGCTGTCCTCCCTGCCGCGACCCCCGCCCCCGATGGTGCCTTCGCGAGCCCCTCGGAGGGACTCCCTCCATCCTCCACCGCCGCCGCCGCCCTTGCCGCCGCCCGCTGCAATCGTCCCCTTCCGAGCACCCGTTCTGCGCTGTCCAGCGTCCTCCTCCTCCCCATCACAACCGCCACCTCTCCTTGCTCCTCGGTCCTTCTTCTCTCCACTGCCCTTGACGCCGCCTCCACGTTTCTTCCCGTCAGCTACAACGTAGGCATCTTCCCGCGGCGGCGCAAAACATGGCAGCCACGCCAGCAGTCCCCGCACATGTGCAACCGCACCTCCGCCGCCGCTGCCGCCGCCACTGCCGTACCTCCCGCTTCCGCCGCCGCCGCCCGCGTCGCCGTACCCCCCCTCCGCATCCTCCAGCGCCTGCTGCTGCGCCGCCGCCGCTCTCCGCAACACCTTCCCCAACCTCCACGTCCTGTTTGCCTTGACCACCTCATAGCACCCCAGCCCAACCTCCTCCAGCGTGTCCCCCACAAACGCATCCCGCAACTCCAACATGTGTACGACTTCGTACGCCCCGCCCAGTACGGCAACCGGCTTCCGAAACGTCTCCGAAACCACCACCATCGGGCCCTCGGAGCTCCGCCCTCCACCACTAAAGAACGCCAGCTCATAGCCCTTGTTCATGTCGGAGGTGGTGGACCAGACCCGAAGCGCTGGAAAGTTGGACTTCGCCCCGGTTGCTTTGCCGCCCTTGCCGCCGCCGCCCCCACCACCACCACCCGCGGCAGTCGCCTCGTTAGCAGTGGCAGCGGCAGCGGCTGCTGCTGGTTGGGGTGCGTAGTCAAGTTGCAGGAGCTGCGCGGGGAGGGGCTGGTTGGAGTCCATTCGGAGCCAGAGGGCCTGCGCGGGCGAGTCGACCTGCGTGCTGGGGCGCTTGGAGAGCTCCTGGTGGGGAGGGGCGACAGGGGCGGGAGGGAAGAGGGAGGGAAGAGGGAGGGAAAGAGGAGAAGGGCAGGGGAGGGAGGACGGTGGGTGAGGGGCAGGGAGGAAGGAGGAGGTAATGAGGACGCCGTGCACCGCGGTTCCCTTGCTTGACGCCATCACATGGGCTGATGCGCCGGCTGCAAGACACACCACCTAGCTCCACGCCTTGCTGCCGTCCCCTCCCTTCTTCGCTCAGTTAGGCCTACCGGTACCCCCCCCCCACCTCCTACCTTGACCGCCGCCAGGAAGGGCATCCCGATCATGTAGTTCGCCCCCACCAACACATCCGCCGGGTCCAACGTGTCCACCAGCCGCCGCTCCCGCTCCACAACACGCACGCGACTCAGCCGCGCGTCCAACGGCACGTTGGTGGCGCGTACCTCCACACCCACCCACAACCCCAGTAGCTGCACCGGCCGGCGGTAAACCACGCGCTCAGTACGCAGGCTCACGCCGCTGCCGTACGAAAAGTCGTACCAGTAGGGGCTGTTGGATCCGCCGCTGGATCCGCCGCTGCTGCCGCCGCCGCTGCCGTTTGCGACCCGTGGGTCAGATGTGGTGACCAGCAGGAGTTGTGTGGATCGGGGTGCGAAGCGCATGCCGATCCACACGGTTTCGTCTGTGTCCGGGAGGGCCATGAGGAATGTACTGGAAGCTTCGTCCACGACCGCGTCTTCCACATCACCCAGCTCAGCGGCGTATGTGGAGAAGGCTTTGCCTACTGCCACGACTTGTACGGCAAGCCGGGCGTTGCGTGCCGACCGAGCGAACTTCTGACCGCGGCGGTCGGACTTGAAGACCACAGGCAGCTCCAGGGGGCCCTCCAGGAGGGAATCGAGGTCCATGGAGGCGAGGTCTAGGGTTATGGTGCCCACGTGCTCGTCCCGTGTGACCTCCTCGTCGTACAAATCCAGGAGAACGGTGCCGTACAGTCCGTTCTCGTCCTGTTCGGCCTCAAAGAAGAAGTCCTGTTGGAACACACAGGGACGGTGTCGAATTAGGACACGCTGCTCCACGACTGCTTGGCGTTATTAAGCAAAACGTGCAGTTGCTGCCAACCTCGGTGCTTTCCCATCCATTATTCCTTACTTGTAGCCGCTCAACCCCATCAACAAAACAATCCATGATACGTCCCAGCGACTGCGAGCCTACCTCCTCCCAGACGGGGTTGGGGTTGTTGTCGCGCGTGACGGTACGACCCAACACCGAGCCGCCGACAGAGACCACCACGTAGGGGTCGATCTGGCTGAACATGTCTGCAAGGAGGTAAGGGATGGAGGGATTCGTGCAAGGGTTTGTGGACGCAACATCCCCACGCAGCACTACTTTTGACGTACATAGAGGGAACGCATATTAACGGAACAAACATTCTATCTCCTTCGAACACAGTTGTTAGCCACAGTCTTTGCTTGCGACACCTGTCTTTGGCAGCTCATGTCCGCTGATGACCTTGAGGTGGACATTGCAAGCTGTCGCCATTTAAGTTATATTACTGCAAATGCTAACTGCCGACGCCTCTTAGCGCGTTCGCTCCTTTGGCCATCATGTTTGTCCCTCTGTTGCCGCAACGGATGAAGCCGAGCGGCGGCAGAACTACAAACCAAAATCAAAAAAGGATAGAAAGGTTTGTTGCGTTGCGAAGGAGGACTTTTATTGGATGCAAGTCGCCTAAACACTAGTCGCTTGAGGGCCTCTGAAACAATAAGTCCGCAATCCGATGGTGAAGTCAGGGCTACGCGTTCACATGAATTACCATTAGCTGTTAACGTAAGGCTGGAGGATGTGCATCGGAGGCACGGCAGGCTGTACTGGTGATTGACCTTGACCAAGCGAGAGGCGACAAGCGCCAACCATGGAGTGTTTCCTTAAGCCAATCCAAAACCCCCGGTAAGCTAACTACACAAGTACAAGTCGTATCTAGTATTGCAAGAGATAGTCGCTTCGTACGCAGACATAATCTGCCGTACCTACCCTCATGGCGCGGCGGTAATGGAGGGCCGTCCCAGGCTCTTGCTAGAACGAGCCGCAAGTACGGGTCATCGCGCCTACGGCACTGTCCTGCGGCAACGCTTCCAGCCTCGAGCGGTGCGGAAGCCCTGACGGCAGGGCAGGTTTACCCTTCACCAGCCAGCAACTAGCCCTTGGCGAGGACTGCTCGGCTGCCACGTGCCGGTAGTCAAGTGCTCCATGCATGCCAGGTAGCACCAAAAGCAGCTCTCAGAACACTCAATGTTCACATGGATCCATTGTCATGGGAAGCCGCCAAGACGCTACAATTGGGTACCTCCCATGAGTGCCGTACGACAACACAACGACCCTCTTGCCCTCGCCAGCCAGCGAAGGCCGACACGTCTACAATGCATGAAACTGTATGAAGTACCGGTAGGTGCAGTATGATTGGCTACCGGTAATCAACATTCAACCCAATTCAAACAAAGCTTGCGATCCCAAGGTGCCCGCACGCCGCCTGAATTCGTCTCACTCCCCACGCAATCCTGTTAGCACCGGTCACCGGCACGCAGCATCCCCCAAGGTTCTCGCCGGCCAACTTCGCAATGGGATACACACCCAATGACACCAGAGGTGGAGGACAAACGCAATAGCGACGCGGCAGTCCTGCCCCTGCGGGCAGGAAACCCCTCAAACAAGCAAGCAAGCATCTGATAAGTTATTAAGTTAGAAGCCGTCCGACAAGAAATGCACAACGCAGGGCCTTTTCACACCGAACTTGAGGTTGGTCCACCCAAGACCCCCAATAAGGTTCACCAACCGAAAGATCGCATAGGTGGTATAGGAGAATCGCATTAATGGCGAGGAAAACCCTGCCCGCCTTCACACAGGCCCAAACACGCAGACCCAAACACACAGGCCCAAACCTGCCTCCAACAGGCAGCAACATCAACCCTAATGCCCCCCAAGCAGTGAGATGCAGATGCAACCCCAGCACCAGGCCCTCCATTCCCCTCATCCTGCATCTTCGCGCCCCTAATACGGTTATACGGTAGCCTTTATCTACACCCATCCACATTCATCCTCCACCCAGCAACGCCCAACGCATATATGCAACCACAGCGGCACCCTGACTGCCTCAGCGGGGTCCGCAATACAGTTGCATGGAGCACCCGCTAGCATCCCTGCTAGGATGCCCCCCCCCTCCGGTGCGGCTATCCATGCACCTACACATACCCCAGACTCCATCTAGTACCGGCACACTCCCGCACCCCGCGGGACATACGGGCATCGCAGCGAACACGTTTGTCCTTGCGAGCAGAAGCTTCCACAGCGCCAGCATGAGCACGCTAGCGACTTCACAACAGTAGCAATGCTGCCTGGTCAGGAGCTTTAGCCTAGTGACGGGTAATAAGCAATCGCCACTCCTCCCACCCATCCTGCAGTCACAGAACCAAAAGCGCGGGGGCTGCTGCCCACCTCCTCCAACAGCCGCGCCTCAACAGCCGCCCGTCACAGCCCCGCAGCCTCTCCGTGCACCTTTCCCACTTCAATGCCGGCTTCCCTTTCGTCCACCTCCCCCTTTTCCGCCCGCCCCCCATGCCCGTCACGACCACGCACACGGCTGAAGCAGGGGCCCAGCACCCCTCCACGCTGCCGCCTGTCCCATGTGCCTCAACGCCGATCATGGCCTGATTGCCTTGGTAGGACACCGCGCCATGCGTCCTCCACACACCTGCTCGCATCCAACCGCAACCAACCCCACGCCTAGAACGCGCCAACATCCCCCTCCCCGCTCACATGCCACCCCCACCGACCCCCCTCCTAATCTCCCAGCCCCCCAATCCCTCGCGCGTCTGCGCTCCACCCTCAAGCACACGCTCCTCCCTCTCCCTAACCCCCCTCCATCCCTCCGCCCGCCAAACACCTCAGGGCAGCCGCCGTACCGCCGCAATCTCCTCCCGTAGCATCTGCCGCTCCGCTGCCGCCCGCCCCACCCGCGGCTCCCCCGCCCCCGCCCCGCCGCTGCGGGCCCCCCAGGCAGCAGCCCGGGGAGGCACGCTGGAGGGGCGCGCGCGGGAGTGCTGGCCCAGCCTGGGGCCGGTGGGGGGCGGGCGGGAGGCGGCGAAGAGGGCCGCGGAGGCACCCTTGAGCGAGGAGCCGGCTGCTGCAGCGGGGTTGGGCTCACCCACGTACAGCATGGGGCCGTCGAGCTGGAGCTGGGGTGGGGGGAATTAAATAAGGGGGGGTAAGGCAGAGCGGGAGAGTTGAGGGTGGGTGGGGATGGGAGTGAGGTGAGACGGAGGTTGGGAGTGAGGTTTGGAGGGAAAGAGGGATTTGGGTTGCCAGGGTCGCCCTGCAGATGGAACACAGATCTTCTGTCCCATGTCCTCGCGGTCAGACGGAGTTTGGTACCCTTCCTTCCCTCCCCGACCCCCTTCCTAACCCCGTTTGTTTCGTGGTAAACTGCTTTCCTCTATCCCCATTGCTTTGTCCTAACCTGTGGTTTGGTACTTCCCTGCTCCCCTCCCCCCCACCTGCCGCATGATGGCCCCCGGGGTGTGCGCCAGGGCAGCCGCCTCCGCACCACTGGCGGCGGAGTAGGGCCTGAGAGGCGGGCAGGGAGGGCGGCAGGGAGGGCGGGGGCAGCATGGAGGGGAAAGCAGCGGGAGCTGGCATTGGTGGCATCCCAACAGCAACGGCCCACACAACGGACAATCCGTGTGGACCCAGACCTTCGAGCCACATGGCGCTCTTCCACACCTCCTCATTACCTCCACTTACAGGCTGTGGTAACCCCCTCTCACGCCCTCCCCCCTCTCACTCCACAGCTACCACACACACACACCCGCTCACCTCAGCCGCGCCACCACCGCCGCCTCCGCCGCCGCATCCAGCCTGCCGCCCGTTGCCCCTCCCGTAATCCGATGATGCCCCTTGCCCACAATGAACGACGTGATGTCCTCACTCGGCTGGTACTCGCGCGCCGCCTCCGCGGGCCCCCCCGCACCCGGCGGCTCACCGCCGTCCGGCCCCGGCGCCGGTCCACGGCCGCCAAACCAGTAGGGGTGCGACTTGAAGGGGAAGAAATTGGTGTCCTCCACGAAACGCAGTGTGACGCCAGTGTTGGCGGTGACGGTGGCGGCGGAACGGCGCTGCAGGGGGTCCTGGTGGGGAGACGGAGGCCAGCCGGGGCCAAGACCCAGCGGCTCCATGGCGGCGGCAGCGGCAGCAGCGGCGGCGGCTGAGTCGCTGGTGGTGGCGGCGGTAGTGTTGACGAGGGTGGGGGAGGGGGGGCGGTGGCTGCTACTGCTGGTGGGGGGCTGCTGTGTTGAGGCAAGGGGTTGTGGTGGGGAGGGTGGTGGTGACGGGGAGGAGGGGTGCGGGGGTGGCGGAGGCGGGGGGTGGTGCGGGTGGTATTGCTGGGATGGTTGGGCGGCGGTTGGTTGGTCGTTGTTGGAGAGGTTGAACTGCGCCGTGATGCTGCTGCTGCCGGCAGCAGTACCGTTTGTCGGAGCGTTAGGTTGCGGGGTTTGCTGCTGCGGATACTGGTACTGCTGCTGCTGCTGTGGGTATTGTTGCTGCGGGTGAGGGTGGTAGGGAGGGGGCGGGGGGCCCCCGCTGCCAGCACTGCCGCTCCGACCCGCAGTCGGGGGCGGCGTAGCGCCCTCCGCCGGCCCGTACTCCGGCGCCCAGTACACGTTACGTTGCTGCTGTCCTCCCGCAATCGGCGGGGCCTGCGACGCAGCGGAACCCGATCCCCCCGACCCGCTGGACACAGGACGTGACGCCGACACAGTGGGAGTCGCAGAGGCCGGTCTCCTCGCCGCGCCCGACCCCGCTGCCGCCTTCGCCCCCTTCGCCGCCGCCGCCCCCGCACTAGCAATAGCACCTCCCGAACCAGCCGACGACCCACGGGACGGTGTGCGCCCCAGCAGCTCCCGCGCCAGGGACCTGTACGACACCATCCCGCTGCCGTCCTGCAGCCCGCGCACCAGCGCCGCCGCCGCCGCCACCTCACCGCTCCCGCCCGACCCCGGCAGGTTGCTGCTGTCGGCTGCTAGCACGTTTGCCCGCTGCAGTGCCGCCGTGAAGTCCCCCGGACTCAGCTTTCCGCACACCTCGCGATCCATGCGGCGGCAGTTATGCCAGAACGCCTCCACCGCCTCCTTGCTTGGGTTCAGCGAGGCGATGACGCGCTGTGCCTCCGCCGCCGCCGCCAGCTGGGCGTCCGCGGCGGCGCGTTTGGCGCTGTGGCGCAGGCTGGGGTTGCGGGCAGCGGGGTGCGGCTTGCCGACGGTGGAGGCGAGGGGCTCAGCGGCCGCCGCCGTCGTACGGTCCAGGGCGGAGCCGTCGGCGGTCCGCGTGCAGCTGGGTGGGTAGGTTGCGTACGGGGGAGCTGAGATGGGAGGACGCAAGGGCAGCGGTGTGCAGGAGGGAGGAGGGGCGGCCGCCGCACTGTCGGGCAGTTGGGGGGCCGGTTGGGGCTGAGGCTGCTGCCAGGCCGGCATGGGCGCTGCAGCCGCCGCCGCCGCGACGGTTCTGCTCCCGCCGCCGCCGCTGCCGTCACGGCCGCCGACGGTTGGTCTGGCTGAGCTCACCCGCCGCCGTGCGTAGGTCCCAGAGATGTCCCGCACGTCCAGCCCTGGGTCTCGCAGGTTCTTGCCGACATGCGCGCGAAAGGGCGGCTCCCAGCCCGGCCAACTGCCCAGGATGTCTGATGTGTTTAGTTGGGTGTTGCGTGTGGCTAGCTTGTGCGGGCGCTCGGAGACGGAGGGCACTGCGTTGATGTCGGCGACGTCTAGAGAGCTGTGCTGCGGGCGCTGCTGGGTTTCGGAGGCTGCGGCCGCTGCTGCTGCTGCTGCTGCCTCCGCGGCCAGAGTGGAGCTCCCGGGCAGGATGTAGATGGGTTGCATGGGGTTGGTGTCTCGGATCTTGTTTGGGGGCGGCTGGAGTTGGGGCTGTGAGGATAGGGCGGGTGGGGAGGAGCAGGGAGGTGGAGTTTTGGGGCGATGTGATGGCTGGTCGTAGGCGGTGTAACTGTAGCTGTAATGGGGTGATGCACTTATCAAACAGCAGAGAGATGACAAGTGGGGTTCATGCACTGGTTTGAACTTTTTACGACCAGCCCAGGGACAGCTGCGAGACGGTTTAGACAGGAGATCTGCATAACGGTTCGTTCCTGCAGTATCAAAGTTGATCAGGACTTACCACCGCGCCCTCCACATCGCGGCTCATTAAGCCATAGCTGATTTTGTTGACAGTCGGATGCGCGAAAACCTTTGGCCGCATACCCGGGTCATCCTCAAACACCTTCGCCAATGAAAGCTGCGTAAACTCGCCCTTGGCGAGGGGTTTGTGTTGCAACACTGGACGGCCAACATCGTCCTCAGCGACACTACCTGCATGCATGCGAAACGAAACGTTATGGAATGAGCCGCACCTGCTGTTAAACAACAGCGCGTAGACCAAGCAAATGACTCTCATCACTGTTTTTGTCACAACTGTTATAAGGTAGGATCAAAGCGACGCATCCCGTCGTCTAGCTTGGGAAAGTGCGTTGCCCGCGGCCCGCGGCCCAAGGCCAGCATCGCACCTTTTTGCTTATAATAGCTTTCTGTGGGTATAAAGGCAGAGTGTGGCCTCATACGGCGATCGGGCACCCTGCGTTGACACGGAATGGCGACAGTTCTGTCAAGGCCGTCGACGGCAGACTTCCCCGTAACCGTTGATAACTCTTGCTGTTTTGCACATATTCATTCCATAAAAGGCATACACACTGCAAAAGAGCAAGCAGCAGTACCCTGCAACGTCGAAAAGCTAATTGCAGGCAGCAATTGACAACCTCGCTTACCTGCTCGTATCATTCGCAAGCGAGTGATTGAAGACATACTCCATGGCCGGAGTAACGCTGTGTACAGCTGGACAGATACGTATGGCTTCGTTTCAAAGTTTCTAGCAATTACTATGTACGCGCTTGCATCTCCATTACGTTTATATGTGACTTGCCGTTTGTTAAAGGGCACAGGTAAGGAAATGTTCCATCGAACCGACGTCTTCGGAGCGCGCTCGGCCCATGCCTGGGCTCTGCAGATAGCCGGGAGGTTAGACACAGAACTTATACATTCAATGTCAGTATATTGAATAAGTCACTGGTAACTGCCACTCCTAAGACCCCGCAATAGCGTTTTTCGATAATTTAGCAGGATGTATGAAGGTCTTCTTGTCCCACAAACAATATTTCTGACCCATACTTAATCCCCTGGAGTACACATAGCGACACTTGTCATACTCTTGGCTCACGGCTTCTTACGCGACACCCCACATTCTAACAGCTCCTTGCACACAACGAGAATGGCGACCGATCTTCAGTGGCAGAACCTTCCGTTTGATGTTGTGCAGCAAATTATAGACGCGGCAGCTCGCCTGCCAGCTGACAATTATCCTGCAACTACCCTCGACGACCAGCTGCACTCTCACTCTCAGCCCCTGTCATCCCTAGCCTCATCGCCTTCTTCGCAGTCTTCTACCTCAACATTACTAACTCAGACCCACAAGCCAGATGCCAGCGTTCTAAGCGAGCCCCATGACGAGCTACTTCAACACATTATTCGTTCCATGCGCCTCGTCTGCATCCCTTGGCGCGATGCAGCTGCCTCGGCTGTGACCCAGCTACAACTGCAAACCTTAGACATGCTACGCCCGGGCAGGCCGCTGTCGGCAATCTTTCCGGAGCTCACTTCCTTGGACCTTTCGTCGCACACATTGTGCGATGAAGAAGTGGCGCTGCTGTCCGGCTGCCGCGGTCTGATGGACCTCAGGCTCTCCGCCCAGCGCCTAACTTCTGAAGGTACGAGGTCGGGCGGGCAAGGCATTTTGGACAGTTGCCAAAGCGACGGCGTGGGTCAAACGGCGGTCTGACCGGGTTGCCGGTTTCGTAGCTCTCCCGGTGCTCCACGCCCCCTTCCCACCCTCTCCCAACACACTCGCTTTCACGACATCACCCCATCCCTACCTACCCCCGCTTTCCCCCCTAAACCAGGCCTGGCGGCTCTTGCCCCTCTCACAGCTCTAGACCGAATCGAGCTGTCCAGCCTCCGAGTGCCGTACGGTCTCGCCCACCTGCTGGCGGCGCTGCCAGGGTTACGACACGCCACCATCCGCGGCTGCTCGCTGCCGCTGCTGCCGCCGTCGCCAGCGCCGCCGCCGCCTGCCGGCCCGCCGCCGCCGCCGCCGGCCCCTGTCGTGCTGCCGCCGCACACGCTGTTTGCGCCGCTGTCACCCGTACAGAAGCGCTTCCCGTCGGCGCGCACGGTGCTGACGTCAGCGTCGGCCGCTGCGGAGGTGGCTCCTCTGGGCCGCTCTGGCGGCTGTGCAAAACTTCAGGAGCAGCAGCAGCAGTCGGCGGCGGTGGCGTCCGTACCAGTGTCGCCTCCGCTGCCCGTTGCGCGCAAGAAAGCGGCCTCGGCTCCGCCTCAGCAGCCGACTGACGTGCCAACTGGGCGCCGTTACGCACCGCCTCCGCCTCCGCCGCCAGGCCCCCCACCGCCGCCACCCGTATTCCCCGCACAGCGCGCCGTACAGATCCGTCCCTGCCGGCATGCACCGCCGCCGCCGCCGCCAGGTCCGCCGCCGCCACCTCCGGCGCTGTTCCCTGCTACCGGCCACCTGCGCACCCGCCGCTCGGCTGCTGCGGGCTCCTCCTCCACCCTCACCTCCTCCGCCTTGACGGCTGCCGCTGCTGCTGCCGGCGGTCCGAGTTCAGGGGGTGTAGGCTCCGCCGCCGCCGCCGCGGAGGCTGCGATGGCGCCCGCTGAGGCCGCAGCGCGCTTGGCGATGGCGATGTACGGCACCGCTACGGACACCACCAGCAGCAGCAGCAGTGACACAGACAGCGGCGGCGAGACACCCACTGCCTCCGCCTCCGCAGCTCCCTCCTTTCCAAACCCCGCTGCACCCCCTGCACCCTCCTCTCCTCCTCCTTCCTCCTCGCCTCCGCCCTCCTCCTCCCCCTCCTCCTCGCTTCCCTCCCTCTCCTGGTGCGCCTCCGTGCCCTCGCTGCGCTCGCTGCACCTGGTGGAGGTGCGCGGGCAGTGGTGGGGTCTGTCCGCCCTCAGCAGCCTCACGGAGCTGCTGCTGCGCGACTGCTGCAGGCCCGAGCAGCAGGGGCAGGCCGGCAGCCCCTTCACGCAGCTGGTGCGGGGGGCGGGAGGGGTGGGGGTGATGCAGGAGCTTGGGAGGGGAGGGGCAGGTGTGGGTTGAGGAGACGTTTCGCTGCAGAAAGCATTGAAGGGGCGGCAGTAGGATGTAGGCTATGGTGCCCATGCCCCCCTTCCTACCCCTCCCCCCCACTCTCCCCCCTGCAGGCAAGCAGCCTCACGGGCCTGCGCCGCCTGGCTCTGTGCGGCGGCTCCAGCCAGCTGGGCGGGAGCGACCTGGCTGGGGGGGTGGGGCGGCTGGTGCGGCTGGAGGCGCTGGTGCTGGAGGCGCCGGGGGTGGTACCACACCAGGTGGTGCTGCGGCAGGTGGGAGGGGGAGAGGGGGGGGAAGAGGGGGGGAGAGGGGGAGAGGGGGAGGGGGGCGGGAGTAAAGAGGAAACCGTGTGAGAGGGAGGGGAGGGAAGGGGAATGGGAGGGGCGCCTCCACACCACGGCAAGCATCCTGCGTTACCCCTCTTCACCCCCTTCCTTCACCGCGCCCCGCTTCATCTCCGCCGTTCCGTCCCACTCCCGCTCCTCATCTACCTACCCCCCCTCCTTCAGGACCTGGACCAGCTGCTTCCCGCGCTGGCCCCCCTCGCCCCCACGCTGCGCTGCCTGGTGCTGCGGCGGCCGGGGTGGAACCTGGAGCGGCTGCGGGCGCTGGCCCCTCTCACCGGCCTCACGCGGTTGGAGGTGGGGGAGGCGGGGGCGGCGGCGGCGGGGAGGGGAGGAGGCATCGTGGCACCTGGGGGAGGAGGAGGTGGAGGGGCGGGTGGAGGGAGGGGTGGAGCGGCGGCGCTGGCGGGCGATGCAGGTGGGGCGCGGGGGGAGGGAAGGGAGGGAGGGGGGACGGGGCTGTGTACGAGAAGGGTGCGGGCGCGGAGAGGGTGGTGAAGGGCCCTCTCTGTCACCCACTGAGCGCATGCAGGCGCCGCCTCGTCAGGGCATGTACCGGCACCTCTCCTCCCACGGGCCCCCCACTTCCCCTAGCGCTCACCCCGGACCTCCACCCCCTCATGCTCCTCCTCCGCCGCCCCCCCCCAGGTCTCCGCTGTGTTGCTGCGCTGTTCCCGGCGCTGCGCTGCTTCCGTCTGGGTCCGCCGGGCTGGGGCGACGGAGTGAGCGAGGAGGGGGTGGCGGCGCTGGCGGGGGGGCTGCGGCAGCTGAGCAGGCTGGAGCTGCAGGTGGGGGAGGGCGGGAAGGGGGTAGGGGGAGGGCGGGGGTAGGGGGCGGGAGGGGGTAGGGGGCGGGAGGGGGCAGGGGGCGGGAGGGGGTAGGGGGCGGGAGGGGGCAGGGGGCGGGAGGGGGCAGGGGGCGGGAGGGGCGCAGTGATCTGTGAAGAGCCCTTGCAGCTGCAGAATGCGAGGGCGGGTAGCGAGGGGTGGGTACATAGGGAAGGGCGGTCCAAGAGCTAGCCTAATACCCTGCCGCCAGACCTCCACCCTCCCCCTCCTCCATCCCTCCCATCTCCCAACATCACTCCCCCACTCTTCCACTCCCCCACCCCCTCCCCCCACAGGGTTGCAGCTGGCTCCGCAGCGAGCGGCTGGGTCCGCTGCTGGGCGGGCTGGGGTCGGGGCTGCGGCAGCTGGACCTCAGCAACTGCCTCAACCTGCAGGACAGCAGCCTGGGGGCGCTGGGGCGGCTGGGGGGGCTGGCGGGGCTGAGGCTGAGGGGGTGCTGGAAGGTAGGGGAGGCGCGGTGTGGGCAGCGAGCGGTGTTGAGCGGGAGATGGGCGGGAGAGTGAGAGGGGGTGCAGGGCCGGAGCCCGGCGCCCCACCCCCCTGCCTGCCCCTTCACCTCATCGCTGTCGCCCACCTGCCCACCTGCACCTCCTACCCACCCACCAAACCCACCTACCCGTGTCATACAGCGTGTCAGTTCCTTCTTTACCATCACCCCCCGCCCTCGCCCGCAGATCAGCGGCGAGGGTCTTGCTGCGCTGCGGCCTCCGCTGCTGCGGCTGCGGCGACTGGACCTGTCGGACTGCCGCGTAACGGATGAGGGGCTCATGCAGGTGGTGGGGAGGTGGGGGAGGGCATGGGGAGGGCATGGGCGGGGATGCTGGGAGGGACAGGGGGGTGATGTCGGTAGCAGTATAACGCACCTGCTGGCTGTCTCATGCGGCTCTGCTGCTGTTTGATGACATGACCTCAGCTGCACTGCATGACAGCATGAGTCGGGCCATGGGAGGGGGGACTACCGTGCTTCACAACCCCCCTTCCCCCCCCCACCTTCCAACCCAGGTTGCCCAGCTGAGCTGCCTGACGCGGTTGCACCTGGTGCGCTGCTGGTACGTGCGCGCACCCGGGCTGGCGGCGCTGTCCCGCCTCTCGCGGCTGGGGGTGCTGGACCTGGGCTCCACCAACACGGACAACACGGGGGTGGCGCAGGTGGGGGGAGGGGGGGCAGGGAGGGGAGGGGTAAAGTGGAAACAACTAACTGACTGAGGGATAAGGCGTCAAGATGGGTAGGGGGAAGAGGGAGGAGCGGGGTCGTGAGGGGGAGAGGAAGGGAGGGGGAGCGGGGTCGTGAGGTATTAGATAAACTGAACCGCGGAACCACTGGCTAGTGCGGGAGGAGCGGGGGAGGGATGGAGGAGCAGGGAAGGAGAGAGGGGCTGGCAGGTGGTTGCGGTGGGGGTGAGGTGGAAGGGCAGGTGGCGGTAAGGAGGAGAGGGAAGGCAGGCGAGGAGGGGGTGGTGGGTGCCGCGAGCGAGGTCAGTGTCGGCCACCTGCTGCTGCCTCGTACTGCTGTTGTTGTGTCCTCTGTGACCCCTTCCCCTGCTTGCTGCCGACCCTTCCGCCCCCCCTCCCCCCTGCCCCCCAGATGGTGTCCGGCCTGCGCGGCTGCCTGACGGATCTGGACCTCTCCGCCTCGCTGGTCAACCAGCACGGCGTGGCGGCGCTGGCGGGGGGCCTGCCGAGGCTGAGGAGGCTCAAACTCAACAAGTGCCCGGGTGGGCAGCGGGGGAGCGGGGGAGGGCCGTGTGGAAGAGTTGGGTATACACGCGGGGATGGAGGCATGGGGGAAGTGTGTTGAAGGAAGGAAACCCTAAACCCTACCCACGCCTGTGTTCCGCACATTGCCGCATGCACGATGTATCACTCATTACCTTGTCGCTATCCTGCTTGCTCATGCTTTTTCCTAATTTTTCTCCTCCACCTGCCTCCACCATCTTCATCCCCCACCCACCCCACCCCCTCATCCAGGTGTCAACGACGCCGCGCTGGAGCACCTGTCCTCCCTCTCCTGCCTGCGCCGCCTGCACCTGCGCCACTGCCGCAACATTGGCGACGCGGCGGTGACCGCCCTGGCCGGCCGCCTGCCCTCCCTGCAGCACTGCGAGCTGGACGGCTGCTGGGGGGTGGCCATGAGCACTATCGACCGGCTGTACGGCAGACCGGCGGCGGAGTGGCGGCGGGCGGCTGACGTGGCGCGAGGGAGTGGTGGGGGCGCTGCCGGGGTGGCGGCGGGGGCGGGCGGGGGAGGGACAGGGGCGGGGGGAGGCGGGGGGGTTCTGAGGCAGAGGTTGGTGGCGGCACAGCAGCTGCTGGCGGGGGAGGAGGGAGAGGGGGAGGAGGGGTGGGGAGGCGGGGGGGTGACTGCGAGTGGGTGGGTGTGGTGAGAGGGAGGGTTGGGGGGGGGGGGAGGTTGGAGGCTGAGGAGGCGCTGTAGGGTGTGGACAAGGACAGGAAAGCAGGAGGGTGGTAAGCACCTAGGTGCTAAGTCGAAGAGTATTTTTACATGCGGACAAACCGGTGGGTGTAAATTGGTGAGGACCTGAGAGATTCAGGTGGCAGCCGTACATGCATATGACAGAAGCAGCAGCGTGGTGGTGATGTGGGTCGGCGACTGACCCCAGGGTCACTGGCTCGGCCTGCTAGCTGCTCGTGGCTGGTTGGACTCCTCGGGCATGTCAATAATAGTTGGATATTATTATTGGCTGTCAGTAGCCTAATTAGGATGCATTGTTAAGGAGCTGGCGGGTGAGGTGGGCATGGTGGAGTGCAATGACTGCGACCAATCAGCCTTTTAGCCATCATGCAGGAGTTTGGGAGATGCCACAGAAGGGCGGGCGAATGGGCGCGTTCTCATTGCCATTACTATCGGCGCCCAGTGTATCAGTATGTGTGTTGCCCGTGCATGCTGTGTGTGGCAGCGTAAATACTTAGTTCCAAAGCGGTGATTGTGGGTAAGCCTGATAGGGGTGGGGCGGGGGTGCGTTTGCGCGAGAGGGCATGCACATGTGTGTATTAGCGAGGGAATGGGTGCCTTGGGCGGCTGGATGAAGTCCAAAATTGTATATTGATGGGTAATGCTATCGGGTTGTACATTATTGTAGTTGAGCTGGCTCATTGTAAATTAGATCGGCTCGTTGCGTGGCCGAGTACGATGGAGGGACCCCTGGCCCCACCAACAACCCCGTGGTGACCCTACATCGATGGCCCAATGGGACACACAGACAAGGCTGTTTCGTGCAGTTGGACCTGGGGAGGCAACACCCCTGGGTTACGGTTTGGATCTGTACGATGTAATCCACCAGGATTGCGTGCCCCACCATGGATGCGACCTCCAATCCCGGTCAACCCTCTTCTGTCGTCCCGGCATGTGCCGTGATATTCGGATTGGGACCCCAGTTGCTGCACCTTTCAATCATCCCCCCTCCCGCTGCCCCCCTAACAAGGTGTGGCGGAGGCGGCCAGCGACGGCTCCTCCTCCGGCAGCTGGGTTTCCAGTCTGGTGCTGGCGGCGCAGAAGACCGCCAACGCGTCCGTGCTGTTCGCGGCGTCGGCGACATTCGACCGGGCACTTCATAATGATGGTGGGCGCGATCAGGAGGGAGTGGGGACGGAGAGGCTCTGGGGAGGTTTGGGGGCCGGATACCCACTGGGACGGGTAGCCCGCGGTTGCTGATAGGAGTCCTGAGTCCCGGGAAGCTGGGGTCTTAAGCAGGAGCAGGCGATGAGGGGGGAAGGGGGGACCTATCCAGCCTGTTTGGGCTTGCCAAGATGTGCCAGGCGGGGGTGAGGGACGGTCCGCTTGCCTGCCAGTGAAAGGTCAGAGCGAGGGGAGTGCCGGCGCTGCCTCCTCATCCCCCCCTCCGTCATCCCGCCCCCCCCTCACCCACCCCCCCATGCAGACGGCAACGACGACACTGCGCACCTGCTGTCGGGTCTGGGTGCGGCCCACTCGGGCATGACTGGGCTGTTCAGCAGCATGACGGTGCTCAGCTGGGCGCTGCTGCTGGTGGGGGGACGGGGCGGGGGTGCGGAGAGGGGCGAGGGGAGGGGCTGGTGGGGTAGTCGAGAGGGGGAGATACCGGGGCCGGCGTGGGCGAATCTCCTTTGCGGCACCTAACTATTTTGTTACAAAAGCTTGGTCACCGAACCCTGTCTTCCCCTCGCCCCTCTGCCTGCCCCCTCCCTTTGTCCCCAGGCGGGTGCTGCGGCGCTGATGGTGCCCTCCTTGGAGGAGAGCCCGCTGGGGGTGCTGCTGGGGGACGGGCTGATGCATGCTTCGGCGGAGGCGGTGGTGGGGGCACTGGAGGGGCTGTGAGAGGGGCTGTGAGAGGGAGGGGTAGGGGGGGGAGGTCAGGTGGGCGGGGTTGGATGCGAATTGTAATCACCGGTTACCGGGGCCAGTGTAATCTTAAAGCGGTGTGCGTTCCTGTCTGGGGTGGAGGTGTGCTGAAGAGGGAGCAGGCTGTCATGAATCGATGAGAGTGTAGACGTGCCAGTGCATGGG